GTATGGCTAAGCAATGTCTCAGTGTATGCCATGTACTTGGATGGCAATAACCTGTATGGCTAAGCAATGTCTCAGTGTATGCCATGTACTTGGATGGTAATAACTTGTATGGCTAAGCAATGTCTCAGTGTATGCCATGTACTTGAATGGTAATAACTTGTATGGCTAAGCAATGTCTCAGTGTATGCCATGTACTTGGATGGTAATAACTTGTATGGCTAAGCAATGTCTCAGTGTATGCCATGTACTTGGATGGCAATAACCTGTATGGCTAAGCAATGTCTCAGTGTATGCCATGTACTTGGATAGTAATAACTTGTATGGCTAAGCAATGTCTCATCTCAATGAATAGCTTATATAATTAATGTCAATAATTTGAATAATGTCAATAAGTTATATGGATACTGATAGTCAAAGTAACAGTATCAATGTAACAGTCAACTACGTATATGGATACTGATTCAATGACGTATAGACACTGATTCAAAAAGTTATTTGGATAATGATTCAATAACGTATATGGATACTGATTCAATACCGTATATAGATACTGATTCCATAACGTATGGATGCTTATTCAAAAACGTATATTATGGACACTGAATGCCCATGATTAAAATCTTTATTTTGATCATCACTGAATCGAATTGGAATTCCGATGCATTTTCGTTTCATCCCCCACCCCTCAAATGTAATCCCGTCCCAATGATCAGAAATATAAGATCCAGAACATTTTTTTAAAGTTTTGGGACCCGTTCATCCCTAATTTTGAAAGGTTAGATTATTCCCGACTTTCAGCCGAAATTCATGACTTTTTCACGACTTTTCCCGACCTTTCAAAATCCCCGACTTTTTCCCGAATTTCCCGGAATTCCCGACTGGTAGACACCCTGACCTTTATTTGACTACGAGTATTTGTGCACATAAACGTTTATCCATAACTGGTATAGATTATTCACTTGGTAAATTCTAGACTGAATATATTACAGAGGTGCCTAAAATTAGCTCATAAAATATTGCATCAAACATTACGTATTCCCCACATACACTCTTACTAAGCTAAATACATAAATCCTACATTATGTGATGATTCTTATGTGATGTTGATGTGAAGAAAAAACAAATAAAGTTTAAAGTGGCCGGAAGAACATTATTGGTACTCTATATAAACATAAACGTACAATTAAATAGATAACTATAATTATGGCAAGACAAAGCATATAAAAATATAAATTATGATATAACTTCTTATTAGGATTAAGATTTTTTTGAAGTCTGTTTCGCTCTGTAAAAAATATTGACTGCAGAATCTTATCTGTCGATCATGTAGAATAAAACCAGGAGTGAAATGGTTTGTTATTTGATTTGGAGGATATTTTTTAAGCAAATACTATATGGCCAAATCAAATAACCGGTTAGCATCCATTCATTCAATACAACTACACACCAACTTCGGTGTTTTAAGTTGTTGTAAAACTTTACAATGTTGAAATTTTCACCTGCTAAAAATTTGAGAATGACTAGAATGCAAATTATTACATACTGTATATCAATTAAATATTTAAAAAAATAAACATGGTGTAAAACAATTAAAATTGCTGCCAAATCAACCACTTACTCTTGGTTTTCACCAAGGTTTGATGGTTTGGTACAATACAGTTGGTCTTTACAGTAGTATTTATTATCCAACCTGGTTGAGGATGGATAAGAGAGACTCTCCTCTCCTGTATATAATTCAGTTGAATTATAATTGATTGCTATTGATTCACACACACTTAGTTCGGAAACACTTTGTTTGGTACTCTAAAGAAACATAGAATTGAATTGAAAAAAAAAAAATAATAATATAGAGGTAGGGCCTACTATCCACATTGATAAAGTGATTGTTGAAAACTTCATGAGTTATTGTAGTACAATAAAAAATAAAACAAAATCGCACAAATATAGTATGTTCTGTTAATAAAAAAATATTAAAAATAAGTATTTTTTAAATGCATTGATTGAAAAATTTTATACGAAAAACTAATAATAATTTACAGATATTATCTAAACAAACATAGAATTGAATGTACAAAATATTAATAAGGTATCATCCAAATCTTTAACTATCATAATATACCTAATTGTTGAAAAATAGATGATAGAGTATACTATAAAAAAATCATGGTTAAAAAACTTTTAAGAAAATTATACAAATATCTAATATTCCTTATGTCCCTTTAATGAGCATTACAAAATACCAATGACTGATACAGTATTTATAAAATGTATTATTTGGAAATGTGTATAAGGAACACTAATAATAATAATACTTCAACACACATTATTTTTATGAAAGGGCTTTGAAACTCAAATGCCGGATTTGATCCTTATAAATATACCTATATTCATACGACAAAATCATGTCAAGAAAAGAATAAAAAATGTATCTTAACCTAAATGGACTGACTAGTGATCAGGTCAAAGTTTCTCTGTTGATTATTTACGTGATAATAATCCTTCAGTAAGTGATGTTAGGTACAACAACACTATTTAGATTGTTTTTATTTTTTAAGTGCATAATTCATCAACTTATTGACTTTCTTTTTCTTCAAAAGGTTTATAAAAATGTATTTTTTTTTTTTAATGTCGGGAAACAGAGCAGCCTGTTAATACTTTTATTGCATTACTGATCAAGTCGATGACTTGGATGGAAGGAATTAATATTATAGATGTCAAAGTTGGGAGTACTGTATATCTATCAATATATTCAATCAACGTGAAAACTACTTGACCCTTTGAGCTGATTTTCTCTATGAACAGAGCTACTATATATTCTTAACGGATCTAGTCATTTTTTATTTCAATACTTTCCTAGGGCTCTGCCCTGATGGCTTGCAAAGTTTCTATGATATAGATAAATTCAATGTTCTAGTTAAATAGTGTGTTTGAAAATTATTTTGTTAGTGCTTTATCAAAATTGTGGACATTTATTAATGAGTTAATAACTTTCCATCCAGCAGATAAATAGAACATAATTATTTTCTTTCGCGTTCTCTTCCCATTGCAAAGCATGGGTATGACGGCTAGTAGGGAATAATTCTGTTTTTTTTTTAGGAATATTTGAGAGAAAATACAATCCGTCATTAATGGAAATAAGTCTAGTCAGCAGGTTTCGGAGGTATTTTGGCCATTGGGACTAATGACAATGGTTTCCAAGAAATACTTTTCATTTAATTTGCAGCATCATGATTTCAGTCAATTTTTAAAACGAAAACGTATTAGCAAACATAAATCCATTACTTTAAATTACTTCTTGATTTAACTACCCTGTTATCTTCATGTAGCATTAAGATCCTACAAAATTTTTAGCAAATATACACTACAAGTTGAGCTCATATATCAGTTATTGACTCTCTCGATCAATTTAAAAACCTTAATACCTTAATAAAGTGTTAATCATTAAGTAAGTAACAGTTTTAACTGCATATTATAAAACTCCTGTAACATGTCTGATTTTTTTTAATTGAGAATGTTTTGATTCATCTTAGTTTTACCATGGAATAAACATACTCCTTTTAAGATTTGTCGTCCTCGTGGATCAGCTTTTTTTCAAACAATTATAATGTAATTTCCGTCCAGATACTGTCCAAGAATGTTTCTTAATTATTTGTTTGTTGTTTAAACTAGTTAAACAAATAAAACGATCTGACTATAAACAAAAACTCGTCCTCTTGTTTTATAGCACTGTAAAGCACAAACCATATAATTAAGTCTAAAAAAGAAAATAAATTTGTTGACAATAGCGCCATTGACTATGGGTTACTGAAGTAGACACCCCATCTATATGGACCCACAAAATTTGTATTAATAACAAAACATAGTTGTGTGAGCCAGTCACAGAATGCGCTAGCATCTAAAATTATATTTTCTACCTTATTTTTTGGTTGCTGACCAAGTTGAGAGGTTATAACAGAAGCTATATAGCTCACAATAAGTCATTCCATTAATTTGACTTGGTAAAACAGTTAGTGTATTCCCAAAAATTAGTAATTTAGATCAGCACAATCTGTCAGTGGCTCATATCCACTACAGCGATTTTGATTTTTTTATAACTGGCGACAACTTAAACATGGGAATGGAATGTCTAATTGTATCAATAGCCAAAGTCAGCGCTCAGCGTCATCATCATGAACCCCACATTAACTTCAGATTTTAAAAGAGGATGAGAAGTATTTTTGTATTAGTTATTTAATGGTTTGACTTTAGATTACCATACTACAGATTGTGAAAAAAGATTTACGTTGCAGGAAAATTAGTCAATAGATGTCGGTATGTCACTTAAACCTTATACCTGAAGATGACTAGTGCTTTCTGTAATACAAAAAACCCCTTCATTAATCCAGACTAAATCTGTCCAGGCATTTTATAGCAGTTATAACAATTTATTACAGCTAAATTAAGAGTGTACCACTGTGAATAACACAGTTTTGTTGCATAGCATGCTGTTTAAGAATGTTACGATCCGTGCAAGTAGTTAGGCATACTATTAGCTAAAAGTAGTACAATGAAAAATTTATTCATTTTATATTTTGGACTGTACTTATATTACAGCACATAACTACAATTTTTATTTTGAATTCAAAATACACTATCAAAGCTTTTGGTATAAAGGTGATTCATAATGTAGGTAGGTACCCTAACGGTCTGGCACTATTACAATTTAATTTATTAAATTAGTATGAATTACCAACATTAGTCTGGATCAATGAGGGCAACCTATGTGTAAATACCTTAAACTGCTAGTCTGTACAAAGTTGTCTTTTGCTTTTTACTAATGCAATATTTATTAGATCTTTTGAGGATTATTTTTTTATATTCATTGGCAAAGATATACACATGATTAAAATAATAGCCATGCAGATTATAAATTTAAAAGTAAAATTGATGATACATGGTTTAAAACCTACAAAAATATTTTGTAGCCAGCTATAAACCAAACAAATTGAAAAAAGCATTGATTATAAGTAACATTTTTAATCAAGAAAATTACTGTTGTTTAAACAGAAACAACCAAAATTAAATAAAAATATAGAAACATTTGATTTAACATAACATACTAAATAAACCAAGAATAAAAAAAAATCAGAAACAACAAATATGTATGTTCCTAACACATTTATACATAAATCACAGGGATAGTTTTAGATTAACTTAAGAATTTCAAGTTATCAATTATAACAGTCTCAGGAGCATAATTATTTCAGGCCTGTTAAAAGAATAAGTGGACATTATTATATAAAAAAACATTCACACACTATTAACCTCACATTTTTTACAAACAAATATACACATATAAACATTATTACAAAACAATATGGGAATGCAGAAATATGTAGATTTCTAAATACAAATACTAATTTCAATATTACGTTACAAAGTTGTCAATCTCTGAGTCAGTCAAGTTTTGAGTGATGTACCTACTTGAATCATTGATGTAAGGGTGCTGAAGGCTGTTTTCTTCAATCGACATACTCTGTCTTGAACACTGACTCAATCCTGCAACTTTCTGAAATGTCTTTGAAATTACGTTGTCCTCTAACTGATAACTTTTTGTGTCCAAAGTCTGTGAAGAGTTCTTTGTTTCATCTTCTTCGATTTCTGCTATACTGTCATCACGGGTTTCATCTTCCACTTCGGCTGAACTGTCATCCTTGGTTTCATCTTCATCAACCTCAGCAGAACTGTCTTCCTTACTGTCTTCAGAGTTAACACTTTCATTGTCATCGTCATCATCATCATCACTTGAGCTTGAACTGGAGCTGCTGGAACTTGAAGAACTTGAACTAGAACTTTCATCATTGTCATCTTGTTTTGAACTTTCATCGTTGTTGTCTTCATTTACAGCCCCTTCAAAACTGCCTCTGCCATCTGACATTTGACTAGAAACAGTTGACAAAGCCAACTCATTGGGATTAGTAACATTAGCTGATTCAGTTTTGGCATCCACTGCATCACAACTACTGTCCAAGACTTCTGCTTCTGTTGAGTTAGCGACTAAACTCATGGATATTTTAGACATAGACTTGTTGATGAATACACTGCTTCGTTTTAAAGTTGACGAATCGTCATCTTCATCAGGAAACCCTTCGAAATGTGAGTCATCGTCGTCAGAGGTAATGGTGTTTACAAGCTCTTCATCATTTGTATTTTCTGTGCTGTTTAATTGGTTACTAGAAATTATATTATGTCTTTCTCTTTCATGTTTCCTAAGAAATCCCCTCGAGCTGAACGTTACATCGCAAGTTGAACAATCGTACTGAAGTTGAGCGGCTCGATCCTCTTCTCCTGGATGTATTGCAGCATGAAGGTGCAGTTTGGCCTTGGCATTGTGATATCGACCACAAACTCTACATGTGGCGTTGCTATCTTCTTCCTCAAAGTTGCGAGGATGAACTTCGACCAAGTGCGTATCAAGATCCAAGTACGATTTGCAATACTTTAAACACACTCCACAGGTAGTAGCGGCTTCTTTTTTGTGTGATCTAATTAAATGTTGCCATAAAACTCGTTTGGCAGGCCAAGTTTTCTCACAATGTTCACATGGTGAATACACATTGTCATTCTCATACACCTTGCGACTTAATGATGACTTACTATATGACGATACCCAGTCTTTAGAGCTGCTAGAATTATCATCAACACTGTTTAAAGAGGACATGCTGACAACGCCCATTTGATAATCTTCGTCTTCAGAATCAAACCTTATGGTTTTTTGAAGGAAAGAATTTGAAAGAGAAGCTGCTTTTCGTTTTGATCTTACTTCCTTTGGTTTACAGTTCGTTTTATGGGCAGCAAGAGATTCTAATGAATCAAAGTAAGAGCTACATGTTCCGCACCTAAGGTCTGAATGATCTTCTAGTTGGTGTTTGGAAAGCTCTGCTCGAGTGGTGAAAGATGATCTACAACAGACGCAACCATGAGTTAATCTACTCATTTTGGTACACGTGAGGAGACTTATAGGTTTACTATCTTCGTCTTGCTTTCGTTTTCCAGTCTCCTCTTCATCATCACTCTCGGCATCAGAATCTTTAATAACTTCTTTAGCTTTTACAGATGACGGTTGTTTTTTGGGTGGATGGATTTCACAATGTTTCTTAAACTCTTCTTCTACCCTAAAGACTTTATAGCAAGTTAAGCAGTTGAAGAACTCACTTCCATGTGTTTTTAAGTGAGTGTCGAGTTTATATTTGGTGGGACACTTTCTAGCACATATTGGACACGTATTGGGTTTGCCGATGGATGAAGGGTGGTTTTCTTTGATATGGTCCTGCAGTTCCTCAAATGTTACATGACAAACAGTACAGATACAACACATAAACTTGGTTCTTGCTGGGTGATTTGCTTTTAGATGTTTTCGAAGTTTTATTCTATTTTGGAGAATTTCTCCACAAACCTCACAGCTAGGTGGAGGGTATCCTTGACGATGTTCACGTTTATGTTTGAGCGCATCTTTCTTCAAACGCAACATTCTATTGCAGCCTTCAACATCACAAGTCAACTCGGGATCGTCTTTATGTTCCTCTTTGATGTGATCAAACAGCTCGGTTCTGGAATCTTTGCGAATATTACAAATTTCACACTTGTACGTTACATGAGAAGACCTAATGTGCTTGTTTAAAACACGAAGTGTATCAAAAACTCTAGAGCATTTCGTACACGGGAATGAACCATTAACAAGTTCAGTGGTAGTTACTGGTTTGGTTGCCTCTTTTGGACCTGTACAGTGCTTTAGATGCTGCTTCATCAAATGGTCTTTTCGGAAAACTTTTTCACATTTTATGCATTTACTACTGTCACCATCGTTAACAACGTCTTTCAATGTCACATAATTATTATCTTCAGATGGTGCGTGATCACGGTGATGTTTAGCATAATGTTTTGCCAAATGCGACTTAGATGCTGATGTTTTTAAACAAATGTTACAAGTGATATCCGGATGAGTCTTGTGAATTTTATAAACATGTTTCCATAGATGAGATGTTCTTCCATAAAACTTTGGACATAAATCACAGGGGACTTGGTTGTGGGCGGATCTTCTATGTTCAGATAACTCGTCTAAATCTAAAAACTGTTCTGTTGGGCACGCGTTGCATTTCAAGACACCAGGATCATTAGAATGATCAACAGTTTCTGGCTGCAAATCAAACAGTCCCTCGTCCAAGCCTCCTAAAGAAGTCGGCAGGTTATGAATCTTTCTATGTCTAGACATTTTTGATTTCTTGGAATATGGCCTACCACAAATATCACAGCAGTATTCTGTTGAGTTATCCAACGGATAGTGTTTTTCTTTTACATGGGCAGCTAGGTCTGTTACATTGCAGAAGATCTTTAGACAGACTCCACATATAAAAGGTAAGCAATCACTGTGAACTCCCATCATGTGTTTCCAGTAGTTCATCCTTGTTGCCCATAATTTACCACAAATTTCACAACTGTTGGGAGATTCACCCTGAAGGTCATGGTGACTAGTTTCATGTTCTTGTTTTAACGCTTTTGTCGGAAACACTTTGCCACATCTTTCTTTTCCACACACTAATGAAGGTTCATCAGCGTGATAGGTGAAGACATGACGCCAACGCTCTGTTCTTGTGGAATGGGACAGCCCACACATCTCGCAAGGGAAGTACAACTTGTATGTAGCAGAACTGTTTAGACTGTGCATTGCTTCTGAATCTTTGTGCGCATTTCTTTTGTGCTTGATCAGTTTTAATTCGTTGGGAAACGTCTTAAAACATATTTCACAAGTCATGCTGAATTCGTCATCTATTACATTGTCATGGGGTCCTGAAGTTTCTGGGTGTAATTCACTATTGAGCACAACCATAGATTCTGGGTCTAAAGCACGGCCATCAGCATCTCTTAAATTATGTATTTTTACATGAGCCAAAAGTTTTTTCCTAGAGTCGTGTTGTCTGGCACATATTTGACAACTGTACCTGCGTTTATCGGATGCCATTGTATCTCTTGGGTGACAAGAGTCCACATGTTCCAACAGACTAACGTTATCTGAGCAAACTCTCAAACAAATTCCACAGGCAGTGGCAGCCTCTTCTCTATGGGAGTACAGCATGTGCAGCCATAGACTTGCCCTATCATTGAACTCGCGTATGCAAACCTCACAACAGAATACAGTTTCTGCTTCTAACATACTTTCTGCCATCATTTCACTCTCATCAATTAGTTCTCTCTGAATTGATAACTCATCAGCAACTATGTCGGGATAGCCAATTTCAGCAGGGTCAATACCATGGTTGATCAAAATGTGTTTACGCAAATTATTTCGATTTTCAAACATTCTTCCACACAACAAACAAGAAAAGCATGAGACAATATTATCTTCTGGGGATTCACCTTCTTCATTGACGGAATGGTTAGATTGTTCAGTGTCGACACTCTGTTCTCTCTGGATCTTCCTTGGATGGTTGTTTTTTCTACGACTGTTGGATTCCTCCAACACAGGAGACTTGTTTACCTCACTAGCCTGCTGTTCTGATTCGGCTCCATCTTCGTTTTTCTCATCAACAGAGTTCACCTTAAAAAAGTAATAATCTTAATAGTTTAAAACAATTGTTTTCTTGAAGTAAAATATTCAATACATTTAATCATTCAATCATTTCAACAAGTTTGATTGAAGTTTATTTTTTAAAATAGGATTGTGAAGGGACCAAGTACAATGTGTTTGCCAAACCAGTTTTTTAAAGAAATGTGTCTGAAAGACATTCATTTCTAAAACTTCCAATTTCAAGAAATTCAAAAGATTCTGTTTCTTCTAGAGAAATTCAATTCACAAAGTTTATTAATTAAATAATAATAAAAGTTAAACTTTTATTGTTACTAAGATTGTTACAAATAGAGGATCAAGCAAAAAGTCACTCCCATGTGTACATGATTTTGTGTTCTGATTATAGAGATCTGTCCTGAAGCAAACTAATGGTCCTGGCCATAGAAACAGGTTATTGTAGATAGTAAAAAAATTACACAAAACATCCCACACTCATCTTGGGAGTTCGAGCTCAACCTCCCATTTTCATCCCCACCCCCTCAATCCCCACTCTACAGACAATTGTGTTTATATTAGAGGTTTTCGGTTCACCGAAAAAGTCTGGGCGGTACGGTTTAGGCCTAATTACCAACTGTCATCGGTTTGGTACGTAATTTTTATGGGTACGAATTTGGTTTGATACAGCCTTGATTGATTTTTATTAGGGATGGACGGGTCTCAAAATTTTCGGAACATGGCGAATGCGTCGTGCCCGCGAGTCATTTAAACAAAAATGCCATGACCGCGAGTCATTTAGACAATAATGCCGTGACCGCGAGTCATTTTGACGATCACGCCGTGACCGGGAGTCATTTAGACAAAAATGCCATGACCGCGAGTCATTTAGACAATAATGCCGTGACCGCGAGTCATTTTGACGATTGCGCACTGACCTCGAGTCATTTCGACGATCACACCGTGACCTCGAGTCATTTCGACCATCGCGCCGTGACCACAAGGTCACAATATTGTATATTGTGTTAGGTAGCAATATTGCTCTACACATGTCAATGTTTAGGATTTATTAAGCTAAACTGCTTTTCTACTCATAACCTTAAAACTCTTAACAGTTTTTTAAATGCAGTGAGTGATAGTCTCAGGGTAGCCTATCTAGTTTATTTCCATTTCAAAATTCAAGACTAATTCCAGGTTTTTAAAGACTACTTTTTTTTAGTGATGTGTTGATATCAAAATGAATTGTTTCTCAATTCTTGATGCCGATAGCAATTGTTATAATTTAACCAAATTTTCAAATCCCACACCAACCCCTGTCTTTATGTCATAAAGTATTTAACTTATTAAGATAATGGGGGGGTTTTTCAAGTAAAGAGAAAATTGCAGCAATAAAAAAATTCTAACTAGCCAATTCTAACTAGCCATCTAGGCCTACTTCTGAAGAAGCCTCTGAAAGAGGCGAAATATCAAGTATTATTATGTGTGTGTTTTATGTGTTCTTTGACTCGTCTGCAACCATTCATCAGGTGAGTTAGCTGTGTCCTCTCCATCCTATATTTTATTTAGGCTAATCCAAGCTAAATGCTTTTTCCTAAAAACATAACTAGCCAATTCATCATTTTTTGGATAATAAAAATCTTCCACGACCAAGTAGACGTCATTATTGACTCCCGCGGTAACAAAAACGTCATCGTCGTCTACAATCATGACAAAATCATGAACATTTCCCGCAGCCATGTAGACATCATCGTCACTTGGTCACAGAAACGTCTTCGTCGTCTCCCACGGTCTCGGCAACATCATCGTAGTCTCCCTCTGTCACAGAAACGTCATCGTTGTCTCCGGCGTTCACAGAAACATCATCATCGTCTCGGATATGTCATCGTCGTTGTCCGCGATCGCGGCAAAATTATGAACATTTACCGCGCTGTATAGACATCATCATTGACTCCCGCGGTAACGGAAACTTCATCATCGCCATCCGCAATAGCTACAAAATCGTTAACATCTTCCGAGGCCATGTAGACATCATCGTTGTCTCCCTCGGTCACGGTCTCGGAAAAGTCGTTGTTGTCGTCCGCAATCACGGCAAAACTATGAACATTTACCGCGGCCGTGTAGACATTATCGTCGTCTCCCCCAGTCACAGAAATATCATCGTCGTCTCCCGTGGTCACAGAAACGTCATCGTCGTCTCCCGTGGTCACAAAAACGTCATCGTCGTTTCCGACAAACAAACTATAAAAATAGATTTTTTTGGTAACTGCAATACTCAAGACTTTTAAAACAAACCCTTTTTTCCACAGGATAACAATGTCAAATAACAATAATGTCAATTTATCAAAATTTAAATAGGTTAAATACGGACGCGTTGCAGAAAGTCAACAGTCCCGGAAGGTCAAATAATTTATACCTGTGCCGCTAGGTCAAAAACTACAATGTTTGCAGTGTCTGTAGATCAAAAATCCCAGTAAGTCAAATAGTACAGTCCGAGCTAAAAACATGGTCTATGTTAAAGCAATTGACTTATTGAGAATTTGACCTAATGCAACAGCAGTTTTAATATAACGAAATAAGATAAAATATAAGTTCAGTTTCGCTGAGTCAACAGTGCCGGAAGGTCAAAAGTATAATCTGTTAAAAACAACGATAGTCCTCTCGACGCATGACTTCAATAACTTCGTGTTTTGGTGTACTTAAAGTTGTGCTAAAATTTTGAAAATTGGCACAGAGCTTCTTGGTTAGTCCTACTCGATGACTATTTTGTTGGAACTTTAAACTATTTACCGATATAATTAATAAAAATTGATATATATGGTGAAATAGTTTTAAATCGTGATTTCTAACATGAAAAAGTTAGCATGCGAGATTTTTGTTTGTTTTTGGGTTAGAGAGGTTTTGTCTGTGGCAAAGTTGTAGCCAAAAGTGTGATGCGTAAAATATATTTTTTTGAATTTCTTACAATCAGTGGTTCAATAGATAACTTGGGTTGAAGAGGACGGCAAATTTAGCATTTCGCAACGCATGGAAAGAACTACATCGTACGATGCGACTGCTGAGTGGACTTTTAATTTAAAGTTCTAAGGACATGAAAAAGATGAAATACAGATCACCAGTACATTCATATTATTTATAAAACATCTTTCTGTATTACCAGCTTACATTTTTCACTTATATTAATAAGAATACATCATAAACAGGGTGTTAAAAATAAGCGGGGAGATACTTTACCTAGTAATTCCTTGGGTTAAAATAAACAGAAAATGAAGGATAACATTTTTTCCAAAATCGTTTCGTTAAATTAGATATCCGCCAATTTGTATTTTTTACATACAAATATTAATCTTTACACTTTTTCAACCGATGTTTATGAAACTTGGTATGTATGTTAAGGTAGGGACCCATGTTATAAAAAAAGATTCATCTCGATTCACCCTAAAACTTAACACTTAACTACAATATAATATACTTTACTACACCACAATATTTACGTATCACCATAAATCTTTAATAAAATAAAACTTTCACATTTTTAAAATCCAAAATAAATCAATATAATCTTTCTTTTTTGAAAAATATAGTAAAAAAAAGGCGATGTTAAAATAACGACAGGCGAGTTTCGATCTGGGTGTTTCAGGTTTGAACACAGGCTGTTGGGTGTTTCAGGTTGTTTTGGATTTAACATTAATTAACATTAATGTTTAATCCTCCTAGGTTTGAACTGATTGAGAGGAATACATGAAACCGAAGGGGGGAGGTAGCAGCAAGTGCACTAGTACTTACTAGTGTCCAATAACAATTTAAATGGATTTAACCAAAACCTTTTCTATTTCACTTATTTTTAGCTGTATGGTATTTGTATGGTTGGCATTTCAAAAACAGGTAAAATAGTATTAAAATTATATAAGAATGTTGTCTTAGTATTTGTGGTCCATCCCCCTTAAGGGATAAAAAAGTGATAATAGCTTAAGACAGTAGATATTTATGGCTATTATTGATATACCAAGTCTCACTACTTTATCTATATTGTTTAAAAAATATAGCCAATACAGGACTTTTCAACCATACTGTATAACGCCAACACGAAATTTTTCCGTTGAACTCCTCCGAATTTCTTAGGCGATTTTGACCATTCATGTCTCATTAGAAAGAGCGTGTCAAATACATTTGCAAACCAACCTTACATTTTTTAAATCCCTTGGGCTCAGCCCCAGTGGCTCTTAAAGAACCCATGTTATGCCTATGAAGAACATATTGATTTATTTATATTAGGATCAGCTCAATTAGTTGCTGTTATGCAATTCAAGGATATAATGTAGGCTACATTATTAACATGTTACTGATTTGTTTGAAATACTATATTTACTATTTCAATTTGGGTTTGCTGGATAATTTAATCCATTTTACCAAACAATAAAAATTAAGGGACAAAGTACTATATTTCATGAGCAATCATTGAAAGGACCGATTGAAGTCCTCATCAACCAAAAGAATGCCTACTAAAGCAAATCAAATTGAGACGAACATGTAATGCACGAAATCAGGTGGTTCTTAAGTATGTGAAAAAATGTATTGTTATTCAAAAACAGACGGAAAACTTGTAAACATATTCGTGATAATGGGTGTAACATGGCTACATTATCAATGACAAACGTGGACAACCTTATACGAGTGTGAGTAAGTCCGGAAAACAACTCTAAAAAAACAATAAGCAATAAATTGCAAGAACCGTTGCTTATATCATTGGGGGTCATTGGGTATACACGTATCTACTGACGTGTACACTCAATGCTTATATCGAACTGTTATATGTACATCGTGAGTATTTCCATTAGTTGTTCCATTTAGTTGTGTGTCCATTAGTATAATATTTTAGTTGACTCTTTTAAAGTCAGCGGAAATTGTAACTGTTATTACCCTTGAAATAATGTTTGTGTAGTACTTTGCAATCCTACCAATGCTTATAGAATCATACGATTACAATTTTCTGGTTAGAATATGTCGCATAGGGTGGTGACTACTGTATCTAGTTTTTTGAAATTCATCCGCCATTTGGCCAAATATGAAATTTCTTATGGAAAACCCTATATTTTATCATGTTTTCGGATAGAATAGGTAATTTAAAAACTTTTTTACCTCTGACATTTTTTCGATAACCCCACTCGTTTAGGAGTTACAGCCCATGGAAAAATGACTTCCGGTGTAATACTTTTAATACTTCTAATACTTTTTAGTACATTTTACATCATGTAGCTCATAAACAAGTAAGTTTATAGCAAAAATGCGAAGAGTAAAAAAGTCTAACAATTGCATCCACATTCCAAAAAGACCATAAAAAAATGGCCATTTAAAAAATGGCGGCAAACTTGAAAAGTGGAAAACTTTTTATGTTATAGTCTTTAAGGAATGTAGATGCAATTCTAAGACTAATTTACAGTTTGCAATTTTGCTCTAAACTTACTTGTTTAGGAGCTACATGATGTAAAATGTACACCGGAAGTCATTTTTCCATATGCTGTACTCCTAAACGAGTGGGTTTATCGAAAAAATGTCAAGGCTAAAAACGTTTTTAAACTGCATATTCTATCCGAAAACATGATAAAAAAAACTAAAATCATATTTTTAACTGCCACAAAAAATAAAGGAATGTCCCCCATTTAAAGTTTTCTCTAATTCTTACCGTTTCCGATTTCCCGATGGTGGCCTCCTTGAGTTGATCACCCTGTATATGAATTTGAACGGATGGTGTTTTTGGCCTCTAGGGGCCTCAAAACGAAAAATTAAATCGGTCCCGGGTCCAGGTGTTTCTATAAGTACTACGGTAATAGTTTATTCCCTATATGGGAAATTCGCCAAAAACCTAATAGTTATATAGAACAATATTACATTCAACCAGCTGTTAGTTAAAACAAATTATATGGGACTAAAACAAATCGATGATTACAAAGATCCCTTTAAAAAATAATTTGAACATCCTACTATTTTACTATGCATATTTAATTAATCTGCCACTAGTGGAACCCCGTCGAAATCGACGGTTAATCTTGAGGTTTTATGTAAATTCAGCTAACTGCGATAGATAGAGTGAAGTCATTAAAATCTTAGTTAAATGAAGGGGGGATAAGCATAATAATAAGTATGACGATTGTGTTCCCTAAAAAAGGTGATTGTTGAATTCGTTTAACACAATATTTCCTACCTTTTTATCGGCTTTAGGTTGCCCAAAAGGTTTTTTAGGAGTCTTTATAATTGTTTGTTCATGAGTTTGTTTCATGTCAAAGCCACTTTCACTATATGGGAGAATGAGTTCATATAATTAGTCTATCATGTTACGGAAAGAGTCAATATTTATTGATCATCATTCAGATTGTATCCAGATTTATAAGTAAATCTTCATCTGTGGTCATAAAAATACAGAATTTTATCAGCATTTAAATAAGTTTTTTTTTTTATTTGATAAAAATATCTGATTCTCCAGATAGCAGTAACATTCTTACTTCGATCTAAGCAATTTTAATTCCTTCTCTTGCCACATCGACCCATGTATTTAATCATCCTGTTCTTACTTGATAATTCATTAACTTATGGGGTAATTTTGCCTGGCCATATCGACCACATAAAGCTGTGCATGTTTTTCGTGGATGGAATGAACCATAATTGTAGGAAATTTGATCACAAATCTTGAACATTTGCGGAACCAAATCCATAACCTAGTCCAGCATTGGTAACAATGTTTACAGCTGTTATGTTAAGCAAATTATATTGTACTAAAAGCTAGCTTAGAAGGTTAGCGTCGGCTGCTAGACTTTTTAAAAATTAAAACTTAATTTCTAAAAAACTGGGACCCTTAATTATAATTATGGCTTTGACATTCCCTAGTTCTCAAAATTATCTTTCTTTCATCACAAAAATAATGAAAATCCGTCGACTGGTTGATTCAGAATGTGAAAAACCCCCATTTACGTTTTAATAATATATATGATAGTTGGACAGGTTTCAACCCTTCCGAGGCGTAATACATTTACACATTTTATGTGTAGACTACATTATAACTCATAAAATAGTTCTAAAATTAAATGGATCTCCTTTTACAATCGTATTTAATAACCAGAAATTTTCAGATCGTCCTTGCGTGTTTTTCATGCCACAAATTTTGACGAAAGGCTTTTTATTACATCAACTATACCTATTTACAGTGTTGACCAAACAGTTGGCAAGAAGCATGAATAGATAACCTATGTACCAAATATGATAATTTTAGCTCTATTCTAATTATGACAAAACACGAAGTAACTAAAAGCGAGTTTTGTTGGTGTAGTAAGCGTTGCAGGAGGTCTACTTTACACTGAATCGACGTTCACTTTTATTGCTTTTGATCTTCCGGCACTGTTGACTCAGCGAAACTGAACTTGTATTTTACCGTATTTTGTTATATTAAAACTACTGTTGCATTAGGTCAAATTCCCAATAAGTCAATTGGTTTAACATAGACCACGTTTTTAGCTCGGACTGTACTATTTGACTTACTGGGACTTTTGATCTACAGACACTGCAAACATTGTAGTTTTTGACCTAGCGGCACAGGTATAAATTATTTGATCTTCCGGGACTGTTGACTTCCAGCAACATTCCCTTAAATACAATCCTGAAAAGAAAACAGCAAAAATACTTGTACCCAAACACCGAACCGATTTTTTGCCAAGAACCGAGGTAAGGAGGTACAAAACAATGTACTGTAACGAACCATACCGACCTTAAATTTTCTGTACCGTAAACCCGTAGTTTATACATAACAAAAGAATACTAAAATATTATACAGCGTTTGTATTTGTTTGCAAGAAATTTTTTTAAGGCCTTGATTAAAAGTTTCTTCTAAAGATAGGTGGTCCCACAACAGTAAAATACTGGGTTACCCTTAAATCATTTCCCTGTCCTGTCATAGTAATTTAATTTAGACCAAATCATATTTTACACTTGGAAAATTAAGGAAAATCGTATTAAGAAAAAGATAGATTTACTCTACTCTAAGGGTAAAAACTAAAATGCAAGACCAGATGACTTTAGTAATTATACTCTTTGGTACAGTTCAAAGCAGTCAATTTGTACAAATTTTGTTGTCTAGACATCATCATTAGCATTTCTACTAGTGAAGTTCTTCAGCCAGTGACGCAGTAAGATATATAAACACAAAACATACACATTTTATACATTTATGTTTATATATGTGCATTGGAATATCTCAACATTTATATTTTTGTGTTACTTGTTCAATTAATCATCTGAACATGAATAAGAAAACTGTGTAAATTGTGTTTAACAATCTAACAATCTCATCATCATTGAAGGAATTTCCCAACTGCTAGCAATGTCTTGACACCAAAGCATGTGAAAATTTGCCTGATGAGCTTTACTGATGGGAGAATACATAAGTGATGATGTCAAACTGACCTTTCCTTGATACTGGTCAGGATGCTTGGTCTTGCAGTGGTCTTCAAGGTTTTGGCTGGTAGAGAATATCCTTAGACAGAATTGACAGGTGACTCTAGAATCGCCTCTGTGTGCAGTGCTGACATGGCCCCACAAGTGCTTAGCTACTGTGTACGACTTGCTGCACAGCTCACAACGGAACGGCCTGTCGACCATACTTACAATTACAACCATTATACAACAATCCTTCAAACCTAAAAACCTTTGTTACATCACTAACCGGAAACATATGGTAAGATTTTTGACTGAATGTTTTGGTTCACTCATGCAAGGCAGTAACCAGTTAATCACTGGTCAAGTAAAACAAGTAAAAAAATCAAGCACCTCAAAAGTTTAAATTATGGTGCTGCTTGATGTTGAACTTGACAACATCTAACAAAAGGTAGACTTTAAATAATAAATTTGCACCGGACAAGCCCATGAGGCGTAGCCCAAGGGAAATATGAAAATTAAATTATTGAATATTGCATTGTCCTCAATTTGTAAGCTTTGTTTCAAGTTTCAAGTCTCTAGCTCATCGGGAAGTTAGTATAAAATTGATTGCAAAATTTGTACCAGACAAGAAAGCGAGCAAATAAAAACGTTTTAAAAAGACCAAAATTAAAAAAAAAATGTCAATCACATGAATAAACACAAATGACAATAAAAAAACTCCCAAATTAGATAGAGTCTACTGTAATGATACAAGCCAAACTGTACAACAGTTGTAATGCACCCACCTGTCCTGGACCTGCGGGTAGCCGTCACTGTTGTGGACTTTGATGTGGTTGGACAAGTTGCCCTTGGACATGAATGTCTTGTCACACACAGGACAACTGAACAGCCTCACAGCTTCCTTCTTGCCTGTCATAGTCACAGTACCTCCTGCCATGTGACACCTGCACAGATAATCATTGAACATTGAGTGTATCTAATTAAAGCAAGTTATGAAAATTGAGCAGAAAGTTGTTCAGCAGCAAGGATCTTTGAAAGATCTTGTTTTTGTGTCTATAAATTTGTCAAAGGCTAGGACATAAGCCATAAAGGAAACTACTTTATTACCACTCGTATCTGCAGTGGATCATAGCTTAAAATTACACCTCAACGTTAAAGATCTATTAAGTAGGACAGTTAAAAAAAAGGGTAAAGAGAAACTAGGGATGACAAGATTGGATTTATAGTTTGAGACGAGACGAGACAGGATTTTTTTTCTTATAAAATGTTGAGACAAGATCGAGACAGCATTTCCCTTCTCATACATAATGGGAAATGCAAGTTCAACATTTTAACCTGATTTTAAAACAATTTTTTTTTATATTTACTGATTTATGACAGTGACAGATGGCTGGTTAAATACAAAAATAATAATAATAGAACAGAATATTTAAAATCTTTTACTATAAAACATTAATAAACACATCAGTATGAAAAAACAAATATTAATTATGCCTACCTTATTAAAAATAACTCTTCCACATGGGAAACATGGTGATATCAGTTAGGATATAGATCAACTTTAAAAATACAAAATTTATCAGTCTAAAACATCAGACTTAGCCTACTAGTCAAGTATCAAGTAACAATTTTTCAGTCTTGTGTTATTTTTAGAATGAATTTGGAGTGAGTGGTTTTGGCTATGTTTACAGTAGTAAAACATGTCTCACACTGCTTACACTTTACAAAACTCATCGTTTGTGAAATCAAAACCAAAAATTATAAAACAATTAAAGCAATATCTTTATGTAAAGAATTAACTTAATAAGAACGCCTTTGCAAAGGAAATGCAACAGCAATGCACTCCTGTATTGCGGGTATTGCATTGACTTTCTGCAGGCATTTTCAATTTTTTTTTATCTTGTCTAAAAAAAATCTTTATAAAAATAAAATCTCGTCTTGTAGAACAAGATGTAAAAATTCCCGAAAATTTATAAAAATATCAAAACCCGTCATTACCTAAGAGAAACCCCTTTTTAAATTGATTACCTAAATAGATGGTTTAATTTACTTTTAAAAGAAGATAGGCTAGTTTCATTTCTTGTTGTGGTGTTTCCAGACCAAATACTGGCAATTAAAAAAAAGGTTTAAACACCTTGTGGTCTAAGTTGTCCTACTGTATTATGCGCATTTCGACGCCAACGCCATCGTCAGATCCATAGTATAAGAACACTAATCTTGCCTTAAGAGGTGTATTGAAAGTTCACAATCAAGACACAAAACATAAAAACGATAGTTGACTATTTACAGTTAACATGGTTTGTCTTTAGCGATGCGTTCACGTGCAAGGCAGTATGGAGACTCGACTGAAGACGGGAGTTGGTTGTGATCTGACCTTTAGGTGATGACGTGGCGAGTACAGGATTGTTTGGACTATTGTAGATATACTAGTCTTAGAATAGGGTGATGGTCTATTGAATAAAGGTATTTTAAACCTCATTCATATTCAAGTAAAAGAATTTTACTTACTTGGAATGAATGATGAGCGCTGACATGTTGCTGAAGCTTTCAGGACATGAAGGACAGACGAAGGAGCCAGAGTTGACTTCTATCACTTGCTCCGGATGTTCGAACTTTGGAGACTGACCATGGTTGTATTGGACCATCGAAGACTGGATTGGTTCATTGTCCTGTAAGAAAAGGCAGCGATTATATTTTAGTTGGATTCCCAAATCATAGTTATTGTGCAAGCCACATACAAAGGAGTCTCGATAGGACCGAATAGGCTGATTCTGACAGGAGCCATTTTGGATTAACTATTTTGGGTAATCAATACAAAATTATTACTAACATAAAAACTATAATGAAATACATCACATTAACTGATGTGGATGAGTGATAACAAGATGAAGTTGTTATGATCAGAAGATCTTTGAAATTGTTTTCAAGGAACTGGACATCTCTGATATGAGTATCCCATTCAGACATGGCAACTACCCTATGTGTAGCGCTACACTGTATAGAATAGTAGGGATGGACGAGTCCCGAAATTTCAGGACATTTTCGGGGAAAAAATATTCCAGATTTTCGGGATGGGATTACATTTGATTCAGGAATTTTCCGCGTCGGCGAATTAGCCGCTTCGCGAGTGACGATGATGCCGCTATCGCGAGAGATGTTCACGATAGTTCCGCGAACGCAGGAGGCGAAGTCATTTCGACGATTGCACCAAGACCGCAAGTCATAACGATGATCATGCCGTGACCGTGAGTCATATCACCGATCGCATTGTGGCCGGGAAGTAATACCGACGATCATGCCGAGATGATCATTTTTTTGTTATTGTAGATCAGTGCCAAAAATTGACTTTGTTTTTCTTGTTTGGTAACTGCAAAACTCAAGACTTTCTTTTTATGTACAGGAAAAAATCCCGTCCTGAAAATTGGGAAGGAAATAACTGAGGATAAATCCCGTCCCGTCCCATCCCGAACCAAAAATTCAATGCCGTCCATCGCTTTAGAATAAGCACCTTGATCTAAACCGAAAAAAATATTTCTAAAGCCTTGGCGTACTTTTACTTCAAACGAGGAGTTTTCTTCACTTAGAAAACAAAATTAGCAGACTTAAATATCCTAATTTTGGTTTCCCTATTACAGTTTTGGATGAAGCAAATTTTCAGATTAGGCCTAGTAAAGTTTAAATTATCCGGACTTTGCAAATTTCATATCATAGTAATAAAATTTATTCCAAAATTGAATGTAGTAAATCTTCAAAAGTGCCTTCCTTGCACTGATTATATCAAAGAAAGTTCTATGTTCATATGTATGTTGTGGTATTGTATATGAAACTCGTCTACAGATAAGTTAGGATCAGTATGTTTTTGTTTTTTATCACTTATGTAATAATATTTCGTTCTCTCTTATATCTTTTCTCTTATGTCTTTATTTCAGAAATATTAATAAATCTTTTTAGTGCTCAATAGGCCTACTATTCTAATCTAAGTAATGGAACAACTCTAGTGCCAACAAAACAGACGGTTATTCATTAACCATTGTTTTTATGTGTCTGTGTAAAAATGTATTTATGTTCTAAATTGTACAATAAAGCACATTTTCATTTCATTTCATGTATGTTGTGGTGATAAATGAGCTGAAAATGTAATATAATGGCTACATTCCACAAACAAAAAAAAATCAAAATCTGAGGAATAATTATGGAGTTTTGTCAGTAGTCTATCAATGTGACAATTAATTATATATAAAATAATTTTGAGCAAATTGAATCCACTTTTCAATTGAAACAAAATAACTGCTTTTTACTGCTCCTATGATAAGTTATGTGTAATTCAAGTGCAAAATAAAAATCAAAGTAAAAGTTTAAATTTAAATGGTTCTCATTTTAAAATGTAGGCTTTTATGCATCCCCCTTTACATGCATCCCATTCCACAAGTGAACAATAATTTTTTCCTACAGTCACCTGAAAAGTGGCCTTCCTCGCACTGATTATATCACTGAAGGTTGCTAATTGTTGCATCTACTTACTTTAGCCACACACTTTTTACTTTTGCTGCACACCAGTAGGCCTATTCCAACCAAACAACACAAAACAGAGTGTTTTTTTATTAGGCATGTAGTACGTGTACACTTGAAAATAAGTTGGCAACACTAAAGATATCACGACTACAATCAGCTGGTGTAGCGTTTTCCATTTCGTTCAATGTTTGGATTAAACCTAACCTAAAAATGTGATGTGCAGTGTTTGAAAGACTAATTATTTATATGCTTTATAGTAACTGTAGGAAAATATAATGTGTAACGCAAGTGCAAACTGCCTCTGCTACACTCGAGAAACTTTCCAAAATCATCGATGGTTGTGCGTAAACATTTCTCTCGTGTGCAAAGTGCCACTTCGTCCACTAGTGAAGTATTATAGTTACACAAATAACTATAATATAACTCAGAAAAAAACATACTGTACTTCCAGAAAAAACTGTGTTAGGCTTATTATTTCAGATAACCAGCTTTTCATTAGTTACTTTAAGACAATGAATCCTACCAGGCATGCTTCTAAGAAATCCGCAGGATTCGGAGCTTCTTGGCTGTCGGAGTATTCAGATCGAGCACTATTCATCGAGATACTTTCAGCATCAGGATTCTGAAAATTTAAATGGTAAAAATCTGGATAAATGGAAATATTGCTCAATTTTTTGAGGGAAAATATAACTTTTACACTGATAAGTCATTTACTATTTTTATTTTAGAAGTGGAAATATTTTTGAAAGTGACAGATATTGAATTTCTTTTTCAATTTTAAAATCAAAGAGAAAGTAAGTCACAATATAAAAGATGATGATATTAGCTTAGTAAGTATCCTACATAAACTGGCCGCTGCAAGGTTGAAACAGCGGAAAGGTTGGGTAACATGTAAAAAGTAAACGTTAATTAGCTATACAAATTTTCAAAAAAAAAAATTATTTAAAGTTTCTCTTTTGTCAAAGTTATTTAAGACTGTTTTTTTTTCTCTTGAGCCACAAACTGTTTTTAAAAGTAGGTTTAACTGACAAAGTATTGAGTTCTACTACCTGTAACTAAGAATTACTCACTCTCTTCTGAGGTTTGTACTGTAGCTCGAGAGCATTGCCCCACTTTTCATTGACATAACTCTCCAGTTTGTGGACTGTGTCCACACAACTCTTGCGAAAATCGTAGAAATTTTCCAAGTTGTAAATACAACGGTAACACAGTGATTTTGGCAACATGTCATCATCTGACACCTGTAAAAGTGCATTATAGTTAACAAAATCAAATCAAAATACAAAATAAATATGATAATCTTAACAGAATATAGGCTACTCCACATGTACTGTGCAGTACAGGTAGGTATTGTGGGAGAGAGTCGGGACGCCATTAACACTACTAAAGAAAATATGTTTATTGTCATATGAGTTGTGTCAGCTGTCCACTTCTTTTTCACTGTCGCTAGCAGCCAATTTCTTTACTCCATTCAGTAGTTCATATCCATCTATCTATATACAGGGTTGGGCAAAAGTATGGAACGCCCTATCAACTTCTTAATGGGTTGTATCAGGAAAACCAAACTCTGCACATGTCTATATGACACAATACCCCCACTGCAGCAAACCTGCCGACTAAGCGAATTATTGACTTTCAATTAATCTATCAAATTGACAGTTATGTTTAACGAGTACCTTAGGTTAGCTGCTACAGGGAAACTAATAAAGTGTGTTTGTTATTAAAATATCAATAGCTTAGTGTGAAATAAATAAATCCGCCAAGTTTTATCAAAATATATCCATAAACAAAACACCTACAACATTTTATAATATTCACCATAAGAATAACAAGGGAATTTTAAATTTAAGATTTTTTGAATTTTCTATGTAACCAATCACCGTACAAAAACAAACACTTTGATACCGTTTATTAAATTAACTAGGTCAAACCCGTCGAAATCGACGGTTACTCTCAAGGCTTACGCTAATTCATCTACGGAAAGTTAGGTTAAGTGGAATATACTTTAAGTAGCTGCTTAAATAGTATTTACTCTTTATGCCTTTTTTATAGCCGAAATGTCGTGTTATTTTCAATCATGTTAACAACCCAGTGGGCCGCGGTCCGTAATATAGGATACTGCAAATAATTTTGCAAGATAGGTACCATTTTAGTCAAGGGTTCTGTCTTTGGATGTTATTAGACACGATAAAGCTGGGTTTTCCTAGACGCGGAGTCGGCCAGCGGAGAGCGGACAACGGAGAGCGGAATTGAAATTAACATGGCATTCCGCTCCGCTGCTAGGAAAACAGTAACATTAAATTACCTAAGACCAGCTGAGTCCGCTCTCCGCGTTCCTCTCTCCGCTGGCCGACTACGCGCCTAGGAAAACCCGGCTTAAGAGCACAATAAACTTCTTCTGCAGATAAATAATCTGCTGGAGAAATATAAGCCAAATTATAAATGTTACAATGCGAGTTCAAGCATTTTGTAACTATATGGGTAAGTTACATAGTATTTTTTAGGCTGCTGCTCAGTGCACTTTAAGAATATATATTTTAGAGATAAACTAAATGGTTTTTGTTGCTGAGTAGCGCTAATAAACATGTACAACCCATTTCATTATTCTAATAACATTAAAAGGCTCTTTAGGAGTTCAAATTCTTATTTGTATACATATCTATATTATGTGTTCACTATGATGAATGAATACTTTATAGCAACCTCTCTGAAAAGTCTGTAGTAAATTGCAGATTTAAAGCTTAATGACTTTCTAAATCATGCACATATTTCTACATAAATATTGTAAAATGTTTTATCCAGTTGCTGTAAACTAACTATTAATTTAACAAAATATGGACACGGCTCAAATGGACAACGTGCCCTTCTGCACTTGTATTATTTTGTATTGTATTACACATTCGACTATTTTTCCAATGATTGAAAACATGTATGACAATTATCTCATGAACCTATGATGATCTGTAGAATAATATTATAAAATATCTAGGCAAAAGTCGTGAAAAAGGCAGACAACAACCTGTACTCCAGATATTAGATAGTTCAATAAGAAATTATTGTAAGAGTTCTGCGATAAAAGGAATTTCCACAGATTTTGTAATGAAACGTTATATTGCAAAATATGACATGATACAGAAGAAAATCAATTTTAAAATCAGAAAATAACATTGCAAATACTTCTTCTGGACAACTCAGTAACTCCCAATAAATGTGTGTTGTTTAAAACACAATATAAAAATTAACAGCTGTTTCATTAAAAAGTATTATATGGCCAAAATGTAAACAAAGCTGTCGAGGGATCTTTAAAGGCTTCTGGGGCAGAGCCCTAAGCGAATTTACTTCGTTTATATTTTGATAACTCATCTACAGACCAAGACCTTTCTTTGGCCACCTCTATCAAGTTTCTACGCCCAGCCATTCTCTCAAATTAGTGGAGACAAAGTTTCCAATTAAATATTTAGATTCCCCCATGTTAATCTTATGGGAGAAAACCCAACTTTGATGGAAGATCCTGCCCAAACTAATAAAGATATCAAAAAACGAAAAACACTTTGCAAAACTACAGATCAGGGCCATTGTTTTGACATTTTAATCATCAAAATCGGTCCAAAAATCTGGGAGGAGTTCTGTTTACAAAAATCGGCTTAGCGTATTATATATATAGATTTTGTTTTCAAGCTCTTTAAAAAGAGGTCTGGAGAAAAATTGATAAATTTTGTGTTTTAAGGGTAAAAGATGAGAAAACCCCATTTTTACCCCATAAACTCCCCCCCCCCCCACATTAAACCCGTTCCCATGATCCGATCATGCTGGTTCGGGAACTCATTCAATTTTATCCCGCCTTACACATTCAAACCAAATTTTATCAAAATCGGACAAAAATTACTCGAGTTATCGTCTGGACGGACACACACACACATATATATAGATCTAGGGCTATATAAAAATTTTAAAGAATGGTGTTTTTGGCCTCAGGGGACATCAAAATGAAAAAGTTAATCGGCCCCGGGCCTAGGTCTTACCATGAGACCTACGGTAATAGCTACTTCCCTATAGGGAAATTCGCTAAAAGTGCACATTTTGGTGGTATCCCTATTTCGTCCGAAAACCCAAAATGGGTTGTTTTAGGGGCCATTCAAAATTTTGGGTGTTTGCCCAAAATGGGTGTTTAGGGGTCATGAGAAAAATTTTCATACCAACCAAAAAAATGTGTTTTTAGTTTCTTGTTAGGGTAAATGCTAAGTTTTGTTTTCCTGGTACCTACCTACAACACATAAAAACGTTAATAGTAGATATTGATGTAATTTTTACCTTGAGTCTCTTAGAAAAATAGAAATTACCACCTTTCTGTAATGGGTTGAAATAGAGAGCTCTAGTTTACACCAATATTTTTTTTAATGTAATGAGGTGACATTTGATGGGGCTTTACATTTAAAATTTGTGAGTTGCCCCCAAAATAACCCATTTTGAATTTTAGGACAAAATTGGGATGCCAACAAAAAAGTGTCACTTTTAGGCCTATGGTTTGTCACAAAACTTAGAGGAGTGCAGAGTTTGTCTTTCCTGATACAACCCATTAAGAGGTTAAAATGGAGTTTCCATACTTTTGCCCGACCCTGTGCTAGAGTAAGGGTTTTCTCTGTTAGGCTACATCCTTTTTTTCAGCCATTAGGCCTATACTCAATTTTTTTTGTGATTGAGGTGCCATTTTAAAGCTTATGACCTAGCTTATTTCCTTTACGGCTTATCTTATTTTACCTAACAAGGGCAAGCCATAAAGCACTACGAAAAGTCAAATTATTGCGCACACCAGACAGTTGTTTTGTTGATAGACACTACAAATTCAGGCATCCGATAAGTCTGTAGACTTCCAATTAATTCCTCCTCGGGAATCTCTGATACCCAAACAAACTGGGGTACTCTGATTTGGTTTTTCTCTTACCAAATTGCCAAGAGTTATCCTTCTAGCATCAGAGAGCTTTTCTCATTCAAAAAGTTTGTAATCGGCTGTCTCCTCTGACCTACATCTTACTGTAGGGCCTATCTATTCATGTAAAAAAATATTTTTTAATATCTCAAGGGGCCTCCTTTAGAGTTTGCGTATTGTTACACAGAGTGCCACAAGGATCGGTCCTTGGCCTGTTACTTTTCACAGTGAAGATCAATGACTTAAGTATCATTCAACAGTCACACACTGTTTGCAGATAATACCACATACTCTCTTGAGGGTGAGACCTATCACATCAGAGCTGAAAACAGAAGCCCATCAACTGATGTAGCCTATAGGCTTATCTCAAATAAGCTGAAGATAAATGAAGACTCAGTTTTGGTATTCCCCCTCAAAACTGGAGGAGGTAGATTTTAAACCTGTAAGTTAAAGCTGCTTGGCTTTGACACTAAGTGCAGCTGGAACCACCACATCAAAAAAGTCTGTGTTAAACAATCAAGTGTTTTGTACCTGTTACCATTCTTCAAGGAACTAGGGGTGCTCACAGTATATAGTCAGTATGTTATGGATATTCTGATCCTACTGAAGAACAACTTGAGGGATTACAGTAAGAGAGAGGAGGTGCATGATTACCATCATAGGTACTAGGAAGGCCCAAAACATCGACGTTCCCCGCTGCCGTCTCAGTCGTACCTTGAGTTGCTATCCCCGTTCAGCAATTAGAATATACAATACTCTGCCTACCCAGATGCGGGAGATGGATGTGCCCTCCTTCAAGAGGGAACTAAAAGGGATACTTGTTAATAGACCGCTCTACTCCCTTAAAGGACTTGAGGATGAGCTCCTTGCAAAATAGTGTACGGTACCTATATGTCCGCCTTACCATTCAATAGACGGCCAAGTTTTTTTATAGTAGCCTATTTTTATGGTTTTGAAAATATTGTATATAGTTTTATTTTATTATATTATAAATTATGATGCAATCTATCAGACTAGATCTGTCAAAGATGCAGGATTCAAGTATCAAGTAGGCCCTAAGTATTAGGAAAACTTAGGTCAATCACAGCCTAAGTAGCCCTACCTAAAGACCTGTGTACCATGCCCTCTTTGACAGCCACATAACGTAAGTTATGAACTGGTATTGTGGGGACATGCTCCTTCAGCCCATTATGAAAGCTAATATTAAAAAAGGCTTACTGCTCCAAGTGACTGCTCCAAAAAAGGCACTCAGATTTATAACACCTTATAACACCTTCTGAATAAGTACACTGAGCACTGCCGGCCTAAACTTAATTTTCAGGGATCAGCAGATAGGCCCACAAGTAGGTAGGCCTACTTAAAACCGTGATCTTCAGTCAATATGTCTTTGACATAAGGTAGGTCTAAACTTTCTCATCCTCCTTATGGAACATGAAGGTGTATAGGTATTTGAAAAGGGAAGACCAGCAAAGCTTCAAAGAGCACAAAAACCATACCATTCTGTCGCTTAAGTCGTACCCTCAAATTTTATAGTCGCTCTGCAATAAGTAAAGGTATTTAATATCCTGCCAGTGTGAGATGGAACTATAGGTCCAACTTACCTATAAATAAAAAAATGTACCGGTAGTAAGTTTTACATCCGGATCACTTGGATAACTTAACACACCAGCTAAGTTACTTGACTTATATTCATTCTAGGAACAGATTTTCCAATCTTAGACCAAATTACTGTAGGCCTAACTTACATCTGCCATGCCACATTAAAATATGGTAGCCTATTCCAAATATGCTATATAGCCTAGCCTAACTTAGTGTAGCCTTATGTTTTATTGACAATTTGTTAACTTAAAGTAAAGTTAGGCCTACCTATTGACATAAATATAGGCTAATGTTTCATTGACATCTTGTAAGAGTACCTGACACAACCTAACCGACAGTGTCGATAAGGATAAAGACTTCAAGAAGGCCCAATCTTAGGCCTAGGCCAAAGAATCAAAATGCTGAGTGAGAAGGCCTAATTGATCAGTCTTTTCAAGCTTATGGTCTCTTGTACCTAGTCTGAATAATTACTAGGCCTAGAGGCCTATTAAAATTATTTAGTTCCTTCTAATTCAAGATTAGGCTTATTTCTAGAAGAATTCGAATAAAATACTAAGCATATGCCTAGACCTACTTACCTTTACAGGTAAACAAGTGTGAATTTTGTCAAGGAGTTTCCTCTCTTTTCCTTTATCACCAAAAATGTCCATTTTGATATTGTCCAAGGAAGCACAGAGGCGGCAGAGCTCCTTAAAGTTATCTCCGAAATCAGTCATTTTTATGTTTGCTAATCGTAAAGAATATCAATTACTTTATTTTATAAAATTACACTCCGGATGAATATTTCTTAGGAGAAGCTACACCGACTGGTAACATGGACAACTTTTACCTCCCGTTCCATGAACGTGGGTAAACGCAAAAAGTGTCACGAGCATTGTTACTTAACTGTTGATACTAACGCTTGAAACATCATGACATATAAAACACAAACAGCTTTCTTGAGATACACAAATTGAGGATGAGGATAGGCACTCCTCGCTTCGCCTACAACTCGAACCTGCCATTTTGGATTAAGTTTTTCATTGGTTCACTTCACTTCTTTCCTTTCGTCCTTTTCTTTCTTTGCTTTACTCTACTGTATTCCAATTCTTTCATCCTACTCCATTCCACAGAGAGAGACGGAGCATTGGTCAAGGGGAATCCAAAAACCAGGCCACTGTAAAATTCAAAGAACAAGAGAATGAGAACGAACGAAGAGATATAGAATGTGAAAGTAAGTAATCAAAGAGGAGCAGGGAGCAGACGAATAATAATTCAATACATTCTCTGACTATCAAGGACTAACAAGTAAAAGTGGTTAGAATTTAGCACTGAGTTAGAATTATAGCTCAGTGGAATTTAGAGGTTTTTAATATTATATCATAGATAAAACATTCTCCCTTGATTAAATCATCTATTTTTTTGTCCTGAGACGTTAGACGTTGGACACGAGCCCGGGAATGTTTTGCACATTACTTCAGGCTTAGGCTAGACCTAGGGGTTGCGGCACTATCACTTAGATAAAATCACGGATAAAAAATCCGTTGGTTATTTAACGGGATTTGAACCAGGGACCTCAGGGTCTCCGAAGTCCCACGCTCTATAACCACTTAAGACCAGCTCGCTAGGCTATACATTAGTCATAAGTCATTTATTTAGCCAAATTAACCAAATACAATCAGCATTAGCCATGTCAAAATAAACTAAAATACAAAACTTCTTATGTAGTACATTTGTAAAACTATTTACAAACAGTTATGACTACTGGACGCTATAGTAAACCACATTCAAGAGCAGTCTTTTCTCTTCACTGCTCTTTTGAAAGTCTTGTGATCCTGCTCGGTCTTCAACCCCAGAGGAGAGGAAGGCTATTGTACAGCTTTGTAGCGTTGTACTGAAAATGACGTTGGAAGAATGAAGTGGAGTGTTTGGGGATGGGAATGTTGTTAGTGTTTCGAAGAGAATACTTGTGACTTAAACTGCCTGAAGATTTCCCTATTGTTTTTTTTTTTTTTTTTTTAGATGGAGAAGATAACTCGAGTGCTGTTATAAACATTTAAACGAGAAAACGCTATCCATTCAAAGAATCGAAACTAAATGGATTTTCTGTAATTTATAATTGTCTATAACTGCAAAAGCGAACAGGAATTTGGTCTGATAACAACCTAACAACCCGATATTCACGACACTTTTCGTATTTGTTTCCTTTGGCATTGAAATGAAAACCCTCTATTTGCCCACCTCATCCGATCCCATTTAGAATACTGTCATAGACCATGGTGGAAGGAAAAAACATAGGTATGCTATTCCCACATATTCTGACGTCACTCGGATTGCAAACAAAAGATCACCTGATTGTAACTGTCAAATTAGTACCTATATGTATTTGTTTTGATTTGGTTGTTATTGTTTTTATTATTATAAAAACAATAACAATCAAATCAAAACAAATACATACTAATTTGACAGTTACAATAATAATATAATAATAACAATAATAAAAACAATAACCAAATCAAAACAAATACATATACTAATTTGACAGTTACAATCAGGTGATATTTTGTTTGCAATCAGAGTGACGTCAGAATATGTGGGAATAGCACACCTATGTTTTTTCCTTCCGCCATTGTCATAGACCATGGTCATAGACTAACCACAGATAAATAAAACATATAGGGTACTCTAGATTTATCATCCTTATAGAACAGCTGGCATCGGTTTGCTAAGGGAAATGCTTACCTCCTGCCTTTGTCCTACTCCATCCTGAACTCCTGCATCAAATCTTTGCATGTTCGTAAACTTTCTATTTATTACATTGTTATTTATTTTTGTTAATAGTCTATCCTGTTATTATCTTGTTCTTGTTGCAGAGTATATTCATCTTGTTATTTTTTCTGCAAGTTTATCTGTTTTTATCAACGTTCTGCCTCTATTACTAAAGTTTTACTGCACTGCTATCATTATTATGCTATGTTGTTATAATGGTTTTGTTTTTGTGAATCTCTTGTTTGTTAACTTGTTTAGATAGTTTGTTATTTATAATTTGTTATTTATAGTTGGTATTTATCTTTTATGTATTGTTCTTGAAATCTGGTTTTCTAGTTTTTTCACTACTTTTGTACTGGCCTTACCGCAAAGACACTATGTTATTCCTCTGCTTCTTTCTTTCTCTTATAAGACTACTGTATTTTTCTTGCAAAAAATTATGCAACCGTTTATAAATAAACAGCTGAAGCCAATTTATTGTTAGTTCTGTCCGGTACACTGTAGAGTTCGTGTTTTGTTTACAATTTGTTTCTTGTTATTTTAGTCATTAGAAAACCTCGTTTAACCAAATAAAACGTTATAATTTTGAACAATAACTCGTCCCCAAGTTATACAACCAACAGTAAAGCATATGTCATTAAATTAACCCTAAAATAATAGAAACTAAATTTTATCAACAGTAGCGATGATAAGTGTCACGTCACCAGACATGAACTAGACAACCAATTGCCATTCAACCATGCTTAGCTTGTGATATAAGAAATATATTATTCATTGAATGATCAACCATCTTTTGTAACCAACGCAATAGTCATTATTGTTCCTACTGTTATTTAGTACTCATTAAAAAATGCTAAAAAATGCTCACTTTTTTATAATAATTTCACTCTGTCGCAGCTAGAAAAATTATCGTAAGCAACCGTCGATTTCGAGGGTTTCACCATTGACTATATTTACCTACAGAAGACATCCCAGATCCCAGGCTTAAAATGGGCCGGTGCCGGTAGTAGTGTGAGAAGTAGTTGACGTGAGCTGCCGGTAGGAGCGCGATAGTAGGATTTTCTTCTATCTGCGCTCTCTCTCTCGCACATTCCCCCCTCGCTTGCCCCGTGGCCTACTCTGCATCGCTCTCAACTTGCACATTCCATCTCTCTTTGTCTCGCTTCCCCACCGACCACGTGACCCACTCTGCTACACTGCTACCATAGATAAAAGGAGTGCTGCTACGAGCTACGATGCTACGTCGCATCGCTACGCTACACTACAACACAACTGCTCGGGCAATGAATACAAGCTGGCGCTCGTCATTAACGGTCAAACCTTACGTTAATGTAGGCCTAGCTCACGATGATAATTTATAAAATTAGCATGTGTGTTGCGCGATATAGGTATATATAGTCAATGGTATCAAATAACTACCATACGATGGTAAGATGTCATACCTTATAATGTTATAATGGCATAGCTTAAGCTTACCATTGGCATTGACTTACGTTACGACGATCGAGTGGCACTGGAGCTGGAGCAGAGTGACGAGCGAGATCAGAGCAGAGTCAGGATAAGATTGGATCATCGGATTTCACGTGGACTCGGACTTAGGAGTCAACAGGAGGAGCGGTTAAACAATTTTTATTTCAGCTGCAATTTTTAATACGGAGAAAATAAGAGTAAAAAAATATAAATTATAAAATAATTATTTATAAAACTAAGAAAAAATATAAAATTAAATTAAAATTAATTAATTAACTATAGATATCGATGGTGGTGACTGGTGGCACGGCCGCCTTTAACTCCGGCCACGGCCTTCGAAGTGGCAACGTCGCAATCGCAAGTGGTGTTGTAACAGCTGTTTTGTTTGGAAGCAGCTAAAATGGTATTTGTGCTTTTACGAAAGATTGGTTACTGGACTATGACAATATTAAATCCGCTTAGAAATGTACAGATATAGATTTTCATTCATATTGTTTCGTTTTCAATTCTGTATTATTTTCAATATTTTATGTTCATAAATTTAAATAAATAAAGTGCGAATTGATGAGCTGATGCACTGGTGGGTGATGTGAGAAAACATGATTTCGAGTCGGAGTCGATGTGAGATTGGATTGGAATTGGATTGGATTGGATGTGGAGTGGGAGTGGATGTGATATGTGATGTTGAGTTGATGTTGGTTTGGTTTGGTGGGTTTGGTGGTGGATTTTTTTTTTAGATTGGATTTTGTATTGTGATGATGGGCGAAGGCGAAGGCGAGGCGAACGCAAAGCGCTAAGTTGAGTTGAGAAGAGAAAGACAATGTTCAGAGATTCAGTGAGGGACAGAAAATTCCGTTTCCTCCTTGGTGTTTAGTGTTAGTGAAATGATTATGCTAATTTTATTTATATGGTAACCATCCGTATGCAAAGAGTAGCCTAGCCTATGAATCCTGTTGTTAATAGCCGTTAATCTAGGGAGTTTCCTGGATCTCGTTATAGGCTAGCTTAATACATTAACTTAGTACTGTATTAACTAAATCATGTCAGGTTACCGAAGGGTAAACTACTATGAACTATGTCGCCTGTGTGTATCAAGTGAAGGTGCTAAAATGCACATTTTTAGAGAAGAGGGAAGGAGAAGACAGTTGCCATCAAAAATTCAAATGTGTCTACCACTGCAGGTAAGCGCTATCAACGGAAGTTTATCTGTTGGTTTGAAAAAGATGAACATCATAACATAGGCCTATCTTAGGTCTACACCTACTGTAACCACGATTACTAGAAAAATACCATAAACATAAACAAATTACGTTTTTGGCCCGAAAATAATCATTATTTAACATTGCTTAACTTAAATGTAACTGCCAACGGGTACAGTTTCTTAACTGGGCTACGCTAATATTGATTGAAACTATCGAATTAAAAATATTGATTAATAATCGATAATTTAAAACGCAGAGGATACGCGTCCGGTAACAGGACGTGGATTAGGCGTCCGGCAGTTACTGTCATAACCTAGGCCTAACCTAATCAACCAAACTTGCTGATGATGAAAAAATCAAATGAAGGTTCAATTCTCTTCATAACATAAAATTATAAATGCCAAAAATTATAACCAAAGATGTACAGTTAAGAAGAAATTACATTCAAAGCAAAATCTGTGACAATAAGTTAAAGAAACCTATGGGTTTCGAACCAGGGACCTCTTGGATATCACCCGAGCACTCTATCCACTACACCACGAACAACGCTGGCCGAACATTGTATCGTTGTGGTAATGGCGTTCCGGGACCCCACAACCCGGTGACGTCACCACCGGACGCCTAATCCACGTCTGGTTACCGGACGCGTATCCTCTGTGAATTTTAAATACATCTAACTTATTATAAAATTAAACTATCATAACCTAACCTTACCAACAAAACTTGCTGACGGTGAAAAAATCGCATGAAGGTTTAAGTACCGGTATTTACCTTACTAATCGGAACCGATAGTTTCAATCAATATTAGCAGCGTAACCCAGTTCAATGCTATTACTAATGTTCAATGCTATTAAGTTATAGCCTAGTAGCCTACCTATAGGATTCGGGCCAACAACGTCATTTGTTTATGTTTATGATCCATACTTAGGTACCGGTATTTTTCTAGTAGGCCTAGGCCTATTCGTGACTGTAATGTAACTATATGTAGGCCTAGGCTAGATAGGTTTTGATTTGCCTAGGCAAACGCTTGGGTAGACTTCCATAGGCCTACTTACATTATCTGTTGTCAAAAATTACCGAATGAAAATATCGATCGATGTATCGATTATTCGATAGCCTATATTGTTTGGTTAACCTAACAATATATCGCTTATAACTTATAAAATGGCTTAGTTAGGCTATAATTTTTTTAATTTTGCAAATATTTTGATAGCCTAAAACCTTTTTTCCTAGAATTGTACTTAATAAAATTGCCTTAAGTTGCCTTACCACTCGTTGCATATTAACGTTTTAAAAACACTTTTTAACTGTTCTTTGACATCTTACTTACCGCTTACTGCTGTTCTTCTCCTCTGCAGTCATCAAGATTGGGGGAGGCGTCATCTTATTATTTTTTTTCTCATTGTCCACTGGTGATTATTCTTTGTAGGCTAGATATTCTATTGTCTTCCATTAAATGTATGGTCATCCAGGAATTCATAAGCTGTAGTAGGGACGTTCGAGAAGATAATTTTTCAATTGGATATAAGTTAGTGAATTTTTTTGAGTCTGTAGGCCTAATAGTTTTTAGCCGATGTGGTAGTAAGTTGTAAAGTTTCATCCCTCTATATAAGTTGGGGTAATTCCTGTTTTTTCTAGTCTATGTTGCGGTAAATTTTGATCGTTTCCTCCTGGTGTTGTAGTTAGGCTATGTGTTTCAGATTGTTTTGTAAGATTCAGTTTCATTGCTTGAGTTATAACTTCAACCATGTAGGCTACAGGGATGTTAATGTGAGAGTTTTTTTTTATAAAGAATGGTTTGCAGTGTTCTTGATAGTGGAGATTATATTTAGGTTCTTATTTCTTCTTTTTGTAGTACTGGTAGCCTATAAAAATTGATTGAAAGAGGTCTGTGCTTGCTGTGCCCAGGCAACAATTCAAAAACGGAGGCGTGATTCTATAAGTGCATGGTCTAAGCAATTTTGGTTGTACGGTAATAAAGTCGGTTAGGTTAGTTATCCTTCTCGGGCCTGCAGCGGCCGTACGAGTAAACGCTCGTAAGTCTGTACTTACCAATGGGTTAAGCAAAACTGTGCCTTGGGTTTGACTCCATATATTCCCGCCGCAGTGCCTGTTGGCTTTTTCGAGCCATCCGTAGGCTATAAAAATCCCCTTTTCATGTATTCATGTTCACCTTTATCCCAGGCTGCCCTGTCAACAATGTTGACATTGTATGGCTTTTCTAGATCTGTGATCTTCACCATCCTGTCTGGTAACATTTCCAAGGTGTCCGTCTGCACCTTGTCCACAATTCTTGTGTGCTCACTGGAGGCTTTACACTTCCAGTTGCCACTACAAACCATTCTGTAGGCTGCCATCCTTGCCTCCCCTTTCACAATGATGTCGAGAGGTGGCAGGCTTGGCACTAGGCCTACTTCCAGGGCTGCAGTTGGAGTGCCTCTCATGGCTCCTGTGATGCTAAGGCAGGCCACTCGCTGGATCTTTTGTAATCTCTTTACAGTGGTAGTTTGCATTACCTTGGTCCACCAAACCACCGAGCCATTCACCATCATCGGTCTTGCAACACTAAGTTTATAGCCAGTTAGTCATATCTGCCCTTAGCCCCCCAAGTCTTGAAAATGAAACTCAAAAATAGTCGCCTGAGCTGAGACTACTAGGATTGACGACGTAAGGTACGTAATTTTATATTAGCCTACTTAAATCAATCCTGGAGGCAATGCTGAATAAGTTAGATGATTTTTGTTTTACCCAAAAATGAGAATTTGAATTTGTATCATAAGCTGCTTAACTATATATACTATTTTTGTTTCACAGGTGCAGGAAGATGATTCTTTGCCAAAAATTATTTGCAACCAGTGTGTTGAAAAACTAGAAAGTTTTTTTGACTTTCGGAAATCCTGTGTGAATGCAGAAGCAATGCTTGAGAGTTATTTCACGTCATCAAGATATTCTCCTGAGTTCATAAGAGAAGGAAAGGTAACCTTTTTTGCTACTTTTGCACAATTAGTATTTTAGTAGTTCCAGCTAATTTCAGTTTAACTAAATATAACTTCCATCCAAACATGTTTGGCCTCTACGATTTTTCTATTCATACAATGTTAGGTCTGCTAACCATTTCTCATCTTAGTGGTGACAGTTGTTTCTTTGGCTTCTTTGGAGTCACAGTGAGTATGACGAGGCCGCAAGAGGCGACCACACTGTCCTCGGTGAACGCTGCAGCCATCTTGTTTATTTGGTTTGTATTTTTATAAAAAAAATTTTTATCATTTTATTTTATCTGAACAATAAATTCAACAGAAAAAGTGTTTTTTAGGAAAAAATATTAGGCTATATTTAATCACTAGGGTGTAGGCTACAGTGACTTTTCAACCCAAGCTCAAATTTTACGATCGAGGCAAAGCCGAGGTATATATTTTTGTCATATGTGACATTATTTATCAGACTAGGGCCTAAGTTAGAAAACAAAAATACCTTTCATGTAAAGATAACCTCTCAAAACGACTTCCAGCTTGTTTTCAGGAGCGGTTCAGTAAGTGATTAGGCTAGATCATTTTAGTCTATTGCGATTGTCTTACTATACATTATACTGTAGATATGTCGAACTATTGACAATAATGCAAAACCATAAGCTACAATCGATTAACCCAAATCAATCGATAAATAATTTAGATACATGCAATTGCTAACAATCGAAGTTTACAACTATTTACTACAGCAGATTTTTACTTCCCTAGGGAATAAAAGTGCCACTTTGGACCCGCAATGTGCCATCACATGTGTTAAAAACCTCGGCTTTTTTTGCTACAGTATGACAAAAAATATTTTATACTAGTTACTATTGCTTAAATTCGAGCAATTGTAAAGTACAGGCGATATTTCAAAACAAATAACTGTCATAATTTCCAATTACTTAAAATCAAAGATAATGTAATCAATCACTCCACACCAGTTATCGAAACTGAAAACGAACTTGATCTGAAGTCCAACGCTCTTGGGTGTATAATGTGTTTACTATGAACAGCTTGTAATTAATACAAAATATTCCTCTGTTTAAGTAAACAAAATCTTTTCTTCATTAGAAATATACTGGGATCTTGATGGCCTGTGGGGCAAAGCTCGAAGACTTATTACAGGAATTGGTGAAAGGGGTCGTCTTCACAAAAAATATTTAATTTTGACACATTGTTGTAAAAATTTGTCCATTATTAACAGAGGAGTAGTGTTTTGTAGAAATCGCCTTCACGTTCTATATGTAGGGATCGATAGGCCCTCAGCTGGTTTGTAATGCATTGTAAGCTGCCAGGACATTAAAACATTGAAAATTAAGTTCTTCAACAATCCTAGCTTACACTTGATTTGTTACATGAACTTTAAAACCATAGTGAAATAGTGAATTGAAAATATTGAATGATGTAAATCAAAATAATCTTAAAAGTAAATACTTCTAAAGGTATACGTCAAAGCTGAAAGCCCTCCGAAAAAGAAGAGCCAAGCAGAAGAAGCACTGAAGGTGCCGAATGTGTCAGGGCCAGTGAGTGTGGATAGTATCAGCAGTTTGGTCCAGGCTGGCAGCATCCAGATCATCAGTCCTGCTGAGTCTGAGCCTCCGCGGCTGTCTCAGTACAAGTGTACCCTAGATGTGAGTTATCAACAAACATTTATGTCAGGCAGCAACCAGTAAAGAACTTTACTGCAAAACTCAAATTTTCTGTCGTTTAGGTTTTATGGAATCTAATGTATGGTAATGTAAAATGTAACACTATTTACACACAACAGCAATTTGTTATGGGTGTCAGTAATTCAGCATTTGATGGAAATCGGGTGCTGCTCAAGTTCAAAATGTGCCAAATTTAAATAAGTGTATTTACTTTAAGAGAAAAATAATTGAACCAAGCATTTTGTTTTATAACACAACTTTAAAGTCCTAAGGTTAGCATTTTATACTGACTACATAATAACACATTTTCCATACGCTCATCTACAATGTCTTTTCTAGATGCAGCCAAACTCCATGGCGCAGGTGGTGGAATCGCCGTCTGTGAGTTATGCTTATCATACCAACACCAATGTAGCCACTACCAACACCTCACCTGGTGTTACACTGCTGAAGACTGAGGACAGCACACAAACTGACAACCACCGCTCGGAAAACACACATGTGAGTCTTAGAGAAACGCTCACACAATTCATAAACAAGTGATAGCTCTTCTTATTGCTTTAAAAATACAGGGTGTCCCGGAACTCTCAACCAATATTTTAGGGCATTGTTCCTGGGTAGTTAACATACCTAAATATCATATTTAAATTGTCCGGAAGTCCTTAGTTACACAGCCGCCATTTTGTTTTTTAAAGTTATTAATTTTTTTCTAAGGAATGGTTAAACATACGAAATTTAAACTTTGCACAAACATTTATGACAACTAGACAAAGCTACCAAAAAATTATGACGTTTTTTAAAATTTATAAAACAAAATGGCGGCCATCTTAAGTTTTGTTTCTTAAATAACTCGAAAACCGTTGATTTTACAAAAATCTTACAAGAATAACTTTTTTAAGGCAATTTTATTACAAATCGATTGACACCTTAATTTTTAAGATTGGACAAGTATATTAACTGAGATATGGTAGTTTTAGTGATACGTAACCGCTGGAGGTTAGTTGCAGTGCATGCTGAAAGCGGTCACGTATCACTAAAACTACCATATCTCAGTTACTTTTAGTTTTTTTAGTTTTTTTTTGGGGGGGGGGTTTTGGTTTTTTTTTGTAGTTGTCATAAATGTTTGTGCAAAGTTTAAATTTCGTATGTTTAACCATTCCTTAGAAAAAAATTAATAATTTAAAAAAACAAAATGGCGGCTGTGTGAGTAACTAAGGATTTCCGGACAATTTAAATATGATATTTAGGTATGTTAACTACCCAGGAACAATGCCCTAAAATATTGGTAGAGAGTTCCGGGACACCCTGTATATCTCGATATTCTGCATATCAGTTGGCCTAATTGATATAGTTCTAGCCTATAGCTTGTGCACAGTCAGATGAGTGGATTTAGCACTCCAAGTAATCAGAATGTTGACAGTTCAATCCTGAGAAAAGTCAGTAGTTTTTTGATGTTTTGAAACTTAACTCATTGACAATGAAGATGTCCCCGTAATAGCAGGAGATTTTCATGATTTTACGACAATCGCAGGTGATGACAATGATGTCTCCATGATCGCGGGAGATGTTCACAATTTTTTGCGATCGTGGGGTTTCACCTAAAGGAATGGGTGAAACCCATTCCCCCCCCCCGCTACTTCCCCCCGCCCTCGGGCTACTTTGATCTAGGGTCGCAAGTAGGCCTACTTTAAATGCACTGGGTCAGCTGATTATAAACAAACCATGCATTTAGTCTTTGTTTAGTGAAGTTTTTTTATAACTCATTGTAGATGATTTTAAAACCAATAAGGGTGTCCAGTAGAGTCGGGAATCAGTATTGAATTTCAAAATGGTCTTGAAAAGTCGGGATTTTGTTGCCTTCATTTTGTTCTCACAGTTGGGAGTTTTATGAACCCAGGTAAAGTTTAATGGTTTCTTGATGTTCATGACGACGATCACATTTTTGTGACTGCTGGAGACGATGATGATGTCTCCACGGCCTCAGGAGATGTTCATGATTTTGCCGCAATCGCGCTAGGTGACAATAATTTTTTTGTGACTGCGGGAGACAGATGATGCTGTTTAGACAGCTGCGGGAGATGTGTATAATTTTGCTGGGATCACGCTAGACGACGTTCACGTTCTCATGACCGCAGAATTCTATGGTGATGTCTACACTGCCGCAGGAGATGAACTGAAGTTTGCCGAGATCAGGTAATACAATGATAATGTCTACATGGCCGAGAAATGTTAGTGAATTTTCCGCAATCGACGATGACGTTTCGGTGACCACGGGAGTTTGTGATGATGTCTACACGGCTGCAGGAGTTATTAAGAAGTTTGCTGCAATCACGGAAGACAATGACTTTTCCGTGACCACTTGAGACGATAATGGCGGTTCTGTTGATACAGTATTCAGGGTTTTGCTTCGACCTCGAAGATGATGTTTCTGTGATCAAAGGAAGATATTCCGGATTCGCAGTGATCCCAGAAGTCGACGATGATGTCTCCACGACCGCAGATGATCACCCTTTTTCCTTTAGTTTGGCTTGACACACACATCCTTTAGTTCGGCCTTTAGTGTAGCTTTTAGTTTGGCTTTATATCAGGCTGGCACACATCTAGTTAAAATAAAATTGTCTTTTTGTTGTTAGATCTTCATTTACCATTGGTATGGTCTTAATGGTAGTTATTTAATGCGTAAAGAAGGGTTTAAACCCAAATTAGAATTTTTCATTGCTGCATCAATTTTTTTTCTTTATTTGAAAAACACGCCATTATCTTTTAAATACTTAAAAACGACGTAAAGACAGGGTTGGTGTAGTATACCGGTAACCTAATAATTTAGATAATTTGGTAAAAGTATAAAAAATGGTATCAGTATCAATAATTGAGAATAGATCTTCTGTATGAGTATCCAGAATCGATAAATTTTGGTTCGGCACATCCCACATTGTTTAAAAACTAGTCTTGAAAAGTCCGGAGTTAATCTTGAATTTTGAAATGGAAACAAACTAGATACCCTAATCAATCCATAAACGGTCCTGTACATTTTTTAAATCTGTACTACTCAACGCATGTTATAGCAAGATAAACGTGATCAGTGTCTTCAGTACATTTCCATTTAGAACTACATTTTGTTGACTAAAATATGGGTTAACAGGTTTTTGTAAGAAGCGATAGGTTTAGGTTAGAATCTAATTCACTGGGTAACTTCTGTCTTAAGATCTTAGATTAAGCACAAACTATTTTTAGGACGGATACAAATGCTTGTGTTAATTATTCTGTATTATTTTTTTTAGATTCATGATCATATGGATCAAGGAACCACAACATACTACGTCAGAGTGCCTAACACAGTTGAGGTAATTTCAGTTATTTAATTCTAATATACCGTACTGAGAGACCATTTTACTTTTTTCACATTATGTTTTTATTAGCATACATTCTGATTTAACTAATTTTTAATGAATATGTAATTAAAACTAGTGTTGGTCGGATCCAAATATCGGACTACCGGATCCGCTGGATCAGAGCTACAACCAACGTCCGATCAGATCCACAAAAAATATTATCTTGGGCTTTATCCGGTTTTAATGGATCCAAGTTTACTTTTATTTTTATACTATTAACACAAAACGTCCTTTATAAAGTACAATTCATACATAAGAACAGGTGGTTTGTCATAGTGATGTATTTTAAAATAAAATTAATAGTGACTATCTGTGTCAATATACAAGACTATCTGTATCCATGTACAAGACTATCTGTCTCCATGTACAAGACTGTCTGTGTCCATGTACAAGACTGTGTCCATTTACAAGACTGTCCGAGTCCATATACAAGACTGTCTGTGTCCATGTACTAGACTGTCTAGGTGTCCATGTACAAGACTATCTGTATCCATGTAAAAGACTAACTGTGTCCATATATAAGACAATCTGTGTCCATATACAAGACTAACTGTGTCCATACACGAATATCTATGTTCATGTACAAGACTGTCTGTGTCCATACAAGAATATCTATGTCCATGTACAAGACTATCTGTATCCATGTACAAGACTAACTGTGTCCATATAAAAGACAACCTGTGTCCTAAAAACACAGACAGTCTTGTATATGGACACAGATAGTCTTGTATATGAAGACAGATTGTTTTATATATGGACACAGACAGTGTTGTACATGGACACAGACAGTCTTGTATATGGACACAGATAGTCTTTGACATTGCCTACCCATATGAGTTATTGATGTCGACATATACTGTCACATTACCTAGCCATATGCATTTTTGACATCAACAAATACTGTGAAATTGCCTAGCCATATGACTTATTTAAAAAACCCGCCCTTGGAAAAAAAAGAGAAAAAAACTTATACGGATACGGACCTGAAGATCCGGATCCATTTACCGGACATTTTCTTGGATCCGCCCATCACTAATTAAAACCTTATTGTAATTTGGTACTATCATATGTTTTAAAACAGTAGTATTTTTATGTAAATATTTCCTCCTCTGTAGCCTATTTGTAAACAAAAATATTGTTGAATAATTATTTAATTCCGAATTCCCACATGCTAATATGCTTAGGGGAACTATCTCAAGTCACAACCATATTATATCATACTATTATCGTGTTAATTAGCCTTTAATCCACTAAACACTAGTGCCAATTACAACTATAAACCAAAATAAGGGCCACTTATAGGACATTTAGTTTGCTTTAGGCTACAACTTAGTAGTATAAGTTACTTATGTAAAGGTTTACTATCTTGATGAATGTTAGCAGAACAGTTCTCCGGGACACAGTGAAAACAGTGAGGTGGTGGAAGGGGAAACAATCCATCAGACCATCACCTTCGCTCCTAACCATGGACAGGATATGCTCGTTCACTTTGGCTTCAACAACAAAGATAACAAGGACCAGAACAATACAGCTACCATCATCCGAACTGATGAGCGGTAACACGATCATAACATTTTCCATCAGTTTTTGTAATAATCAATATCCCGCTGCAGCAAACCTACTGACTAATCGAATTTTCATTTGCCTCACTGGATTTTCACTCAATATTTCCTTAAACATATCAAATTGATTCTGTCTTTAAATCATTAGGTTTAACAAGTAAAAGGTTTGCTGCTACAGGGAGGTGTTTTTTAGTAAAATGTCAAGAGACTACCCCCTAAAAAGCGTTTAATCTCACATTGACTTTAACTCTTTGCGGTCAAATGGCGAGTATAGGTGGCCTAGAGATTGAAAAAAAAAAATGAAAAACATATTTTTGTTTTGGTTTAAAAAAGATGAAGTCAAATTGCTGCTAGGAGAAGGGGGGCTCAAGTAAAACAGAAAAAAATTGAGGACTTTTTCAAAAAGCCAGTTAGTGGACTGTGTTTTTTTTACCCTCCCTATAACAGTGCACTAAGTATAAATAAATAGGTTAGGAGTTAAGGAAAGGCCAATTGGCTGATTAGGATTATTATGTACAAGGATAGGGATCAGCTAGCTTACCTGGTAGATAAGAGTCCAGATTAGCCTTGATTACACATAAAACACATGAAACACATGACACAACACAGAAAAACAGAAAAACTGATCTGTGTTGTGTCATGTGTTTTATGTGTAATCAAGGCTAATCTGGACTCTTATCTACCAGGTAAGCTAGCTGATCCCTATCCTTGTACATAATAATCCTAAATATAAATAAAGTATTCTCTATTTAAATTTTCAAGTTTACTTTACCTAACGGGATGATTTTTTTAAGAGCCCCTGAACCTTCAATGTTTATTAGCATCACCTTGATTTTTTTTACTGGACCACTGGTTTAGTGACAACCGCTTTCCCTCAGTCGGTAGATGAGCAAGGTCAAAAAAGACATTTTGTCTGTGAATTTTATTTTTTCATATAAAAACAAAATATTTTGTAAAATGTTTACTTTTATAAATCAGCTCCTCAAATGGTAAAAAAATGGTTTAAATACCTTAACTGTCAGGTGATCCTTGGAGTAGTAATTACACTACAGTAGAACCTCTTTAATCCGAACTAATTGGGACCAGGGGTAGTTCGGACTATTGAATAGTTCGGATTACAGAACATATTGTTGTTTATACACAACAATAGCTAGGGAAAAGTGAAAAATGCTTTATAAAGTAAAATACAGTGTTTATTTAATACAGTAGTAAACATAGGGAATAAACGGTACTGTACATTACAATTAAAATAATTACGGTACGTATATCAATAAATACAGTATACAATAAAGAACTACTGTACTGTGTATAGAGTACAGCAATGAGGCGTTCGGATTAGTGGACGTTCGGATTACAGGGGTTCGGATTAAAGAGGTTCTACTGTACTGCAGTTTCAGCCCTCAGGGGGCTTTCTTCAGGTGTCAAAGGAGGTCAAAAGTTGTCATTCATACGAATTCGTCACATTTAAACTACGAGAACACAAATACGGACACGAACATAAAAAACGAATACACGTGTAAGAGTCACAAACATTTCCCATGGTTGATTTATGCGCGACACGTGCGAGGAGCTAGTCTAGACTCACTCATTTTAGACTAGCTCCTCGTCGCGTTGCGCATAAATCAACCCGTGGGAAATGTTTGTGACTCTTGCATGTGTATTCGTTTTTTATGTTCGTGTTTGTGTCCGTATTTGTGTTCTCGTAGTTTAAATGTGACGAATTTGTATGAATGGCAACTTTTGACCTCCTTTGACACCTGAAGAAAGCCCCCTGAGGGCTGAAACTGCAGTAGTGTAATTACTACTCCAAGGATCACCTGACAGTTAAGGTATTTAAACCATTTTTAATTAACTAAAGTGATTCGGTGGCTAACATCATGTTCTTAAATGGTTTCTCCCTTTGTTATTAATCACCGTTTATTTGGAAATGAAATAACATATGCAACGTGTAATACTACCAGTACAGTACACTCCCGATTAACCAAGGTTGATGGGACCGAGACTACCTTGGATACCGAGAATCTCGGATAACATGGAGGTCGCTTAGATTTTGAGGTTAGGAGTCTCGTTAACACATTAGAAAGTCAAATACTTATAATGTATGACTTTTACATTGAATATAATTGATAAAATGTAGTTTTAATGCAAATAATCTTCTGAATAAAGTAGTGCTATTAAAGAAAACAACAACACAAACATGCTCAACGCTTCTTCAACCTTCTTGAAAAACTTTAAACACACTAAGTTTACAGTAAAGTAGGCTACTATAATTTGTGTATTATTAGAAAACATTCTAAATCAACTTGATTCAATCATGTCAACTCAACATCAAAACATCGTATGTAAACAAAGGCTGACTAAAGCTAATGCCACTTCGATCGCTTTCCGATCTGTAGGCCTAGTAATAATAACTGACAATCACTACAGTATTAAGGGTATTTGTTGTAAAGTTTATTGGCTAAATGAAACCCTAATTTTAAAACTGAAATGATATTAAATTCACCGTAATATTATAAGGAGTACAGTACAGTAGATTTAATAATGAATCAAACAAACATAGATATTGAATGAAAACACTTAAACAAAAAAGTTTTTATGGCATCAATTGCTGTGTGATTTCAGCGAGTCCATAGCCCAGATCGGGGAGTTTCTCCGAATGAAGACGGTGGTGGTGGAGGAAGAAGTGGCGGACAGTTCGATGTGTGACCAGTGTGGCAAACACCTAGAGACTGCGGAGCAACAAGCGAACCACGCAATGAACTGCTCTGCCCATGACAACAAGGACGCAGCCGGACACTATGCCTGTGACATCTGTGGCAAACCTTTCAAGCGAAAGGAACATCTGTTCCAGCATCGGAAACTACATACGGGTGAGTCTCCTAGATCGTAGGTATACATTTTGTTTGCACACTTTCTTTAAGATGTAGAATACATAGATCAAGTGTTTTGTTATTGTGATGAATGAATAAAATGATAACCAATGTTATAAACAAGATTGGTGAAAAGTTCCGGAACAGCTGAATATGAAACAATAATAAAGATAGAGCTACAGAACATGGTACAAAGTCACTGGGCATAAGAACCATTTCAAAACAATATTCAGTGATAGGCTACACTATAAGATTGCCCATATAGACTCTCTGTGTGGCTAGTAGGCCTAAGCTTTATCCATATTTAATTTGTTCTTGAAATTGTTAAACATTCCACGTTTTAAGATGCAAGAGTATTCGTATTTTTTAAATTCCATATTATGGACTATTCCTAAATATTTTCAAATTGTGATGCAGTAATGAGTAATAATTATTTTTGTTTCTTGTATTGTAGTTTTGTAACTTTTCTGGAATTTAGAAGTTTATTGATTAATAAAGTAAAAAAATAAAAAAGGTGAAAACCAAGCAATCAGTATGTTCTCATAATGGATATGGGGTTATTTTTTTACCTTTTCCCTTTTTGTTCATTATAGTCAAGTTTCTCTGATCTATAAGTTTTAGCTCACTGTTGTATGTGTGTGATAGGTGAGAGGCCGTACTCTTGTACAACTTGTGGGAAGTCATTCAGTCGCAAGGAGCATCTTGTACGACACTCAGTGTCTCACACTGGACAGAAGACGCACGCTTGTGACATGTGCAGCAAATCTTTCTCGAGAAAGGTAGTTTGTCTATTGTAATTTCTTTCAGGTCAATCACAGTTTTTTTTTACATTCTGACTCCAATCCCTTGTCAATACCAACCCATTTATATAATAAATATGCAAGCCTTTCATTAAAATGGATTATAAAAAATTATATTCCATTTTATCATATTACTCTATTAGGGTCACCAAAAAAATATTCCAATACATAACAACACATAATCATACATACAGTGGAGTCCCGATAATCCGAACTTCGGTACCTAATCCTAAAGTCCGCTTAATCCAAAACCAAAAAATATATTTTTTTGAATTTTTTTTTATTAAACTTTTAACAGTAACTTTTAACACAGTTAGCTGTACCTCGTCAAAGTATTCTGTTGCGGCGGGGCGAGATAAGACTTGTTTTGTAGAGTATTTTAATAAATATATCACCATTTTTGTTATTAACATTTTTCATTTTCGTACCGGGTTCCAATCCCGCCAAATCACATTAAATTTTTTTTTTCAAAATTTTCAAAAAGTAAAAAAAATAACATTTAATATTTGGTAATCCGAAATGGGCCCGGTCCCAACCATTTCGGACTAACGGGACTCTTTCCTCCACAAAATTTAGGCGGTTCGAGGGGAAGTTCCCCCTGCTGAACGTATGTACGACACAGCTGATTTACGTTTTGACTAACCTCAGCTGCTGAGCTATTGTTTTAAAGTTATGATCAAGTGGAGGAGATTTCTTCTCCTAAAACCGCATAAGTAAATTTTGTGAACAGAGGATAAGTATGTAGACAACGTGTATAGAATTCTAAAGTGATGATTTACTTGGGACAGATTAGCCTAAATAAATATTACAACTGAATTTACTGAGAATGATTATTTTGCATACTGCACCCATCAAGCTGTTAGGAAAATCCTACTTCCTACTAATCTTATAATTGAGAACACTTAAATGGATGGATGTTTTGGATGCTCGATTAACATATAAGCATTCTTATCTCAAAAATCCTTTTGGGCTCCGCCCCAATGGCTGTAAAGTTTCCCATGTTAACCTTATGAGAATTCATATTTAAAAAAGAATTAAAGAATTTTGACGGCTGTTTCAACTTAACTAGACAAGTTGGTCCTATGATATTCAATAGCAAGTTAAGGTTTACCTACAGGATGCAGAACTATTATTATTATTTTTTTCATTTATTACAACATCTAATTTGAACCAACTAGCAATCAAAAAGCTGTGAAAAATTAGAATTTTACTTTCTTTATTGTTTGGATGCAGTGGTAAAACATTATGGCTATGGTAGATGTGCTTTACTATAGCATACTGTAAATTAAAAGAACCAAATATTCTTAAACCTTCTCCTGTTCCATTGCAAACGCAAAGCACGAGTATAACTGCAATGAGCATTTAATACTTTTACGCCAACCCCATACAAAGGACGGGAGCTAGTAGAATCATAAATTATGAAGATAGCTTGAACATACGAGTAATTAAGATAAACAATTAATTCATTCTTTATAATGATTTGTAAAGCCTTGTTGGGCACTTAATATTCAAATAATTCAATTTTTACTGGTCACTTAACTGTAAATTACACTAAATTTGCAATTTAAATAAATTCAAATGGTGTTATTCCAGGACAATTTGCGCAAACACCGCAAGACTCACGGGATTGCTGGACCTTACGTTTGTGAGATCTGTCACAAGTCTTTTGTTGTAAAGCACTATTACCTGATGCACAAAGCCACCCACGCGACGTCAGAAACACCTGAGGAACCGATTGAGGCTCCACCATTCCGCTGTGATGTCTGTCATAAAGGTGAGGGTCAACTGTTGAGTGTTCTTAGTCTACACAATATTGTTGCATTAATGAAAGTAGAGATCCCTAACTAACTTTACAAGTCGGTCAAAGCAGATTTCAATGTTTTTAGTGGGTTCCTGCTCAGACTCATTTTGCGCCTAGTTTTCATGCCTTTTGATTAGCCTATTTGCCAAATTAAATGCCTCCTAAAGAGGAAAAGTCCATGCCATTATCTTCAGGAGCCTATCACATACTAGGCCTATATTTTTCCTGAAGGAACCCATTCTAAAGCTAGTGAAGGTAGTCGGCTTTCCTCTATTCTGTTTACACTTACCTGAACAAAACCAGTTTCTTGGCTCACTGTGTCTATATTTATGGAGGAGTTTTACTGTCCATTGACTCTTGACAATCACAGAAAAAGAAACAGAAAATTAATTTAACATTCATTGGCACAGATTATACGGAGATATGAAAAAGGGCACTCGTCATTACAAAAAGTAGACTGTGAAGTGTGACTAAAGACTTTCCTGTTGAGTAGAAGCATTTTACCAACCACCTAAAAATGAATTAGTTGAGGAATAAGTCAGCCTTAGTCACTAACAAGAAACCAAGATCGCGCCACTCATACTACACTCATCTCCATTCATACTTGGCTTCACTCGTACTACACTCATCTCCATTCATACTTGGCTTCATAGGCTAGGCATATTAGGAATAAAAGTGGCAGTTAGCGGAAAGTTTAGGTACAGTCCTAATCACCATTGTTCTTTATGTTTTTTGGGTCGCTGAACACGAATATGAGGTTTGCTGACAGATATTATGCCCGGAACATTGTTTTTTTGACGAAAAAAGTCAAAATTCAGGTATTTTCTTTGGTTTTTGGGCTAAATCTTGGTGTAAATGGGTTTTCTGAAAATACCCGGGTTTGTAAAATTAAAGAGCATAACATTTACTACAAGTTTCATACATAACAGTTGTTTCTACGACAAACCGTTACGTCACTAGAGCACACTAAAAATAGGTAAAAATACCAAAAATGTAAATAAACGCTAAAACGTGCCGTTTTACATTTAGTTAGAGAAATATAGGATATGACCTTAAATAAATTGCAAGAAAACGTTTTATGGTTTTCTTTTGTAGTGTTGGGTCTGCAGAGTGACATACTAAAAGTTGCCAAAAATCGGTCCACAGGAAACCTCCTAAAATCACGATAAAAAATGGTGGCTTTTCCCAACATTGGTCAAGTTTGAAAAAAAGATACCACATGCATTCTTTGTTTAAAATTCTTTGAGATATTGAACTGGGACGGCCACCGATGTTTATTGGGTGGTTAGTACTTCATTTCAATAGCAAACTCATTTTTGGCCGCCATCTTGGATCCACCATATTGGATATAAATAAAAATATGTAAAAGTAATGATAACGTTGTGACACATCATTACAAACTAGATTTTCACGCTGATATCAATGCCGAAATCCGTTTTTAAATATCTTTTTACGTTTTGAAGATATATTCAAACGAAAACTCTTCCCCATACTTTTTTTATGGACGTATCGTACTTCCGTAGATTTTTTAAGATAATTTTTCTTACATCTCCAGTTCTGATCAACGCTTGCAGTTCAGTCTAGCCTTTAAATATTCTGTGATGTAAGGACTTTCATTTGACCTATTGATCATTCAAATTGAACGAGTTAGAGACGAGCTACGATCCTCAAAACAATATTAAATTTAACTTTTTATAAATCTTTTTTATTCAAAGACTTATATCTCGGATTGTTAATACATCACCAAGTTATTTGTGGTCTCAAATTACTCATTTAATGATTGGCTTTAATTTGATTAATCATTTAATAAAATCTGACAACTTTAAAATGAGCCGTGTGCCTTCATTTAACATAAAATAATTTTTATTTTGAAATTTGTCTTTAGTTAAATACATTTATCCCCAATTTTAAATAACTTCCAAAACTCTTTATGATCTTAAATAATTCGTCAAAGTATTGAGTTTTATTTTAGCTAAAGATTACTTATTGATTGTTATTTATAATTGGGTATATATGTCTTAAACTAAAGACAAATTTATAAATAAAAATAATTTAATGTTAAATGAAAGTCCACGACTCATTTTAGATTTGTAAGATTTTATATAGTGATTTATATAGTGATTAATAAAATTAAAGCCAAACATTTACTAAGTAATTCAAAATCAACTCAAGATAAAAATCTTTTAATAAAAAAAGTTAAATTTAATATTGTTTTGAGGATTGTAGCTCGTCTGTAACTCGTTCAATTTTAATGATCAATAGGTCAAATGAAAGCCCTTAAATCACAGAATATTTAAAGGCTAGACTGAACTGCAAGCGTTGATCAGAACTGGAGATGTAAGAAAAATTATCTTAAAAAATCTACGGAAGTACGAAACGTCCATAAGAAATGTATGGGGAAGAGTTTTCGTTTGAATATATCTTCAAAACGTAAAAAGATATTTAAAAACGGATTTTGGCATTGACATCAGCGTGAAAATTTCGTTTGTAATGATGTGTCACAACGTTATCATTACTTTTACATATTTTTATTTATATCCAATATGGCGGATCCAAGATGGCGGCCAAAAATGAGTTTGCTATTGAAATGAAGTACTAACCACCCAATAAACATCGGTGGCCGTCCCAAATCAATATCTCAAAGAATTTTAGGCGGGTTACACACCGGTGTCGCGGATATGATGTCGCCGATATTTTTCGTGTCCGCGACATGCCCCTCGAAAACCAACCTATGTTATCTTATGGAGCTTTACACACCAGTGTTGCGGACACGTTGTCCGCGACTCGTGTCGCAGACGCGTGTCTCGAGCGAACCAACCGGTCGGTGTTTGGACAGACATGTCTCGTGTCTCTTGGGCCCGCGCATGCGCATAACACGTTTCTAGTTAGTTTCGGCGCTGTCACTTGGTCTTGGTACTTCTGTTTTGTTTTGTGAGTTGAGTGGTGGGTTTACTCGAGTGGTGGTTATATTATACTAGAGTCAATGTGAATTGACTGGACAACTGATTATCCTTCCAATAAGGATGGGTCCAGATCTCTCTTCTCACATTTAATCTTCGTCGTCGTCTTCGTCTCCGTAGCATCAGCAGCATCAACACACCATCTTCTTCATAGGATGACATTATTGAAACTGACGAAAAACTTAACTGATTCCCTCTCATGTCGCCAGCACGTGTCCCTTCTCCCATGGTTGCATTTTATTACATGTCGCAGACGTCATGTCCGCGACATCAGAAATATCGGCGACATCATATCCGCGACACCGGTGTGTAACCCGCCTTAAACAAAGAATGCATGTGGTATCTTTTTTTTCAAACTTGACCAATGTTGGGAAATCCGCCATTTTTTATCGTGATTTTAGGTGGTTTCCTGTGGACCGATTTTTGGCAACTTTTAGTATGTCACTCTGCAGACCCAACACTACAAAAGAAAACCATAAAACGTTTTCTTGCAATTTTTTTAAAGTCATATCCTACATTTCTCTGACTAAATGTAAAACGGCACGTTTTAGCGTTTATTTACATTTTTGGTATTTTTACCTATTTTTAGTGTGCTCTAGTGACGTAACGGTTTGTCGTAGAAACAAGTGTTATGTATGAAACTTGTAGTAAATTTTATGCTCTTTAATTTTACAAACCCGGGTATTTTCAGAAAACCCATTTACACCAAGATTTAGCCCAAAAACCTAAAAAAATAAGCGAATTTAGACTTTTTTGTCAAAAAAACAATGTTCCGGGCATAATATCTGTCAGCAAACCTCATATTCGTGTTCAGCGACCCAAAAAATATAAAGAAAAGGTGTGATTAGGACTGTACCTAAACTTTCCGTTAATTTTCCTAAGATGCCTAGCCTATCACTCATATTACACTCATCTCCATTCAACCTTGGCTAAAAATACCTACTTTCGTATGGTTGCCATTTCAAAAGTATTAAAGTACTAATCCAGGAGTTGGAAAACTAGACTTGGTTATGACGGAGATTGAAACGTAAATGAGCTTAACTGACTGCCCCATGTTACCTGAGACAAATACAAAAATATTCTAATACATTTTTTACTTGCTGTCCAATCTATAAATAATCAACCAATATTCTAGAATAATGTTAAACGTTGCTTGCAGGTTTCTCTACCAAGCAGTATTTGATCTCCCACAAGATGCTCCACAATCGCAAGTCAGTTGTTAACGGCGATAACACGTCTGGACAGGAACACCAGAGTCACAGTGAGTCTGACGAGCCACAAGAGGCAATCACACTGTCCACGGTGAACGCTGCAGCCATCTTGCCTCCCAATGTGATCCACAACGGGACCACCACGCCGGTGTTTCAAGTGACGTCGGGAAACACGACGTACTTGGCGACTGCTGCCACCACTCAGATGCTGGAGAACTACAGACGGCTCCACGCCTCCTCGTGACCCCCCACCTCACGGTAAACTCAATACCAAAGGTTGTGTTAAGTCCCTGTTACCTAGAATTACAAGTAGTAAGACTAATTATACCGGGGTTGTATAACAGATTTAAAATTCAAAATACTTATTATTTTTCATGTTTTGTTAATTTTGAAACCGAATAAAACAGTAAATGTTGCGAGTATTCTTACCTTAGGTGAGATAGATAGATCATTGTGCAGATTAAAGCGTATTTTGCCTGTCGCCAGTTTTTAAGTATTTTCTGCTTTCCAGATAGAAACATAATATATCATAACACACATTATATGATGAAAGTATTATTTTACCTTGGAATCAAATTCCAACCCAGTTAAAAATTTATAAAACCCACCTCCAAAAAATTAAGTGAATCAAATCAACATAATCATATCAGTATTAATAATTAGTTTGTTAAGTTCAAGTTTTGGCATAAACTGTATCTATTCTAGGTATCCAGCAATTAGTTCTATGTATGTAGTAGAAAATGTAAAATAATGTAGTTTGGTGTCATATTTTGAGATTTTTGGGTACAGTTTTGAATCAAAACGTAATGAATTGGGAAAGTGTTGTGTATTTACAGCAAAATTGCAAACTTTTGTTATTATTCCAGCATGTTAATCTATTCATTTTTATTTTTAAGGGTTGCTTAATGGATACCGTACTTGTAATCTCCAAAGACAATGTTAACAAAAGTTTGTTTTTTATGTAAGGAGTAGACCTGACTTAGGTGAGTCTTGAAAGTACTCGGAGATCAATTCACTCATTAGGTGGAAAACAATTGTAGTTTGAAATAGTGGTAAGTTTAATGAAACTTACATAAAGTAAATTATTATTGTTTTACAATCTTTTTTACCAGGTTATCACGATAGTTTTATTTTTATGTTAACCAACTTATTTGTTAAACACATGGTTGGTTATTTTTCTACGTTTTTTTTCATGTTCTTATCTTGATATGGTTTGTATATTAGTATTTTATTTATCATTGAGGCACATTTATTTTGTCTGTTAAGCAAAACGAACTTGTATACTAATCATAATACTATTTACATATTATGTTAGAATCTAAAGCTTAACTAGATTCTAAATTGACACATTTAGTGACTTATCTAACATATTTTAGATTACGTAGACAAGTTAGTCTTGAAATACTTGATATGCGGTTGTTTGAATTTTGACTGAAAAGGCAAACCTAAAATAAGGCTAACAAGAAACCAGGTTACCCAAATCAGATGTATTGGCGAAGTGTTTATCTGAAGTATATTTCCACTATCGGTCAATAAATGTGTAAAATTTTAAGACAAATTTGTTTAGTTTATATATTTATTTTTTTTAACAAATTTTTTAGTTTGGTCTTTTATATTTTTTTGGGAAAAACATTTAGTCTTGCATATGAATGATATTAAGTATGACTTTGAAATGCAAAACAAGTAGGGGTTGGAATTTGTACTCACAAAGTCTGATAATAAAGGTGGAGTAAGAATTGTCTCCTCCAAATTTGTTTAAGGTAAAATTAAAATACCCCTGCCACAGCAAACATAACTAAGCAAATTTTAAAATATTCATCACGTATGTTGGTGCGATCGCCAGAAATCATCACAGATGTTGCCACACTTGCCAGAAATCATTACGGATGTTACTGATATCAAAGGGAAATCAACACAAATTTTGCCTTGATAAAAAAAATAAGATCACTTAAATTGCTGCAATTGGAACAAATTAGAGTATAATGAGTATATGGAATTCACCAAAGGGTTTTTGAATGTACTTGCAGGTGTTAAGTTTTGCGTATTTGAGCGTCAAGTTTTGCTTTGTAAATTTTGAACCTGGAAAACCAGAAATTGTCCTTAAATTGTACGATTTACTCAATTTTTAACCCATACAGCCCTGTTCCCTTAGTCCAATTATGCTGGTTCGAGAACTCGTTCGAATAAATAGTTGTTCAAGAAAACACCACTATTATTACTGTTGTATAACAAAATTAATTTTTGTTTAATGAACTTGCCCATTTTATCGATTCAAGATCATTAGTTTGACTATAAACACCAATTTATTTTGTGCCGTTAAAATTAAGTTGGTAAGACCTGAATGTCAGGTGATTGTATTTGGAACGGTTTAGCTAGTCTTCCCACAAGTTAAACATTTAAGGAATAAGTCATAATCATCACTATATTTTATTTTATATCAAAATAATGCTAGGGTAGTGAGTAGATTATTTTGTAAGCTATAACTTTGTTTTAAAAGTTGATAACTACATTTGTATTGCCTTTATACCAGTGAATATTGGATAATTTATTTTAGTGTACATAATGAAGCCATAATAAAAGTGTTTATATTTTTTCATTTTAATAATTTTTGTGTGTACAAATATGAAAGATAATATATTTTACATAATCTTGTAGGCCCATTGATGAGTAATTGTAAAGTATGATCTTGTGTGTAAATAAAGGAATTAAATAAAACTGTTGATTTTTAATACCTTTGAATGATATCAGCCTTTAAAAATATTATTTACAATGTACATAAAACCATGTATTTCAAATGGGAGTTTCCCAAAAATATTAAGACCCAAAAAATGCACCTGATGTTTTTAAATATTCTTAGGCTAGATTCTCTTTGGCACCTTCGTGAGAATCAAGCTGATAGTAAAGATCCAGTTTGTTTAACAGGACTATCTCCGTTAAGACTTGAGCTAGACTGAAATGGCAATGTGGGAGAATAGTACTTGGGTAAAAGCAGTGTTGGGGAAGCTACTTTTAAAATGTAGCTAGCTACAACTAATGCTACATTTCCAAAAAAGTAGCTTAGCTACAGCTACAGTTACGAAAAAGTAGCTAGCTACAACTACAGCTACAATGAAATGTAGCTACAGCTACAATTTTAGCTACTTTTCCAAAGACGTTACTTTTTATTCCACGCACATTACGTGAATGTAAAATTAATTGCAACTACATTTACATATTGAACAAACATTTAAAAAAAATGTCAGTATTGTATCTAACATTACTTGGAAAACAAATTATTCCTAGATTGTATTTAATTTGTTGGCATTATAAACCTAACATTACAACAACAGAACCAAATAGTTGGGTGTCCCATCATATTTAGTAGGCTACTTATTTTTAAATATTGCATTATTTTTAAGCATCTTAAATGTAAATTTCATTAAGTTCAAAGGACATACATCCAAACTATATTTTAAAAGCTAATTTTATTTCTTTAATATAGATTCATTTATAGTATAGATGTCTTATATCATCAATTAAGACCAATAATAAAACTGTAAAACGATTATTTAAAAATACTTTTTGTGTTACAGAGCCTAGCCTACTGAAATTGGAGTTTATTGCCTTTCTTTACTTTTAATGTTAAAAACGAAATTGCTATAACTTTTAACCATAGTGATAAGTTACTTGTTCTATGAATAACACTTTTCAATGTCAAGAAATCGTCCTTTATTGTCATTATGCATAGGGCAAATTTTGCTTCAACCTAGTTGGTACAGAAAACAGTATATTCAACAACTTATCCTGAAATTGGCTTTTAATTTAAACATGTTGAAATTTGTAAAGTAAAAATAACATGTAGGCCTACTTGACTATGTAACAAGTTGGCTATAGTAGGCTTGTTCTTGCAAGGACTAAACAGATATATTCCTAATAATTGAACTTGGAACTTTTGGTATTCGTCTTAAACCATAGCATAGCCTAGGAATAGTCCTATACAAGAGCTGTTAGCAGGAGCAAACTATGCTATTTTTTCAATGTAAGTTTCATGTTATATGGAGATTTTTTCGTTACAATTATCATGTAGTCTAGGCATATCTTAAATCTCATCAGGTAATTTCCTCCTTGTTAATTTAGTAAACCCTTGAAAAATCTTCGTAATCTAACTAAGGAAGGGCTTGTGATGATTGTGAACCACAATCAACAGCTGAAGCAAAGGTTGATTGACCAGCTTTCTCATTATTTTAAGGTTTAGTGTTGGTTTCCATTAAAACCCAAGTTGAAACACTATTGATGTAATAAAGAAACTAAATTGATTACTAATTTCCCTGTCAATCACTTACAAGCATTCAATAGCTTCTCTTGTCACCGGTAACGTTTAAACGTCGTCTGCATCTAGCCATCTAGCGATTTTATTTTATCTGACAGTAATCATAGTATAGAGTAGTAAATTAAGGAAATGAGAGCCAAAAATGTGGATAACACTCATTTAATGGCCTCCATGTCCACACAACGTTGTAATAGGGAATGAATATGAAACGGCTGCAACCAGCTGTATGAAGCCAAGAAAGTAGGCCTAATTTTTTTGAAAATCTCAGTTCTCAGTTTGAAAGAGGTTGTTTCACGTAAGGTTGAGGTTATGATAAAACTCACTATCTCAAACAATGTTATAATGTAGCGAGAAAAGTAGCTTACTTTAAAAATGTAGCTAGCTACAGCTAAAGCTACAAAATCTTAAAAGTAGCGTAGCTACAGCTAACGCTACAAAAAAAGTAGCGCGCTACTTCCCAACACTGGGTAAAAGTTAGATATTAGATTGTGGTTAGTAGTTGAAATAGGCTTACATGAGTTAACTATAAAATTAAAAATAAAAATTGTAGGTTACACAAGAACAAGTTATGCAATGTTTGCCTTCCAGCTGGCTGTAATTTTAGGTTAATCATTTCATTTTTTATGTGTTTGTTGTACCCTTGGAAATAAAGTAAAATTACTCAAAACAAAAATCCATCTTTTTGTATTCTTTTGGGGAACCATGTAATTTTATTTTGTGAAAACTAAAACTGATTATACTATATTTTTCTCGGCTAACTCAGTAAACCAGTATGTTTTCCTTAAAAGTCTTATTCGCAAATTGACATTAGGCCTAAGTTAGACTATGTTATGTAAAGATTTGAAGCCAAAAACTGTGGTGCAATGTATTGAGATGGTCTAACAACTAATGACAATATTCTGAAACAAGTGGCCGTTTTCTATGATACTGCAAGGATTTTAAATAACTAGTGCACCTGTTCCTCGAATTCGAGCAATAGCAAAGTAGTACAGGCGTTATTTCAAAACGAATAACTCATAAATTCCGATCCGACGACTTAAAAAAGAGTCAACTCAAAAGATAATGTAATCAATCACTTCACTCCAGTGATTGAAACTGAAAACGAATGCTCTTGTGTGTATCATGTGTTTACTATGAACAGTTGAAATCAATACAAATTATTTGTCTGTTTAAATAAAACATAAACAAAATATTTTCTTCAAAAGAAACACATTGGGATGGTCTGTGGGGCAAAGCCCGAGGACTTTTATTACAGGAATTGGTGAAAGGGGGCGTCTACACAAAAAATACTTAACTTTGACATATTGTTTGTAAAAATCTGTCCATTATTAATGGAGGAGTAGTGTTTTGTAGAAATCGCCTTCACATATATATTATATTAGGATATTTAACCCAATACACTTGTAGTACCCTCTGGTGAGATGGTCCTGAACTTCGTTTTTTTTCTTGGTTTCTTATCCTAGTCAATGGTCATTGACTATACCACTGTATAGTTAAAACTGTATTGATTGATTTGTCTTCTTAATGATCTTGAAATAACCCAATTTATATCCATGAATAAGAATGTAAGGAATAAAGAGTATTTGAGTATATAATCACTTTGGTTTTAATACTACACTTTACAACTATTGTTAAAGAGAACATCTATCCCATCAAGAACGGATTTTGGCTGATCTATGATCGACAGTTTGTTAGGAGGTACATCGGGCTTGTATTTATTGTCCACCGTCAGTTCTTGGTAAGACATCGGATCATACCAAGTAGGAACCTTGACTTCTAAATGCTCTTGAAGGAATTTCACAACATCAGGAGTAGTCCTTAGATAATTAAACACTCTTCTGTCAGCTTTCTTCAGAATCTTCTCGACCATGAAGACCAGATGGTTGTGGAAGATCATAAATGGAAGATGCTCTCCTAGAGTTAAGCTTAGCCAGTCTTCAATACAAGAAACAGGTGTTTGTTTGAACCCGGCAAACATAGCGGGGTTTTGTAACATACCACGAGCACTCATTACACCTGAAAAAAATAAAGATTATCGTATTATTCCAATAATATTGGCTCAGTTTCTAATTGAATACGTTTAATAACTTGGCTGATTCTTGTACAGCAACCCTTGTGAAACATTTTGACATAAAAATATGTATTCCATCAATTTTACATTGAAATAATGACAAACAATAAATATTCATAAGGAATCCAACCTCTATGACTGGCTCATTTCTTCAAAACATTTTAGTCATGGGCGGATCCAAGAAAATGTCGGTACCGGATCCGGATCTTGAAAAATTTGGTTCCGGATCTTGAAAAATACACACTGTTATAAGGGCGGGTTAAAAAAAATGTAACTAACAGAATGCCAATTTAAATCATACTGTTTAAAAAATTAAATTGGTAATGTTTAAACATTAATACATCTTATATACAGGGTGTTGAAAATGTCTGGAACCAACATTATATCTCGTGAGTGGTTAAAGAAAAACAAATGATATTTTGTGTACGGATATACTATGGTTTTACCTATCTTTTAGTGCCTTATGAAAATTTTTACCACTTATAGGGAACGTCCTGTGGAGGATGCAGTAAAAAGTTTTAATGGAAGCCTATGGTAAATGATACATCATTTTAAAGGCCATTTTTTTCTGAGTAAGGAGCCACAAGTTTCATCTCAAAAGGACCACCCTAGCAAAAATGGCGACTGTTTGAAATTTTAAAAACCACTTATAGGGAACGGAATTTTTAAATTTCAAACAGTCGCCATTTTCGCTAGGGTGGTCCTTTTGAGATGAAACTTGTGGCTCCTTACTCAGAAAAAAATGGCCTTTAAAATGATGTATCATTTACCATAGGCTTCAAAGAAAACTTTTTACTGCATCCTCCACAGAACGTTCCCTATAAGTGGATATTTAAATTTCAAACAGTCGCCATTTTTGCTAGGGTGGTCCTTTTGAGATGAAACTTGTGGCTCCTTACTCAGAAAAAAATGGCCTTTAAAATGATGTATCATTTACCATAGGCTTCCATTTAAACTTTTTACTGCATCCTCCACAGGACGTTCCCTATAAGTGGTAAAATTTTTCATAAGGCACCAAAAGATAGGTAAAACCATAGTATATCCGTACACAAAATATCATTTGCTTTTCTTTAACCTCTCACCAGATATAATGTTGGTTCCAGACATTTTCAACACCCTGTATAGAGTAATCTCCAATTGAGCCCATAATCCCTTATTTTTTGGGGTACTAAAACTTTTCAAAATCATAAAATTAAACTTTGTCCTAAGTTTGCACGACCACCAAAGGGATATCTGTGTATATTTTACAATAGTCCGATCTTGAGTATGCTATATCGTGGTTTTTGCATGCAGCATCCAATTTATTTATGCCTGAATCACCTCTTGTTAATCTCTTCCTTAAATTCGTTCCAGGTCCACAGTACTGATAGACGGGTATGTGAAGTTCTACAGGTAAAATACCCTGTGCCTGTGTACAAGAAGACTGTACAGTAAACCCTCTCTTATCCGGATCTCCCATATCCGGACCCTCCGATATCCGGACGCGATTTTGAAAAAATGCAAAAATTAAAAAAACACTCTAGGGCCGTCAGCGAATGTTTGTTGACCGAGCAGTTGCTGTTTGTAGGCCGGTTAGAGACGCCGGCGCGCCGGGAGGGTTGTGCGACGTGCAGTCTCGCGGGCAAGGTCACTGACTGACTCACGAAACAAAAATAGAATCCCTCCCCCACCCCTCCTACCCACCCTCCTACCCACGCCAACGCCCTACTCATGCGCGGCGACGACAATTCATCACTCGTGTCAGTTGTCAGTGCTGCTTTTTTTGTGCCTCAGTGACCTAGTCTTTGTTTGTACGGTTCGTTTTAGTTTCGGGAAGGAAGAGTGCTAGAGGCGAAATTGTTATGGCCGAAAAAAGAAAAAAGATTGTCATTACGATGGAGGACAAACTTAACGCGTTGAAACGTTTGCAAGCGGGCGAAAGTGCAAAAAAGATAGCGAGTGAGATGGGAGTTGGGACTAGTACAGTGAGTGACTGGAAAAAATCCCGTGAAAAAATAGAAAAATGGTGTTCTAACCAGGCATCAAGTTCAGGAATAAAAAAGTGCAAAATGATGAAAACAGCCGTAAATGACAAAGTGAACGAAGCGTTATTTTTGTGGTTTACACAATGTAGATCAAAAGGACTGCCCGTGTCTGGACCCATTTTGCAGGAAAAGGCTCTCCAATTTAATAAGGAAATCGGAAGTGATCCCAATTTCAAAGCCAGTGAGGGGTGGTTGGAAAAGTGGAAGAATCGATATGGGGTCAGAAAGCTTCATATAAGCGGAGAAAAGTTGTCAGCAAATGAAAACGCTGTGGGAGAGTTTAAAATGTTTTTACACAAGCTGCTTGACGAGGAAGGAATCAGCGGGGACCAGTTATACAACTGTGACGAAAGTGGTCTAAACTTTAAAATGCTACCTAGCTGCACTCTCGCTTCCAAGGAAGAAAGTAGCGCTCCAGGTTATAAGAAGAAAAAGGAGAGAGTTACAATAATGGCCTGCAGCAACGTCACAGGAAACAATAAACTCAAACTCTGCATGATTGGAAAATCAAATAAACCAAGAGCGTTTAAAAACTTCAAAGATCAGTCGACATTACCGGTGTGGTACAGAGGACAAAAAAGCGCTTGGATGAATTCTGCGATCTTCAGAGAGTGGTTTAACAATCAGTTCGTCCCGTCTGTTGAAAAGTTTGCTGAAAAAAACAATTTGCCAAAGAAGGCTATTTTATTGCTTGACAACGCCCCTTCACACCCGTCTGCAGATGAACTAACAAGTGGAGAAATAAAGTGCGTGTTTTTGCCGCCGAACGTAACCTCTTTGTGCCAGCCAATGGATCAGGGGGTCCTTGAAACACTTAAACGTTTGTATCGACGTAAGCTACTGACGATCATTATTGAGGGCATGGATGTGGGAAAGAGTGTTTCTGAGTGCCTTAAAGACACTGACATGCTAGATGTTGCCTTGTGGATTTCTAGCGCTTGGGAAGAGCTCAAACCGATAACGTTGGTTAAATCGTGGAAAAAGCTTTTGGACCACAAAGTAGACCAAGATTATAACAAAGAAGTAGAAAAAGAAACAGAAAATTGCAATGACAAAACAGGTGAAGAAATCGTTCAACTTTTTAGAAACGTTCCTGGTTGTGACAACATAGACAGTGACGCAGTGAGTGAGTGGATGAAGGAAGACGAAATCCAGGAGTTTACTGACAATGACATCATAGACTTAGTTAACGCAGACCCCGCTCCTGACGACGACGAAAAAGAAGAAATCCAGAAAACAACCATGACGCATAGTGAGGCTTTCCAGGCCATCGAACAGCTGATCGAGTATGTCGAGAAACAAGAGGAAGCAACGGGTGCCGATCTTCTGCTTTTTCGTAGGTGGAGAGACATTACGTCAAAGAAGCGTGTTAATCGAGCCAAACAAGCCACAATAACATCGTTTTTGTCCAAAACTTAACTGTGAGTACAAAGTAAGAGCTGTTCTCGTGGATTAATTTTATTTTACTCTGTATACAGCTCTACATTTTTGTTCATTACAGTAGGCCTACTTGTCTTTTTCTTAGTTCCATTTCATTTTTTCACTGTACCGTTACTGTATTACGTAATATTTTTTGAGTTTTGATGTTATATTAAATTGTTTTTCTTAGTTCCATTTCATTTTTTCACTGTACCGTTACTGTATTACGTAATATTTTTTGAGTTTTGATGTTATATTAAATTGTTTTTCTTAGTTCCATTTCATTTTTTCACTGTACCGTTACTGTATTACGTAATATTTTTTGAGGTTAGTTGTTCTATTAAAGTGTTATTATAACCAAAATACCGTTGTTTTATTTAATAAACAAACGTTTCCGTATTTAAGGCTTACTAAAATTGAGTACCGTAGTTGTTGTACAGCTGTTTTCTCATCTAAAACAATGTTTCTCTCATATCCGGATTTTTTGTTATCCGGATCGGCCGGCGCCACATTAGTCCGGATATGAGAGGGTTTACTGTACTGTGTTCTAACTTAGAAAAATATTAGATGGGGGAATCTTGACTTTTTTATTCACCCTGTATGGACACAGATAATCTTCTTGAACACAGACACAGGGTATTTTACCTGTAGAGTTTCACATACCCGGCTATCAGTACTGTGGACCTGGAACAAATAACAAAGAGAGGCAAGCAAGGGGTGATCCAGGCATACGAGACCGATGTTTTCCCGATTTTATTACTAACACAAATCTGTCTGTATCTATGTACAAGACCGATTAACCGGATAACACGGTGGTAAAAATTATTACCGGTGTAAACATTACTACCGGTTTGGTAAACATTATTACCGGTGGAAGTGCATATGCCCCGCTATCATTAGTGTGGACTTGGAACTAAATTCGGCGGTAAACATTATTACCGGTGGAAGTGCATATGCCCAGCTATCATTACTGTGGACCAGGAACTAAATTCGGCGGTAAAAATTGTTTCCGGTTGAAGTGCATATGCCCGGGCTATCATTACGGAGGACCTGGAACTAAATTCGGCAGTAAAAATTATTACCGGTGGAAGTGCATTTGCCCAGCTATTAACTGTGGACCTGGAACTAAATTCGGCGGTAAAAATTATTACCGGTTGAAGTGCATATGCCCGGCTATCCAATACTGTGGACCTGGAACAAAATTCGGCGGTAAAAATTATTACCGGTTGAAGTGCATATGCCCGGCTATCCATTACTGTGGACCTGGAACAAAATTGAAAAAACTGCTATATACAATACTGTGTATTTGCTCGACTCCGGATTTTTCGTAATCCGGACCGGACGTCCGCCACTTTAGTCCGGATGAGCGTACATGGATAGAGACAGCTTTGTGTTAGTAACATCAATGGAAAAAATAGACTTCATGCTGTTTCTTGTCTCAGGATTACTGTTGTTAGATTATAAAAGGTATAATGTTACCTGGATCTGCCAGAGTAATCCAATGGTTGTCTTGTTGACTACGCGTTTCGAAACACTATTGGCTTCATCATCAGGTCTTCAAGAACATGTTCGTTTAATAAATCATAACTATGGCTTTATATTGCTTTATAGGCTATATATCGTCTATGGCATTTATGAAGAGCCCTCTGTCTTTTGTAAAAAAATGTATGGATGTCATGTGTTTTTCAAATGATTTTTTGCTTTTGGAAGGTGTTCTTTGAATCTGGTTTTGAAACCACAGCCGGTTTGTCCTATATAAAAACTATTGCAGTCATCACGCAAGATAATCTGTAAACTCCAGTTTTTTCCTGTTTTTAGATTATTACTGGACGATGGATTTAGTTATTAATCCCATTAAACGACAAACTAAATTTCCAGTAAAATGCATTGTATGATACTATAATAGCTAACCAGGAACAGCTATTACTATGGAACAGCTATACTTTCAGCAAGTGACAAAGTTCACGACACCAAACCTCACTGCGACAGTCATGATAAATCTGTCTAAGTGCGTGCACGCGGTTCGTAGGTCTGCTATCTTTCCGTGCATGTATTTTAATAAAAATTATATTTATTTGACGACCTCTGATGAGTGAAACATGTTCTTGAAGACCTGATGATGAAGCCAATAGTGTTTTGAAACACGTAGTCAACAAGACAACCATTGGATTACTCAGCAAGATCCAGGTAACATTATAGCTTTAAAAAAATAGAGCTCCATCAGACAATATGTTTAGTATTTCACTAATGTAACCAGTTTCTTAATTAGTAATAATAATAAAATGCCTTTATTAGCCGGCGTTTCTCTAAAACATATAATTTTTAAGAACAACTAGTCATATTTTTTAATAAGTAAAATTAGGTTGAAATATTAAATTATAAATACAACTTTAGAATATTTTATACGCTTCTTTTGTTTTCTTTAAATAAAAATTAAAAAGTATTAATTGTAAGAAAAGTTATCGGGACAACATAAGAATTGTCTTGACGTAACCACTCCCTGGTTTACAGTCATACCAAACACCAAACAGTAGGGTGATATGTATCAAAGTACTCATCAACAGGGAAGGTCAGATAAACAAAGATTGAATGAGCAAGACTCTATTATACAACAGTCCACTCACCCTTGTATCCAGTCAGCTGCTGCAGTTTCTCAGCATCCTCCAGAGTCTTGACGTCTCCGTTGGCAACCAGTGGGATGGTCACACTCTGTCTGATCTCTCTGAACGCCTCCATGTTGACAGGCTCGGTGCGTTGGGCCGGAGTGCGGCCGTGGACAGTCAGGAAAGTTACCCCGCACGCCTCCAGCGTCTTACACAGGTCAACCGTCTTTCTACATACAGTACACTCTTGATTATCTGAGCACTGGTTATCCCAGCCCTCTGGTTTGAAGCCTGAATAAATATATATATATATATATTGTTTTATGCAATTAATTCATTTTTGCATATATATATATATATATTATATATTAATATATATATAATATATATATATAATATATTAATATATATATATTAATATTATATATATATTATTGTTGTTTTATGCAATTAATTTATTTTTGCATATATATATATTGTTTATTTCCGGTAGGAACAATAATAAAGTTTTTAGGATTGTTTCTGTTGAAACCAAGTAAATAATTTATAAATAAAAAACTTTTTTAAAACAAAACGTTTTCAAACGCACTAAAAAGTAGACAATAATTCATAAATATGTAGAGAGTATAAATACTTGTAAGATTTAAAAAGAAAAACGTGGGGTGCATGCAATAGATAATTTACAATTACCTTCACCTATTGAACTAATGTATTATTATCAATTATCTATTATCTATGCATTGCTATTAAAACATATACTTTACAAGTCTTTGACTTCCTAATGTGGTACCATAACCCCTGGAGAGCGTGTTTGGTCTAGTGGTTAGAGCGCGGGACTCTGGTTCCTGGGGTCCAGGGTTCAAATCCCGCCAAATTACCATTGAATTTTATTTAAGTGATAATGCCTCTAGGTCTAGCTTGAAGTAATGTGAAAAACAATTCCGGGCTCGTGCCTAGCTTCCTAGGACAAAAATAAAACCGTAACCCCTAACCTCAAAATCCTTAAAAGTTTGAGGAAGTCTCAGTCCCAACAACATCAGTTAATCCAGAGTGTACTTTGGTGTCAAAAGTCATGGGGTTGTCACTATTAAGTAGGAGAGAAGTATAAAGGTGTTATATTGATGTAGGCTACCTTAAATTAGTAAGAATAATGAAGAGATGATGAGAAGAAGAATAAGAATAACGTTGATTGAAAATCGAAAATTATCATTGATTATACAATAGAAACACGTGATTCTTTAGTCAATATTCTATATCTATAAAAGAGGAACTATGTTATGTATGTATGTATGTATGTGTTTATATATGTATATACGTTATGGACTCTGAAACCGCTCAACAGATTTTAATGAAACTTTCAGGCATTATTAAGCATCTTTCAAGGATGGTTCGAGTGAAGTTTGGTGCAGATCCGTCAAAAGGGCTCTGCCCCAGAGGGTTTTAAGTGGGCCAATGTCAGACTTTTTGATCTACAATGTTTACAAATAAAAATAAATATAATTCAAAAGCAGATGTTTACTTTCACCAACTGTTTTGTACGTTTGAATAATCACAACATTCTGTATTAACAATAGTCTTTGATTTGAAATAGTGCCACAGTGTTTCTACAGAGTGCAGCACAGAAAACTATTTTACTTTTGAATAAGTCCAAATGTATTAATCCCCAATCGCAGCACACCTGTGCACTTAACAACGTTTAAATTCTCCAATGTTAAATATTAAAACATAAAAAATTTATCAAAGTATTATAAACAATAAAAGGGATGACTTTTTTAAATTTAAGACAACAGCTAATTTGCAACCTAAAGGTGAGTGAGCGTAGCGAACGAACTTCAACCTGGAGGCGAGTTAGCGTAGCGAACGAGGTAACCTGAAAACAAGTGAGCGCAGCGAACGAGCTCCAACCTAAAGGTGAGTGAGCTATGCGAATACTTATGAAGTTAAACGGGGCAAAGCCCGCGGGTACAGCTAGTATTGACTATAAACGGAATTTAGTCTCATTAAGGGGATATAATGGACTAGCAGACTTACTACTGTATATGTATTCCTCATCTAAGCATGTGAGGATGGTATGGTAGATAGTTCTTTATGCAAACAGGGGACTGTATTATGTGTTTTGCAGTTAGGTTAGATTGGGAGGTTAAAGTTTTGGTTATAATGAACCGAGTTGTTTTGTTAGACAGTAGTTTTAGTTTTAAAATTAAAACACTGGTTAACACACCGCAAAATACTTTTTATTTTAATGCTTTTAAATTTTAAATGATAAGTTTGTAACTAATACACTAACTTTTGCCAGTAATCCACCATTCCAACAACAAGAGTCATCTCTGAAGACCATGATTGACAGTCAGACTTATGGAAGCCTACCTTCTAGATAACAATATTTCAGTGGCCCTAACTGGAAGTTGTAGGGGGTGATCTATTTGAGATGACAACTAGATACGTTCTTGGCTACATAATGATATAAATTAAATTAGACTAATCCCAGGTGTAAATAACAACTGTCCATCACTCACTTGAGCTCCGAGAGAAGTCTGATTTTCACTGATATACTGAAAGGTTTGGGTATTTTCTCTCGCAACTGACGCACCATCTCCTTCACCAGCTCAGGTTTGTACAGCAGTGCCGAGCCGTAACCCTCCTTCATGGCCCATCTCTGGGGACAGCCGCAGTTCAGGTCCACTCCATCGCAGTAACTGGAAATGCAATTAATTTATTTATGCTGGCTCTGTTTAGAAACGTTAAAAATTTACACAAAACAGGTGCTTTGTTTTTTTTTCAGGAAACATCCCTTAGCCTCTTAGGACTCTGTGAGAAGCTTTTATTGCTTTAATATTATTTTTGGATGAAAACCACAGTTGTCGCTATTCAACAAGGTAATAATAAGACAGCACCTATTATCCACAGACTTAGTTAGTTTCAAGATATGCTGTGATATAAAGGAAGAAATGTATAAAAACAAAAACTATTAAAATAATTTCGGAATTGTTTTCATAACCTGCTTGCTTAAATGCAAGATCCCTACTAAATTCAACCACCATATTTACACATATTTATTTTTAAACATTTAAATAAAAAATAACCAACTTCACTTGCAGCAGAAAAAACTTGCAGTTACAACCAACATTATACACACATAATTTTTTATACTCAAATAAAAAAAAACTAACTTCACTTACGGGGCGACCATCTGGGCTGCAGAGATGAAATCTTCTAAATTGTTGGCTCCAAACTGGGTAATTAAAGGTCGGTCACCTTAACACAAATAATTTATTAATGGAAAACTAAAACTTTCTTAGCTTGACAGTTGTGTTCGAAAAATACAAATAAGCATGGTATAAGAGTGTGTTATTATAACATTAGGTTGGAATAAGTTAAAATCAATCATCAACATTATTAAAAAAGATAATTATAACCAGTAGCGGCTAGCCCATAAGGACTCTCGGACGCCGCCCTCCCAACAATACAGAAATCAGTATTTTTTTTATTTATGTAATAAAAAAATAATATGTCGTAATTAAAATTAAATTACAATTACTTACGACTACTTAATCAATATGATAATAATATGAAATGAAATAGTTTTAAATTTTGAATCCAGTAATGACTGTTTTGCGATAGTCGCTTTCATAATGTGGATTGCGGACGGCGGCAACCTCCGTCCCAAACTCAATGCATGTAGTCTTATGGTAGAAACACCTAACAGCGCTGAGGGTGCCGTGACGTCATTCCAATGCTTTACAATAGGGACTCTGGGGCAGAGTCCAAAGCTGCGCGCGCATCCATAAATCAGGGCAGCCACCCTAAACTGGATAATTCTGCATCACACACGATTAGGATAGGAAGAACCATGTTGGCAGCGCTGGAGCCATCATCCACACTGTCACTACCATAAACATTAACTAACCTCACTTCTTTCCATGTCCATGACCACAGTTCAGTTATAGTTTAGTGCCAAACGACCTGTTGTTTTGTGATCAATAGTGTTTAGTGATAGTGATGGAGGCGTAAGGAAGGCAGCGGTAGTTTGTTGAAGATTGAAAGAGCTAAGTAGAAATTATTAATAGTTATACTTAATTGATTGAGTTAGTTAGTTGGTATCTTTGAGTCAATAAGTTACGTCTGTAGTTTTAGTATAGGCTAACCTAATCAACCCGAAAACTAAGTAGACTAGCCATAGGTAAAGTGACTCGGACAATTTTAGTTATAGTTACTTATTATTAGTCTTAATAAGTTATTACGGGTAAATTTGCCGTGGGTTGAAGGCCTAAATCTAAATAATAATGGACGGCGGCATTTCGTTGTCGTCGACGGCTAACGTCACTAACGAAGTTAGCCTGATTATCAATGAAGGGATCAAAAATATTGACCACAGAATTTCTTTGAAAAAATTAGGACCTCCTAGACCTTTCATGAACATAAACCAAATTCAAAACAGTTCAAAGAATAAGAATAGCTTCACACGGAAATTTTCGCCACATATGTACAATCATGCAGATTGGCTATGTGGTTGTTCAATTAAAAATTCATTTTTCTGCTACACTTGTTTGGTCATGGGGGTTCAAGATAGAGCATGGACTGTAGACGGCATTTCAGACCTTAAACATCTACTGGAAAAAGTAAAAAAACACAAAACAAGTGAAAAACACATAAATGCGTCAATAGAATATGCTGTTTTAGGTAAAGTTGATATTAGATGCCAATTGGACAATGCATATAGGTTAAGAATACAAAAACAAAATGAAGATGTTTCGAAAAATCGATACATTCTAAGTAAGCTAATTGATGCAATTAAATTTTGTGGAGCGTTTGAATTAGCATTACGAGGACATGATGAACGCGAAAATTCAAAAAATCCTGGCATATTTCGTGGTTTGGTTAACCTTATGGCGGAGCTGGATGTAACATTGCAACAGCACATAAATCAAACAAATAACCGAGTGTTTTTGGGTCTGTCTAAAACCATACAGAACGAGTTATTGGACTCAATATATTACGTTTGTCTGCAAATGATTCGTGACGAATTGACACAAACCGACTATGTTGCTATTGAAGCCGACGAAACAACAGACTGTGCCACTTTATCCCAACTAGTATTTGTTATTAGGTACGAGCTGAATGGCACGATTCACGAGCGATTTATCACTTTTATTAGACCAAAAGGCCATGATGCAGAATCAGTTAGCGAAACAATTTTTGAAGTATTAGAGCAATTAAACCTCGACAAAACTCCTGATAAAGTCATTGCCCAGAGCTACGATGGGGCTTCCGTAATGAGTGGCCAACACACGGGAGTACAAGCGCGTGTAAAATCTAAATATAAGAATGCAAATTTTGTCCACTGTTACGCACATCAATTAAACTTAATCATTGAACGCAGTGCTACACAAAATAAGCAGGTTAAGATATTCTTCAGTAATATCGAGGGGTTTTCATCATTCTTTTCCCAGTCAACAAAGAGAACTGCAGTTCTCGATGAGATAGTAAAACGTCGTATTCCAAAAAGCTCAGGTACTCGGTGGAATTTTAAATCCAGAATTGTAAGCACAATTTTTAATTATCAAAGAGAGTTGGAGGAATGTTTAAGTTACATACTCGACGATGACACCAATGACTATGCCACAATAAATAAAGCTGTTGGCCTAAGAAGTATTCTAAAAGACGAAGACTTTATTTTCTGGCTGGACTTTTTCAATCAAATACTGCCCCACAGTGACATTCTGTACAACCAACTGCAGCAAACAACAATTGATTGCGTCAAGGCGTTTAAGTTTGTCGGCGATTTCAAAACTGTGGTAGATCGCGTAAGAAACTCGACCATGTTAGATCAACCGAGAGATAGTGAACCCGAATCGAGCAAAAAGCGGAGAAGACACGACGATCAAAAACGCGTCGTCGCAAAGGAAGTGTGTGACATAATTACGTCGGGAATTGATGACCGTTTTACGTTTGTGAATCATTTGTCCGCGGCAAAACTGTTTCAGCCAAGTTTGTTTGGGGAGTTTAAAACCAAGTTTCCCGAAAAAGAGTTACACGCTGCTGCGGAACTATTTAGCCTAAATAAAACTGAATTGAAACAGGAGTTAAATGTTATTTACAATAGGGATGATTTTTCAACGGCCACAGGGTCATTAAGACTTCTCAACTTTGTCTATGACAACAACCTCAAAGATGTGCTTCCAGAGTCAATCAAACTTTTAAAAATCATAAGCACAATACCTATGACTACTTCGGAAAGTGAACGTTGTTTCTCTACTTTGAAACGAATTAAAACGTTTACCAGGAGTACCATGAAACAAGACAGACTAAGTGCGCTTGCTATGTGTTCTATCGAAAAAAAGCTGTTGTCAACTTTAAACTTCAACGAAAAAGTAATAGATCACTTCGCCGGGCAGAAAGAAAGGAGGATGGATTTCACATTCAAACAGTACAATTAAAGTTAGGCCTTATCCTCATGGTATGGTTTTCTACTCATATTGCCGTGGATGTTTTAATATAAAATACAATTAGTCAAGCCTTACCCTCATGGTTTGGTTTTCTATTCGTTATTGCCGTGGGTGTTTAAATTATACAATTCAATCAATGTCAGGCCTTACCGTTTGGTTATCTACTCATTATTGCCGTAGATATTTTACTATTAAATTATCAATTGTTAGTTATATTTTCAATACAGTGTAGTCCCGTTTTACAAGGCCGTAGGCAGGGAGGGGGGTTAGAGGGTCAAACCCCTCCCCCAAAATTCCGAAATTGAGCAGTACAAATTAAAACTAGGTTTAAAAAGTTGAATTATGAAATAGAAACCACAATAGAGGATTAATTGTTATGTTTTGCAATATCTATTCATATTTAATATAGGCCTAGTTATATTAGGATAATAAATCTGATCTATTAAATAAATTGGTAAAAACTATTTAAAAAATATACTTTACTTTACTCTACTTATGTCTATTTGCTCATGCATGACAAAAAACAGGTGAAATGGGAGTTTTTGGACTATTATTGGACACAGTTTTAGGCGTTAAAATTGCTTCAGAAAGTCACCAAACGGCTTTAAAAATTTAAAAAATTTTCCGGGGGAGGACCCCCGGACCCCCCTCTTCTGTTGGGGGGTGCTCCACACCCCCCAAACCCCCCGGAGCCCCCCCCTACACTAGGTCCTAGAGCCGCCACTGATTATAACGGTAAAAGATTAATCTTAATTTTTACATTATGACCATTTAGACTAGGCCTATCTATATGGACCAGCTGTAGCCAATTTTTTGGTAAAAAAACAACGTAGATGTGTGAGCCAGTCACAGAATGCGCTAGGGACTAAAACTCTAATTTCTACCTAATTTTTATTTGCCGGCCAAGTTAATGGGTCATAACATTTGTTATAGCTCACAATAAGTCATTTTATTAGTTTGAATTGGTGAAAAAGATTGAGTATTCAACATAAATCAGTAATTTTGTAACGCAACGTTACGTGGTGAACTAAAGGAAAGAGTTTTAGTGTTATCATATCTAGAATTATTCACTTACATTAAGCTTAGCCATTATTAGTTTAGCCTACCCTCCTCAACCAAAGAAATATTTGTTAGGCCCTACACAAAAAAAAAAACTATTGAATTATGTTAGGAGTCAATCAAAAAGAATACCGGTAATTCTTCAGAAGTTTTAAATTTTCAAGACTTTACAAATTTTTAAGCATTATTTCTGTTTATGTTAACCACAAAAAAGTCACCTACCAATAAGCACATTGGAAGCTGGTTGAACTTAATTTTTCTGCCTCATCTAATAAATTGTTAGCGAGCATTTTACAGACCTTTCTTTAATAAAAGGCCAAATAATACTGTGTATAAATAATTTGAGTTTGATTATTAATATGCATGTTAAAAATTATGATCTAAGATGTTGAACAAAGCATATTCCACCATAGTAGTTTTTTTATTTTTTTATTTGACAATTCAAATTTAAATACCCCGCCACAACAAACCTGCTGACTAAGCGAATTTCCATTAGCCTCATTGGATTTACACTAAAATGCCTCCTTTAAAATATCACATGTATTCCCTATTTAAATAGAATTAGTTTTACCAAATTCTTAGGTTAGCTGCAATAGGGAGGGTAAAAAATTTTTTTTATTTGTAAAATGTTAATAGTTTAGTAAGAAATGAATGTATTTTCCAAATTCAACCAAAATGTTCATAAGCAAGCAAACTAAAACAGTTGACTTATTCTCCATAAGAATAACATAGCCTATGAGTTTTAAATTTACATTTTTTTAAATTTTATCCGTAATCATTAGGCGCATAATAACGCTTCACAAAACTAAATTATTTGTTTTTTTTTAAGCTCTACAAAATGGTTTGGAAAAAAATTGTGAGATTTTGGGTCCCCATAGTCCGATCATGCTGATTCGCGAACTCGTTCAAATAAATGTAGGTTTACACGTTTGTACCAAATTTCATCAAAATCGGATCATATTTGTTCGAGTTATTGTGCTAACAAACACACATATATGTATGAATATGAACGGATTGCGTTTTCACCTCAAAACGAAAATATAAATCGGTCCCGGGTCTAGTTCTTACCATGAGTACTAGGGTAATAGCTTATTCCCTATATGGGAAATTCGCTAAAACTTGTAGGTTATTGCAATAAAAAAAGGTTGAAACTAAAAGATTATTTTAAAAATGTTATATAAAAAAAAAAAAAAAATATAATATAATGTGTACGGTATTAACTAAACAAAACAATGATGTTAGGCTACATAATCAAATAAAGAATAGGTTGGTTGGAACAAAAATGTTTAACTATTAAATATTGGATCAATTAAGATAAGAGTGATATGCTCGTCTTATTCTCAAAACAAATATGTAATCTTAATTTCAGAATTTTTTTAAATGCCTTATATTTTTTTATCAACAAATTTTTTGTCCCATTTTAACAACATTTATCATAACTCATTAAAAATCATCAATTATTTAATTTGGTGTTGTTCGCCTATGGACTTTTTAGTTTATTACAGCTTCACTTTATTTTACTACCGTTCTTTACAAGTAACCCAAGTGTTAAAATATGTAAAAAATAACCTTTGATGCTTATGATCTATAACTTTCACGATTTAATGTTTTCTCACAACAAGCTAAAGTGATTTTAATTCACTTAAGATATGTTTGAGGGCTAAATCACATGTTTGAACACCATGTGTTAGTTAATTAAAAGTCTATTCAGGAAATTATGATGCATCTACGATGAATCAAATAAGACTAAGTGGCAAATCACATTTAGGCTACTTACCCTCATTTGTTTTAAAGTCATTGGCTCTGGCTTCGGAAGACTTAACAAATGAGTCTGCCATTATCATGGGCGTAAAGCACAAATCACACTCGTATTTTCGAACTAGGCTTCGGAACTGCAACCTAAAATTTAAGAAAAGCTCTTTAGTTGTATAGATACACAAACAAAATCAAAGCGATTAAAAAAAGATAAAATGTGTATCATATCAACGGATTCTAAATAAAAATTATTTTTTTTGTCAAACCTACAGTTTTATTACAAAAAAATATACAAATTTATTACTTACCAATCCGTTATTTTATCTTCACAAAGATTACAAAAACTAAAGAGCAAACAAAAAGTCAACAAAATGTTTTAAGGAGCACCAATACACGACCATTGCTATTTTACAAAGAATCTACCATTTTCTTAAGAGTTTATTAAAACTTAAGTGGTTGAAAAATAAAAGACCGTAAATTTTTTTTTACGTTAAAATTTTAAAGTGTTACATTATTACCAACTGACATTGAGCAAAATTTGACTTAATTTCAGTTCACCAATCATTCCAGTAAAAAATAAAAGTCTATTCACACTATTAGACTTACCGACTATATCTAACCATGGGCGCACAGATCTTGACCATAGGTTTTTCTTCAAATAACTTGACAATACTGTTAGAACTCTCCATGTTAAGTGATTTTTCTTGTTTGTTACTGTCTACATGAAGATATAATGAAGTTTATTCTCCTTAGCTACCGATGCATCTGAAACATTTGCTTAATCAACATTTTGTGAGATTTTTTGGGTCCTAGTTGTGTTTATATATTTTGGCCCTTTGATCTCCAAGGACTGAGGTGAAGGAGGAAGGAGTGATTTAACTATCCCCATTTTGCTTATTTTATGAAAAAAATCTTTTATAAAAGTTTTACAAAACTAGTTTTTGATGAACATATTCAAAGTAAGAATGATAAAAACGTATCAAAATGTATGTTTGTTAGTAAAACTGAGTGGAGCAGGTTATTTACTCTTATTACAGTAACTTAACTATTTAAAATAAATTAGGCTTCCAGATTCAAGAGAATCAAGAGATTTATTGTACCATCAAGTAATAAATACAATAGGTAACGTCAAAAACTATGCTAAAATAAACAAACCAATGCATATGCAAAAGTATGCATCAAGTAACTAACTATTTAAATAATAGTGGCTCTATTTACTCTATTTACTCAGTTATATTATACCTACTCTATAAATACTTATAATTTACTCTATTTACAAGTGACTCTAACTATTTAAATAATAGGCTGATTGTAAGGTCCATCCTGTAAATCTCAAAAGAATGAGGATATAACATCCTGGGATGAGAAGGAAGAACAAAGTACGGAAATGTCCGAGTTTTAATTTTTGCAGTTTTTAATTTTAAGTTTAACTTATTTGGTTGCAGTAAAAAATTATTCATTTGATTACTGTCTTTCGTAGGTAGTAAATAATATTAACTCTTTATAAACACATTTTCCCAAAAAGTTCTATGAAACAATATATAAGCCTATCGTTGTTTGAGTTTAATCCAAAAAACGCTAAGTGACAATATATCGTGCTGGCACGACTTTTGATTGTGTGAGTTTAAATGGGCATATCAGTTGAGTCGGTTGTTGTTTCGAAACAGCAATGGTTTCTTTTGATTCCTCATAAGATCGAGGACCAATATATCATTCTTTAGATTAAATATGATAAATAGGTTTGGGCCCTACATAGGTAATTGTTAATCCGACAAACAGCTCAATATTACATATATAGGTTGTTTAAATGTTTCGGCTTGTATCCGCCATGTTGTCAAAACATCGCACGCAGTTGGATGGTGAAATCCTTGTCATTGTTTACTATTAAGCGTACATACACGTACACAGACGAGACAAAGACATTTATGAAAACAAATAAAAACTAAGAATAGGCCTATTCTTAGTTTATTTCCAGTCATGGAAACAAGAAATACGTTTTTATCAAAGTTTGGTAAAACCAGCGGCACACAGCAGTTTGGTAAGGCTCAGCAATTAATTACAGTAAACAAAATACCGTAGTCAGATATGTAGTCGATCTGGTTCAAATCAGTTTTTTGGTGGCCCAGACTTTCGGATGATATAAAATAATTGTTGAGAACTGCTCTAGTTGTTTGGAGAATCAGGTTAATCCTGCCGAACCATTGATCACATCTGTGGTTCCTAATCAACCCGTTCTTCTGCGACAATGTCACACTCTCGCCCGCAGTTCAACTTTGGGGGGTCACAACTAAAAGGTTAGGCCTAATAAGCTAACAAAGCCTACATACATAACTTACCTTGCTAAGTTTAAACTACGTTGGATCACTCTCTTGAGATAAACTTTTAACTTAACTTAACTTACTTGAATATGTTACAGAAGGCATGTGCATGCAATTTTTTTAGGTTAGTGTAGGTCTAAGCATAGACAAATGGAATTAAATATAGACAGACAGCAGTGCTGCGGTTAGCATAAGTTTCGGTGTCCACCGCTGGGAGCGCTGTGTAGTTACGACACACGCTACGTAACTACACAGCGCTCCCAGCAGTGAACAACAGAACTTATGCTAACCGCAACCCTGCTGTCAATTGATATCAATAATTTGGTTGGGGTTAATTTTTTTTTTTTATTGTAATGTTGTTTTCTACTTCTAAGCTGATGGTTAAGTTAAAGTTATGGTTACAGACACCTTTTCATGAAAATAATTTTATTACAAGTTTTATGACCATACTTAACTTAGTTTTTGATCCGAATTTATATGTCTAATTTATACTTGTGAACTTTGTTTAGGATATTTATTTTTAGTAAACTGTTGAAAAAGGTCAATGGTATAAAAATTATCACGATAAAAATAATATGACGGGTACAGTTTCTTAACTGGGCTACGCTAATATCGATTGAAACTATCGATTCGATCAGTAAACCTTCATGCGATTTTTTCACCATCAGCAAGTTTGGTTGGTTAGGTTAGGTGGTTAGGTTATGATAGATTTATTTTATAATAAATATATTTAAAAATATTGATTATTAATCAATATTTTCAATTTGATAGTTCCAATCGATATTAGCGTAGCCCAGTTAAGAAACTGTACCCAATATGACTTCTGTATTACTACCAAAAAGACAAAACACTTGTCTAATCCAACCATAAGAAACTACACACAAACACAAACCTAGATACAATAACTTAAAAAAATAAAAAAATTAGATTTGATTCAGATAATCAAATCTAAACGTCATTTTCAATAAACAACCCAACACATTCTAATGCACTGAATATAAGTTCAAAGTTGTTCCACTTAAGTTAGCTTATTATTTTATTAGATTTAGATTTACCTCTCTCGCTCTCTCAAGAACACGTAATCAGCAGACTGTCTCGCTGTCTGTCACGCTCCTTTCCTTTCACACTATACGTTTTCGCTCGTGCGGTTATTAGTCGTATTTGTTGTATCGCATTGGAGCTTATAGCCCCTTTCACATTATACGATTACCAACCGTGTACGATTTTCACCCGCGTAGCGACCGTAGGTGCACACGGTTGGTATCCGACTCCCGCACGAGTAATAGTCGTGTCTACGGCTAGTGGACCATGTGACCATATGGCCCTTTTCACACTACACGGTTGTTAGTCGTGCGGGAGCCCTCCCCGAATGCAGTTCGCAGCGTTTTTGCTATATAGTTTTTATTTCGTTTTTCAGTTTAATTGTTTGGTTATTGAGTTTAATTACCTGTGCGCACTGTATAGTATTATGTTATAATATAGTTCCTGAACGTCGTATTATTTCTTTGAAGATCACTTTTCAACTTATTGTGCAATTCGTCGAACGATTCTTTCGACATACGAAAATAGTTAAAAAAACTTGGCTTCATCGTTCCTCAAATCTTCGAATAATGTATTAAGCACACCCACTTCCTCACGTTTTACATTTATGGGATGTACCCAGTGCAGACGGCCGCGTTTATTTCTTTTCCTGCGTCTGTAAATTATTAGCGCAGCAATAATTTGCTCCCGATCCATACTCCTCAAAACTTTCCACTGAAGTATCAATGAACTCTGTACTGGTGGAGTGGGGGGTTTTGATTTATTACTCGTACGATTACAAATCGTATAGTGTGAAAGCAACAGACCCACGACCGTCTGCCCGCACGATTAACACTCGTACGAGCGAAAACGTATAGTGTGAAAGGAGCGTCACTGAGCTAAAATTATAACTGGAGGTAGCACTGCCATGGCAGAAGTCTGTCAAAAGCGTGTCACTGATTTTGTTAGGTTGGTATAGCTGCGAGTTTTTTTATCCAATGACATTGCTTCTATAACTAGGTTTGTATAGCAGTGAGTTTTTTCATCCAATAACATGGCTTCTTTATAACTCACACCTCACGCAAACATGGCGGCTGGCGACACGCTTCTTTGTCATTCAGTGCTACCTCCAGTTAGAATAGCTCAGTGCTGTCTGTGTACTGTCTGTGCAGTGTGTGTCTGGTCTGCGCGAAACGCGAAACAAACAAAACAACATGACTATGACACGATGTCCATGACGATGACAGGTTGACTCTTTTTTTATGGATATATGTTGATACAATTTGGCAAATTTATTGATTTCATCCTATACTATTGACGTTTGGTCAAAAAACACTATTTACCTTCACCGCAGCAGCAAACCTACACACTCCTTAAATCTCATCTATATATTTAATCTTCTATATATTTAATACGCGACATGAAACTTTGTGGCCTATTTGGCCTATCTAACTTAGGCCTATCTTTTATCAACAACCTTCAATGATAGCATACCAAATTTAGAAGCTCCTTTATTTTATACGGCCAAATTGATTTTAAATTATTAAATTATTTTCGGAAATGCAAAATATGCAGGCAATTTAAAATATAGGCCCTAACTTTTAGCTTATTTTTTAGCTAAGTTTGGGTTTAGGCCTAAATTGACTGTGCCAATGCCTCAAGACAAATTTTCTTGAATAAACATATAGAGACCTTACATCCCGTGCCATGGTACATTCCTACAACACCAGGCAGAAAAAAATGTGGGATGTTCCCCGCGTTAGGCTCTCTAATACAGCTTTCCCAAAGGTTTTAACAAACTGCCGATGACCATTAGGGGCTGGAGAAGGGGTTATCTCAAGGACAAGTTTATGTTGATAATTAAAGAGAGAGCCTACTAGCATATCAGAGTTCATGACCGATGATGAGATTGGAAACATACGGTAGGCCTAGCCATCTTTCTATCACCCCTGGAAGTTATTTTCACTTGTATATATATTGTTTTTATATCTTGAACTGTAGTTCACGTTGTAAAGTACCTATTTTTTTATTTTTGTGCGTGTAGGCTAAAAGAAAAGTTTTTAATTTTCTGTCGAGACGCAATCCATCCCTATTTTGGGTAAAAGATTAAGAAGGTGTAAGTAGCCTAAGTAGGCTAGCCTGAGCTCTATAATTTGATATATGATTTCATCCTATACTATTGACGTTTGGTCAAAAAACACTATTTACCTTCACCGCAGCAGCAAACCTACACACTCCTTAAATCTCATCTATATATTTAATCTTCTATATATTTAATACGCGACATGAAACTTTGTGGACAATAAGGCTTTTTTGTTTTAAGATTTAACCCCACATATTATATATACCAAAATCTTCGTCTGGGTGTGTAGATGTGCAAACTGGCTTTAGATTTTCGAAATACATCTTTTTAAGGGCGTGTGCTGCCCTCAAAGTTCCTTCCATAAGGATAACATTGTTATTGATTTGAATGTTATTATATTCTGAAACAGATGTCAAATACATTAGTTTAAAAAAATTAAATCCCAGCTGTTTTGTTTGGTTTTGAAATGTAAACAGTTTGCATGTTTTGAAAAATAATTAGAAACCCGGCAACGAAATGTTACCGATAGGACACAACGGGAGAAAAGTTTTACATTATATTTTTGTTTAAACATGCCAAGGACCCGATGACAAAGATTGCTGGTCGGACACGGCGAGTCAACATACGGCAAGCAATGCAAAACGTAAGGAGCCCAGACGAGGAGCTGGAACAGTGGCAACGTGTACTTACAAAATTACACTGACAAATACTAGAATTCAGCAGCATTCACTTGGCGAGATGGCATTAAAATGTCAGAAATGTGGTGCGCTACATTTGAAAGAAGAACAAAGAGGACGAGGCGAAGGATTTTCATCCTGCTGCCATAAAGGATAAATGAATTTACCGCCAAATCGAGACATCTATTATCCAGAGCTTACTTAATGTACCTAGCAAATCATTTGAGCAGAAACTACGAAGATAACATTAGATCATTGTCTAAATGCGCTCGCAATGGTCAGCACTCGAGCTAAAATTGAAGAACATAACGGTGGAGGGCCTTTCATGTATAAGGTGCACGACACAATTTAAAACTCAATTGGCACCTTACAACCGTCAGAAGGGGAGCATCCCACATATGCCCAAATGTATATCTCCGTACGTCGAAACCGCTGTTCAAGGAAGAATGCTAAACAAAGCTAATAAGGCTCTTGCAGCACTGAACTCATGCACATTTTTACTCATCATTTGGTTAATATTAATCCATACGCGCAAGTTTTCAGCATGAGCTCCGTCCTGCAAAATAGAACAGAAAAAATAACTTAGCATGCAAATAGTCAACGATCGAGCTCAAGACCAACGTTGATACAACGACGCAACTTCTAACGACGTTGCTGTTGCTATAATATCCTAATTTATTATTCGTGCGAATTCGCACGGGTTCACTTAGTCTATATTAACAATAGACAAGCATGTTATCTTTAAAAACTTTTTTCTCAGCTCGTGTGCATAGCAGGGAAAGTTAATGCATATTGTTCGAAATATATTTTTGTGTAGAAGTGCAGAATCCCTATATAAATTAAAATAGGCTCAAAAATAAGGACAAAAAATTAATTCAAAATATAAAAAAATTACATGGGCCTTATGGGTTGCCATGCTGGTAACGAAATAACAACTAAATATACACAGAAAATCAAAATACAGAAAATTAAAATAAATGAAATAAATTAAAATTACATGTTTTTATTTACAGCGTGGGGTGAAAATCGAGAAGTCATCATATTATTAGATATTTTCGGTTGAGGTTTCGACCACAGGCACGGCCACCTACAGGCCGCGGTCTGGTAGAATTGGCAACGTCGCAATTGGTGTTGTTTAGTGACAGACGTTCTAAAAACGACGAAAGATATAAGGTCAAACAACAAAACAACAATTTTTTGAGCGGAGACAGGTGACATCAGCTCATTAATTCACACTTTATCGATTTAAATTTAAATTTATGAACAAAAATTTATTAAAATATTGAAAATAAAACTTACAGAATTGAAAACCGAAACAATATGAATTAAAAATATACACCTGTACATTTTGAGCGGAGTTAATATTGTCATAGTCCAGTAACTGACCTTTCGTAAATACACAAATACCATTTATTAGCTGCTTCTAAACAAAACAGCTGTTACAACACCACTTTGCGACGTTGCCACTTGGAAGGCCGCGGCCTGGAGTTAAAGGCGGCCGTGCCACAGGACGACCTATAGTGTTATTTAAATTGGTAATAAACATGTTATGGAAATATTTTTGTAAAAATGTAAACAGACAAGTTTCAATTCGCTTATCCTGCAGGTTTGCTGTGGCGGGGGTATTTAATTATTTAATTATATTTATTATTTTTAGTATTTTCAATTTTGAGCCTAGTGCATGAATTAATATTACAGTTATTATCTTATTTGTTAATTATGCAATTAATTTTTACTATATAACCTACTAATATCTACACTATGTAAATATATAGTCAATGATACTACTTAGAATTAGATTCGTGTTTTAGTTCTCATATGTTGACACCCTGTTCCCGCCATAAAAAGTGATAATCTTTGTCGCGCCTTTTCTTTGTTCTTGGCTTGGCGGCTTCGCACTTCACGGCGGTTTGGTTTGGCGTCTCTCCTCTCCTCTCCTTGGCCGAAAGTCTCTGTGTGAGGATCTCCGTACTGTTATTTGCTCTTACTAGGTAGGTGTAGAAATTCTCTTTTAAATCCTCAATTTTACCAAAAATTCTTGAGTTAATCAGAATTTGTGCATGTATTATTTTAAATGTATTGCATTAATCAGAATAATTATACAAATATATTTAGAATTTACCTTTGGCAGTTACCCAACTCGACCTCATATTCAATGGCGTTATTTGTGCTAGGCCTACTTTGTTCTTATTAAACCTTCATTGTTCAGATGACTTTAGGCTAAATCTATGTGCCAGTTTTTATATATAATATAATTTTTTTTATAAACTCGCAGAATGCAGAACTATCAAGCCAACTAATAATATTTTGTGCAAGTGACGCTTGGTGAACGACCGTTGGCCGTTATTATGCTTGAAAAGGACGCTATCCATGTAGGGTAGGCCTAGGCCTAAACTTAATTTGTATTTTTTTGGAAATTTGTCTGGCTTAGTCAATTTGGGAAAATAAGACAGCTGGTAGTCGAAAAAAGCAATAAGTTTAATTTATATTTTATATAGGCCTATTTGGCCTATCTAACTTAGGCCTATCTTTTATCAACAACCTTCAATGATAGCATACCAAATTTAGAAGCTCCTTTATTTTATACGGCCAAATTGATTTTAAATTATTAAATTATTTTCGGAAATGCAAAATATGCAGGCAATTTAAAATATAGGCCCTAACTTTTAGCTTATTTTTTAGCTAAGTTTGGGTTTAGGCCTAAATTGACTGTGCCAATGCCTCAAGACAAATTTTCTTGAATAAACATATAGAGACCTTACATCCCGTGCCATGGTACATTCCTACAACACCAGGCAGAAAAAAATGTGGGATGTTCCCCGCGTTAGGCTCTCTAATACAGCTTTCCCAAAGGTTTTAACAAACTGCCGATGACCATTAGGGGCTGGAGAAGGGGTTATCTCAAGGACAAGTTTATGTTGATAATTAAAGAGAGAGCCTACTAGCATATCAGAGTTCATGACCGATGATGAGATTGGAAACATACGGTAGGCCTAGCCATCTTTCTATCACCCCTGGAAGTTATTTTCACTTGTATATATATTGTTTTTATATCTTGAACTGTAGTTCACGTTGTAAAGTACCTATTTTTTATTTTTGTGCGTGTAGGCTAAAAGAAAAGTTTAATTTTCTGTCGAGACGCAATCCATCCCTATTTTGGGTAAAAGATTAAGAAGGTGTAAGTAGCCTAAGTAGGCTAGCCTGAGCTCTATAATTTTTGGCAAAAAGTAAACTTAAGTGAGATTTGTTGTAACTTAGGCCTATTAGACCTTACCCTATAGCATAGCAGTGTACTAACTTAATTTAAGCTTAAGTTACACATGGTGAGTAAGTTATATTAATAATAATAAAAAGATAAACTTGACTTTTAAGTACTTACTGGCCTATTTTTATATTATCAACTTCCGGAAAGTTAAGCTTAATACTTAGGTTTAATAGTTATAAATTAGGCCTATCTTATGAGTTAGGCTCTAAAAAATCTTAATTTCAATAAAAAATTGTATGAAGCTAAATTTCAGCTAGTAAAGGTTTTTAACTGTTCCCAGGAAACCACTACAAAATGTCCGACGATGCTGGTGCAGTTGATAAGAAGAGGGGCCGCAAGGCAGCGGCAACTGATGTAAGTAAAAACTGCATTGTTTTACTAGCTTAATAAAATGAAACCATAGATAGTCACTAGTCACAGTATTTTTTAGTGTTATGATCTGCTTTTGCTTATGTAAAAAGCAATGAGCTAGCCTACAGTTAAACTTTGCTTCCTAGACTTGCTGTCATAACTTAACCCTTCCTGAGCGTTGGCCATAATATTTATACACCAACGGCGCTATTAATTTGCGAGCGTTGGCTGTATAACTTAGGGGAGAGTGGGGCACATATGAACGGTTTAAATTTGCCGTCATTTTTATACTCGTAGGCCATTGGACCAGCTGTAAAATGTAGCCCTCCAATAGGACAACAGGTTGCATTCATCTCCCTCCATTTCTGATCAGTTCTTAGTTTGTCGTTGAGAAAATTTAGAGCGCCACAAGAAAACTTTTTAAGCAGTAGGGATTTGTAAATTTTTCATAGAAAAACTACATTACAGATAAGTTAGATTTTTTTACCATATGGCTTATACATATTTAGGCCTAGATACAACTATGCACTTCACATTGGTAAATTACAATTAAAGAAAACATAATTTAACTTTTTGCAAAAATGGTGCCTAGTGGGGTGGATTTGAACAGAGTCAGAGGGGTACATTTGAACACCATGTTTTCCTCTGGTAAGCATGTTGTTCAAATGTAACCCAACCGATTGTATTTGTTTTCTATACAAGACAGTAATGAATAATAATAATTTAAGACTATAAGCTTCCTCAACCAACAATGAGTGTGAGAACTGCACGTGCAGCAAACGAATATAATTTCGCTATTAACTTTGCAACATTTAGCTACAAATAATGTGATTCTAAAACATTAAATGAAGAATTAGTTCCAATAGAAATAAGAACTGTGTTTATTAACTCACGTGCATAAACATTTCTGTAAAATAAAAATTTTCATTTTACTTAATTAGTGTGTTCAATTGTAGGTACCTCACTTCTTGTTCAAAAGTACCCCACTGGTGGGGTACTTTTGAACAATTTGCATACCTTTGTGAAAACAGATTTTGCACATTAACATGTTAACTTGGAGGGTTTAAAAAAATAACTAAATTAAAGCTAACAGTATGTTACAACTAAATGTAATAATGTTTTTATTAAAAAAATATAAATTCACCTATTTAAAAATTAAAGTTTAAAAAGTGTTCAAAGGTGCCCCACTCTCCCCTAAGTTATATAGGCCTACAGTATAACTAATGCAACTCAATCTGAAGATCACGAGCGTACGACGCATAACTTATATTATGTCAAATTATGTAAGTACGTCATCTTGTATTTTAAAGTTGTTTCTCAGCCATCAACAGTTATCTTACCGTACCTTAGGCGATTATTACTATTATTGTTGCGATAACTTAAAGTAAAACAAAACATTTTTTTCTAGATGTTATTACTCATAAAAAGTAAACAACTAACTGTTGATTTTTCTACTAGTGCAGTAGAAATAATGGAACATATATCTTAAGGTGGAACTAATTGCAACACAAATGATTCTTGCTAGGAATGTTGGGTGTTATGCTTCTAATCAGCATAGCCTACTAAAAATATACATCCTTACTATTGCGCAAAATATGTTTTTTTGGCCGCCATCTTGAAAAAAGTGTAAAAATTTTAACATTAGTAAAATTACATTTTGGGTATCAAATGATAGGAAATTTAATACTGAAAAATATTTTGATGGTGGTTATAAGCACTATTTAGAAATACAATGGTAGTAAAAAAAAAACCCCCCGCCGCAGCAAACCTGCAGACTAAGCGAATTTCCATTTGTCTTAATCGATTTTCATATAAATCTACTTAGGCTAAATAACATTAGGTTTAACGAGTAGGTACTGTTTGCTGATAAATGGAAACTAATAAAGTGTGTTTTTAGTAAAATATTAATACATTAGCATAAAATAAGTAAATTTTCCAAGTTTGTTCAAAATATATCCATAAAGAAGGACACTACAACATTTTACAATATTCTCCATGAGAATAATATGGAAATTTAAAATTAACATTTTTTTAAATTTTCCCTGTTAGGTAAGGGCCTACCAATAGGCCTAATCGTTGTTTAAATATTTCACAATGACTGTTGAAAATTAAATAGCCTATGTCAATGTGGCCCTAGAATAAAAAAGGTTGGAGACCCCTGGCTTATGGTCTGTTTTAAAAAGCTAACACTCTTGGATACACTGAAAACCTAGAATAACTATTTTTACGTATAAAGTAAATAGAAAACACGTGAGTATAAAAACTATGCTTAAATAGATAGGACATTTTTTCTAGTTTTGATCTAAGGAACCATTTCCCGAATTTTGTCAGGGTTCCTGTGAAATATCAGGTGTATAAAACAGGTTATGTATTTGCTCAGAAATCTTCAGCTGTTAGTTCTAAAAGAACTTATTTGAAGATTGTATTTAAAAGTATTGTTAACAAAACTTGGTTTATTGTGTCTTTTAGGAGGGAAGCCCTGCCAAGAAGGCGAAGAAGGAAGGAGCAACCCCCGCCAAGCGAGGCAGGGGAAGGCCAAAGGGTTCCGGAAAGAAAGCTGCTGCCAAGGCAAAGGTGAGAAGATTGTTTGATTTTTTAAAGGCTGAAGCCATATTAAGTTAAGTATCTTAAAAATAGTCTGAAACAGAATAAAAATAGTAGAAAATAGAAAGAGGCTTGTTTCTGTCATTATTCTTAAACAGACTAAAAACATGTGCCTAGCCTCTTATCATCGACTTATTGGATACTGAAGCAGACATCCCATCTATATGGCTGTCACCAATTTTTTATTAAAAAAGAACGTAATTGTGTGAGCCAGTAATTGAATGCGATGGTGTACAACATTCTATTTTCTACCTTATTTTTGTTGCTGACCAAGTTGATGGGTGTAATACTCATACCTCCCCAATAGTAACCCTTGCAATAGCTCATAATAAGTAATTTTATTACTTTGGCACGGTAGAAAAATTTGTATATTCGGCAGAAATTAGTAATTTAGATCAGCACAGTCTGTCAGTGGCTCCATAGACAAAAAGAGTTAAATATAGACCGTCAGCCGTGCTGCGGTTACCATGGTTACCATAAGTTCCGGCGCACACCGCTGTAGTTTACGTAGCGCGTACGCTGTAACTACCGTGGCGATCCCAGCGGTGTGCGCCAGAACCAATGGTAACCGCAACACAGCTGACGGTCTATATTTAACTCTTTTTGTCTATGGTGGCTCACATCAACTGTTAAAATTTGGATTTTAAATCTGGCTACAAATTTAATATGAGGATAGAACGTCTAGTTGTATCAATAGTCAAAACTCGTATAAAGTAATGAATTGATGTATTGACTTGTGAAGTAAATTAATTTCCTTGGATCACAAACCAAAATATCCAATCAAAGTTAACACCATTTGCCTGGTTTTATTTTCCTACAATTTTAGTTTACAGGATTAATAATTAATAGTACCGGTATGTTTATAAATAACACTCAAATGTTATTTAAATGGGTTTCATTACCTCACCGAGTGAGTTTTTTTCAACTTTACATCACTCGAGAAGTAAAGAAGTTGTATACATCACACTTGGGATAGGGAAGTTTAACATGGCGGGTTAGGTAAAAGCATTAAACAGTTACAAAATATACCAACAGGATGCAACACATGTTTTCATGCATTTATGAAAACAGCTAATTTGAACTAAGCAGCAACAAAAAACTGTGATACGCAATGAGAACTGTCAAAGTAGGATTGTTTACAGTTATGTTTATTTTTTTATGTCATGGATAATTTGTGATTTTGCGAATTTTTAGTATTTTTTAGGTGAAGTGGTAGAACATTATGGCTATGGTAGATGTGTAATACCATACATAGTGTACCGTCAATTTAAAGAAGCAAATTTTATCAAACTTTGTCCTCCCCCATTGCAAACTCAAAGCTTGAGTATAACTGCAATAAGCATTTTAAACTTATACAAGCTGCTATACCCGTGCTTTGCAACGGGAAGAAAATGTTACCTAGAGAGCTATTAAAGTGGTGCTGATGTGTGTTTCAAATACAGCATCTCTATATGATTTAGTTTGAAAATATAAACTGATTTAAAAGCGTAAACCTACATACTTTCAAACCCCTACTTTTGACGTTGATAGATCCACAAGAATATGACAACATACCTTAGTGTAGCAATTGCTTCAAATTGATGCTTCATGAATGACATGTTTTACCATAATTCTTTAATTTTAGTCAAGCCTCTTTACATGTAGCTTACTATATAAATTACAAAATAAATCTTTGAGCAATACTTTACAAAACGTTTACAACCTTTCTTTAAAACCAAACATAACCCTCCTAAATCTACATAAAGCGTCACAAACATCTTTTTCGAGTAAATAAACAAACACCAGTTCATTGTACTGACCAGCTGTTTCATTAACTACATTAAATTAAATCATTTAAACGTCGGAAGCATGCCAGGCGTACCCCTTTGGAAATCAGCCTGTGGGGCAGAGCCCTTAGGAAATTCGTCCATATCAATACTTTTCGGCAAATCTACACTCTCTAAGCTTCATTTTGATGTGCCATATGCCTATATTTTTATTTTATAAATGACCTTAACCGTTTACATAAAATTTGATTGTATCACTTTAATAATATAATAGATGCCAACCCCGTACGAAGGACGGGTACTCTGCTAGTCAGGTAATAAATTGAAAGAATAACATACAAATAAGTACAGCTTAGGTATTTTTAACATTAGGTATATGGAAAGTTCTCTTTAGAAAGAATTTACGACCTTAAAGGGCAATTTATGAAATAATGGATAGTTTTGCGCAAGGTTTCTCGTAATGACGAACATTTTAAGTATATGGCTTATGGGGATGTGACTTGTAGTAAGTTTTCTCAAAAGTTCATGGGTACTTGGGATTTATTTATGGATTTTATGATGATTTGTTATTGTTGTTGTAAAATTTAGATTATAAGTTATTTCACTTCACTACTATAATAATTACTCAGTATTTTAGTATATTTTACTACATGTATGGAAAGGAAACAATTTTGGTATAGTACCTGTACAAAAATTTTACTTTTTTAGGCAAAATCCACACCCGGAAAGGGAGGACGCGGACGACCAAAGAAGACTGAGAAGAAGGCAGAATCAGCAGAGGAAGAAGAGAACGACGATGAAAACTAAGTGTGTGCGAGAACTACTGTTACATCTAAGTTAGGTTAAGTCTTCAGGTCTAGTAGTGTCTTAAAAGTGCCACCCTTAGCATCAGGTACAGAGTTCTTTTAAAGAAATATTACATCAAAATAAACCACACATTTTAGTAACTAACTACAAAATAGTAAGTGTCAGTACATTGAATGTATGTTAGTTTTTGTTGCCAAGATCAGTGTAGAGTTGTTTTGTCTCTTGTTTTATGTGTACAATTAATTTAGTTAGTATAAGATATTTACTAAGAATTTCACTTATTTATACCACACGAAACATCACTGATGTCTGACTGCAATTGGATTTCAGTGTTGAGATTACAAGTGTATCTCATTTTAGTTATTAAGAGTTACATCTTGACCAATCTGAAATTGTAAACACTCTGTATAATTTGTGAGAGCAAATATAATTTTTATACTTGATAATTGCGTAGTGATTTTGCATATTTTCCAATTCAAATTTTTAGCCTCTATTTTCCAATAATGAATCAATAAATGTTACGGTTACTGTAGGTTGCTTTGCATATACGGGTAGAATGTTAAGTGCTGAATAAAGAATTTGTCCCCTTAAAAAAACATGGCTTTATGAGTGTTAGATATTTTAATAATGTAACATTTGAATGTAATAACTCAATTTAACTTTACTAGTGTACCTGTTGCTCGAATTCGAGCAATTGCAAAGCATTACAGGCGACTCAAAGATTATGGAAATACTCACGATCTACACAACAGTTAGATATAATCAAAATCTTTTGTAAATATCTTATCTTTTTTCAAAAAGCTGATCTTGTTTTTTTTTAGTGTAAAAAAAACATTATTTCTATTTCTTCTACTTGGTTGTGTTCTATGACTTTTTCTATGTTTCCATTGTTTGCAAATCGGTTATTTCAATGATTGCTCAAGAAATGTAGCCACAGTGTTAATTCAGTTTTATTTTTAGCCTATATCAAATTGTCCAGGATTTCTCGCTCTTTTCCATTGTAATAATTACACCAACCCAAGTTTCGTCTACAGATGCAATGTGCCAAAGAATATCACCTACGTACAATCTCCAAGAAGTGGTAAAAACGGCAGAAACCAACCAATACAATAGATATAAGTTAACTCCATCTATAATATTAAAACGAAACAGTGTTTTTTTATTTCATGATTCTGAATCAACCACTCGACGGATTTTCATGATTTTTGTGTTGAAAGAAAGATAATTTTGAGAACTAGGGAATGTCGAAGCCATAAATTTAGTTTAGGGTCCCAGTTTTTTAGAAATTAAGTTTTAATTTTTTAAAAGTCTAGCAGCCGACGCTAAGATTCTAAACTAGCTTTTGGCATAAAATAATTTGCTTAACATAACAGCTGTAAACATTCAACTTTTGTGTCACAAATTCAGCATTTGGATAAAAATGTAATGACATGCTTAGGGTTGACTTATTTATACTATGTGTAATGCAAATCATTGATACGTTCAATTCTTCTGTAAGAGGATGACAGATTAATTAAATTATACATAGTACAGTAAAATACTAGGATGTTCAAATTATTTTTTTAAAGCAATCTTTGTAATCTTCGATTTGCTTTAGAGCAATATAATTTGTTTTAACTAACAGCTGGTTAAAAATAAACTATGGAACTATGAGGTTATTTTATTTACTCTTATTTTGTCATTGATTAAAGGAAATTAAGTAAGATTAGTAGGGATAATTAGACCACAGCTTAAAATAGTTTAGACCAAAATTAATTAAATTACAGTGCAAATCGAGGCTCTGTACACGAGTCTTAATAAAAAAGGATAAATGCAAATTATTTTACTATTCCACTTTTCGAGGAAAGAATATAAAAATAACAATGTTTACATGTTTTAATTCTTCATGGTAGCTTTTTGTTTACAATTAATGTTTGTCTGCTTTAACTTTGTTTGGATTAGGCCAGGAAATATTGATGTCATAAAAAGAAGATCAAGAATAATCAGGAATCACGATTTTAAATTACCACCACAACATCAGCCGAGTTTTATAAAAGGATAGGTGTGACGATTTATGTGTACTGTAAATTTTATTTGATATTATCGTTTTATTTTAGGTCATTTCTATTCAGACCTACTGGAAATTGTGTACAGTAGTTGTATTGTGGTGATAATAATTATGGAAGAGGCAGGTATGCTATGGAAGGTGGTATCGTTGACTAAGTCTATACACTTCTCAATTGACTATTACTCTCTCTACTGTCGGCTACTTATAATCAGTGTGCGTCTATAATCGGCTGCAAATCTCACTTCAACGCTTTTCACATCGTAAAAATTGCAGAATTGCTGTTTTATTGTAAAATTATTGGATTTAAAATGCATATCGTATAGGGCTATGATGGAATAAAAACATATTTGGTCACACAACATTTGTTTACAAGATGATTTTTCACATTATAACTGCAAGAAACTTTGTCTTTATGTGTAAACTAGCTGATCTGAATTGTACACGGTTTTAACTGACTACTGAATTCCCGTACGTAGGACGGGCTAACACCTCGTAATAACTAATTTCAAAAGTTACTGTGATATTAGGATTTTCCACTGATTTGGTAATAGAACATTATATTGCAAAACATGACACGATGCAGAAGAAAATCAATTTAAATATTAACAGCTGTTGCATTAGAAAGTAGTGTAGAATTATGCATATGGTCGTAATTAAAACAAATCTGAAGAGGCAGCTTTAAAGGCTTCTGGGGCAGAGCCCCAAGGGTATTTACCTCTTTCCTCTTTTGATGGCTCATCTACAGACCAAGACCTTTCTTTAGAGACCCCTACCAAGTTTCTACGCCCAGCCGTTCTTTCAAATTAGCTGTGACAAAAACCCCGTTTTCCTCCATAAGAATAACATGGGATGGGAATTTAAAGGCCACGGGGGCAGAGCCCCAAGGAAATTCACCATGTTTCTCTTTTGATGGCTCATCTAAAGACCAAGACCTTTCTTTATACACCCCTATCGAGTTTCTACGCCCAGCCGTTCTCTCAAAATAGCTGTGACAAAGAAAAACAGTTTCAAATTAATATACAGGGTGTTTTTTTAAAAACTTGCATCTTTATTTATGTAAAAACCGGAATAGATAGAAATATGCAGTTTGCGGGAATCATCTATTGACGTAGGGGGCCCAATTTTTTTGAATTCAACGTTACATTCAGATTCCCCCCCTTCCCCCCCCCTGCCCCCAACTTATTTTTTTTAAATAGCAAGGTACCGCTTGTGACATATCAAATGAAAGAGCATAAAAAAAGAAAATGTTTGATGAAAAAAAAATAAAAATCGGTTCATAAATTTGCGAGATATTTCCCCCCCCCTTCCCCGGAACTTGATTTTTTTTAATAGCAAAGTACCCCTTGTGAAATATCAAATGAAAGAGCATGAAAAAATAAAATGTTTGGTGAAATTTATTTTTCATTTGATATGTCACAAGGGCGGGTACCTTGCTATTAAAAAACAAGTTATGGGTAGGGGAAAAAGGGGGGGGGATTATCTCACAAATTCATGAGCCGATTTTAAATTTATTTACACCAAAAATTTTCTTTTTTCATGCTCTTTCATTTGATATGTCACAAGGGGTACCTTGCTATTAAAAAAATAATCAAGTTCCGGGGAAGGGGGGGGGAAATATCTCGCAAATTTATGAACCGATTTTAAATTTTTTTTCATCAAACATTTTCTTTTTTCATGCTCTTTCATTTGATATGTTACAAGGGGTACCTTGCTATTTAAAAAAAATGAGTTGGGGGCAGGGGGGAAAGGGGGGGAATGTGAATGTAACGTTGAATTCAAAACAATTGGGCCCCCTACTTCAATTGATGATTCCCGCAAATTGCATATTTCTATCTATTGCGGATTTTACATAAATAAAGATGCAAGTTTTTAAAAAAACACCCTGTATAGATTTAATCACAATTCTATTATGTAAGGGTTCAAACACACAGGTCGCGACACAGCGCGGCGTGTTATGACACGTTAAAAACAAATACGTACTTTGAAATACTAAGGAACACGTCAAGGCGCGGCACGACACGGGGCGAGGCGACGGGCTGCGTCCTTTGTGTTTGTTTTGTACCCTAACTGAATCATAAACAATAATAAATAAAAACCAATGTTTATGAACAACTTATAGCCTAGTTTTGGAAAGTACGCATCAATCCTCCCTCTTGAATTTGGTGGGTAACATGTGATTGACATGCCATCTCCATATAGATCCAACATCCATTTTCAGAACAAATTAATTTACCTTCCTTGCTTTTAACATAACCAAACATCCACTTGTTTTTAAAATGTCTGAAATCATAAGCTTGAACTATCTCCCCTTTTTTAATCTCTTACTACCTTTACACATTTAAACTTGAAGATGTGTTATTTGCTATCATTAAATCTATTCTTGTTCTCACATTTCTCTGAAACATTAGGAAATAAGAATTTGATCCAGTAGAGTTTCTTGCTTGTCTCAATTGCATTAAGAATCATTGTAACTTTATGTCCATATCCCCTCCTTAATCTTTCATGGCTAGTAGACCCTTCTTCAGGTATAGTTTGGACAAATCTCTCTGCTTGACCGTTCGAAGACGGGTGGGATGGAGCGCTTGTTTTGTGTGTAGTGTAACACACCATAGTTTTGCAAAAGAATGTCCACAAAATTGTCTGACATTATCAGACACTAAAGTAAATGGAATTCCGAACGTAAAACACAATTGTCTTAATTTCTTGAAAAACTAATCAGAAGAAGTAGTTTTTGTTTGAAATACCTCAACCCATTTGTGTAAGCTAAGCATCAACCACAATAAAAGAATAGTTGTTTCCAAAACAAGGCCAAGCAAAATCAATATGTATTCTTTGCCATGGACCATCAGGGGTTTGCCATGAGTGAGGAGTCGTTTGAGGTGGTTCAATTTGTTTTAGACAACATTGTCTACATGTCTTAGCTTGTTCAATATCATGAACGATGCCTTGCCAATAGCAGTAGCTTCTTGCTAAAGACTTCTTTTTAACTATTCCTAAGTGTCCAAAATGTAGTTCTGTAAGTACTTTTGACATTAAATTTTATGGAACAAACACTCTATTTCCTTTGAATAAGCATCCATCTTGTAATGTAAATGTAATGTAACTAAAAAAAGTAGTGTCTTTTGAGGATCGAATATGGACACAAGAGGCTTATGATCAGTTATCAATCAATACAAACTTGTGTCCTTAAATGTATGAGAAGAATTTCTTCAGACCAAAGTAAATCGCTGCTTCTTTATAAATCTGGCTGTATTTTACTTCATTTTTGTTTGAGTGCGTGAAGCAAATGCAATAGGTCTTTCTGTACCATTTTCTAGTCTGTGAGAAAGTAATGCTCCGAGTCCAACAGGTGATGCATCCGTTGCGAGGGTAACCGTCAAATTGGGGTAAAAATGTCTTCACTTGTTATTTCCTCTTTGACTTTTTGTAAACTATTTTCTTATCAGAGCTCCAGTTGAACTTAGAATTTTTTGTAAGTAACCTTGTCAAAGGATATATTTTTGTTGAGTAATTTTGTATCAACTTGCCGAGTAAGTGACCAAGCCTAAAAACGGTTTTAATCCACTTACATTTGTAGGCCTAAGCATTTTGAATTGCTATATTTTTCTCAGGACTTTAGTGTAGACCTTTTTCATCAATAATGTGTCCTAGGTATTTGTACCTTTAAAAAAAAAAATTTATATCCTTTAATACCTGCTGCGACGTCGTTGACCAGAACTTCTGGATATCTGTGTCAAGGATAAAACTAAAAATACTATGTAAACTATTATTAACATTAACAATACTTTTGGGCAAGATGGCGTTGAGCCTCGGTGCAACGCATCAAAATATTTTGACAACTGAGTACAGTGGTTGGTCGACTAGCCAGGCTTTGACTTTTTTTTTAAACCGGACGGTTCACAAGTCTTAAATCTTTGGGGGAGAGTTTACTTAGTAGATCTATCTGAAGAGTTTCCTGACAAGTTGATCCATGTACTAAAATATCATCAAAAAAACATTAATAAATTAATTTTTGGCACATGGGTGGAGCAACCTTGACCCCAAACACCAGTCTATTTACTTTGAACAACCCTTTATGAATACCTAGAGTTTGCATTTTGCTCCTGTCTTCGTCCATTTGCATATGTAAATAAGCATTGCTTATATCAAGAGAACAAAAGTATTTACCTCCACTCATTGTAAAACAAATCTCTTCAATCCTCGGAATCGGGTACTTATCTTTCACCATTTCGTTCAGAGTGACATTGGTTTCAGCGCAGATACGAATGTTACCATTGGGTTTTATGACAGGCACAATAGGTGTTCCCCATTCTGAGTTATCCACCTTGGTGATAATTTTTGGGTTTCCAGACGGCAGGGTTCATTTTCAACTCGTATTTTTATTGCGTGTATGGAACCTGTCAGAGTTGTCCTTCAAGTTAATTTTGTTTAAAAGTTTAGGATGCATCCTATGTTTTTGTCAAACTAATCTTCATATTTAGCATTAGCAAGAAATGAATCCAGCTTCGGTTTCCTTGATGTTTATATATTTTGTATCTCCCCAGTCTAGTTTTATTTCTCATCCATTCACGTCCAAAAATCTTGTCGATATTTTGATTGATGACAAACATATTCCCCATGAAACACTGTCCCTTATAATCGCATTGTACATGTGTTACTCCCTTAGGGTTTTCCCCTTGTGTAGGTGCGCAGCTCTACATCGGTCTTGGAGGGAAATAGCCTTTTGTAATCTTCATAAGAAATTGATGTAATTGACGCTCCAGTATCCAACTCAAATGTTGCAATGTTACCTTCCACTTTTATTTATATCAATGCGAAATTCGTCATCCTTTGCTTTGTCGGATTTATTTGACAGTAAATTTATTTCATGGATGTTACCTTCAGAAATTTCATTATTTTCAGTGTAATGAACTTGTCTTTTACTGAGTTTAGATTCAGGGTAGGCCCTGTCCCACAAGAAATTTAATTATATGTAAATAAAGAAAAAGCATTCAAACTAATTATTTTGCATTTAAATTTTAAAATTCCCCCTTTAGTGGGGGAGCCCTTTAAACCTCACGTCCCCCAATCAAACTTTCTTGATCCTTGTCAGGCCTATCCAAAATATTATTCCTGGAGCCGCCCCTGTTTAGATTTGCTTAGGCATACTCTAGAAATATGTCCGATCTTTCTACGAGTTTCATCAATCATTGGACAAACATTCGCTCTATGGTTTACATTCCCACAACGGTAGCATTTCCGACCTTGTTGATGCCTTCGGCCTACCATAACAACAAAATTATGTCAGGCAGAAGGTATGAAGATTTTAATTAATTATCATCTAATGTCCATGCAATTTTGGGTAAAAGTGTGAAGTTGTAGTCTATACTGTATTTGATTATAAACAAAATCCAGATTAACTGGAGACAAGGTATTACCTTTGACTATAAATCCTTAAGGATTTATAGTCAATGGTATTACCATAGACAAAGAGAATTAAATATAGACCATCAGCTGTGCTGCGGTTACCATAGGTTCTAGCGCAAACCGCTGGGAGCGCCATGTAGTTACAGCCTACGCGCTACATAACTGCACGGCGCTCCCAGCGGTGTGCGCCAGAACCCATGGTAACCACAGCACGGCTGACAGTCTATATTTAATTCTTTTTGTCTATGGTATTACATAGTTAAGATAGGTCAAATGCAGCAGATTGCTTAAACACAGGTGCAACTATAGTTCGGCCGCTTAGAAAACGACCTGCGCGCTAATGCTAAACCAATGCTGGAGGAGGTCGCTTTCTAAGCGGCCGAACTATAGCAAAAAAATGTAGCCACCAAGTATGCAGGTCAAATAATGAAAGACAATATTAATCAAACATTTTAATTGGGTTTAAGATAAGTCAATGTTTTTTACAAAATAAAACGACTGACTTGGCAGATGTGTCTCATCTAAATAACAATTGAATAAATAAGGAAGGATCAATGAGACATCAAGAAGAGAGAGTGCCAATTAATTCCTTAAACATATATAGTAGAACCTCGCTAATTCAAACCTAGATAATTAGAAAACCTCTAAAATTAAAAAAATAATATACCGATAATTCAAAGTGTGTGCACAAGCTTTAAAGCTACACACCAGTCCTGACCGTGATTAAACCTATATTATTAACCTTGGCCCTGCTAGCACCTTAGACTGTTCGTCCTTCGATCAGAACTAACGATCTACTGTACCAACATTACAACAAAAAACCCAAGCATAGTGTCAATTGACTCAGGTTGCAGCACATGACAAATACAGTTATAGGTATCAGTGGTTTTTGTTCAATTAAACCTGTACAAATAAGTCAAATTTTGCTTATGTTTTGTATTAGGTACTCTTTATGGCATATATTGCCCTGGGTTCAAAGGGATGCCTAATTATACAATACATGAATGACCTGTTTGTTAGAAAAACTTAACATGTACCGGTACTTACAATATGAGTTATAATTTGTTCTGATTTATATTGCTACATACGCTACTTATTGTTGGAAGAAAACTAAAAATTGCTATCTAAACTTTCACACTTCTGATGAGTAAATCTTACATGAGGCCAATGACTAGTCTAGCCTACAATAACGCATTAATCTAATTTTTCTTAGGCACTGCAAGATAAAAAGTGAACAACAGACTAGTGTTTTAGAACAGTATAAAAAGGTGCAAGTATAAAAACAGTTATAAAATCTCTATATAAACACTATAATACAATAGTTAAAGTTATTAATGTATGGCGATATTTTCAACCTTGGATTGTTTTGTTTTGAGTATTTTAGTAATACAATTTGACTGAAACCTAGTTATTTCACAAATAGTTTTATTTCATCTACTTATGTTAATTCATACAGAAAAACTATATTTAATCATACTAGCTGTTTACCCACGGGCTTCACCCTGTTTGACTTCAAAGTATTAATAAAACTATTGATTGGTTAAGGTAAGCTAAAATAAACAAAACGGAATACAGTAATACATACAAATAATCACACCTGATTTTAATAAGGTATTAAATTGAAAGAATAACAAACAAATAAGTACAGCTGAGGTATTTTTAACATAAGGTATATGGAGAGTTCCAAGGAATTACGACCTTAAAGGGCAATTAATGAAATAATGGATAGTTTTGCGCAAGGTCTCTCGTCATGAAGAACATTTTAAGTATATGGTTTATGGGGGTGTGACTTTTAGTTTTCTCAAAAGTTCATGGGTACATTAGAATTTATATATGGATATTGGAGGTATCTTATGCTATCTGTTTAATTATTTTGGAAGAGCGGGGGCTACAGCTGCTTTCAAACAAAGGTCACAGCTGATTCTGTGGATTCCCGAAAGTTGTATTTTTATCCTAGATATTACACAGCTCTGCTTCCAGAAGAGATAGAGAGATGATTTTTGTTTTATTTTATTCAGCTTGTTCCATTCTGTGATCTGTAGGATGAATTTAAAGGAAATCCTAACAGAACATAATTTAATAATATTTGTTATGGTTATTTTCTACATAAAACCTAGTTAATACATTTAAAATGTTATAGGACCATTAATTTTTGTATTCAAACAAAACCAATCATACAGATTATAGAGCATACTTTTAGAAACAATTAGAAACAAAAAGTTATCAATTACCTATTATGGGTTTTAATCCGTACATGATCTAGTAAACCCTTAAAAAACTTGAAAAAAATCATCCTCCCCTCCCCCACAGGGATCGAAAAAAATTCAAACCCGTTTTTTTTTTGTTTCTATGGCTATAGGTAATATCCAGAAAAAGTTTCAAATTTATTTTTGGCTAATAGGCCTAATTAAAGATTTTAAATTTTTTTATGAACCCCACCCTTAATCTTTAATGATTGCAAATCTTCATGTAGAGAGGTCAAAAATGGCTAAATGGTATAAAGTCATCAAAAATATATGCCTAATTGAAATTAAAATCAAAATGTTTGTAGACATGATAAAAAAAAATTTATATAAGATAACAAATAGTTAGTGGGTTTGTGAAGATAGATGTATTAATTGTGTAGTTTGAGATTGATTTAATATTTTGTGTACATCGATTTATTATCAACAAAATCTGTTCAATCGCATGACAATAGTTGTAAAATGTAGCAAACCATATTACCTGTTACAATATTCTTACCAGAATTTAAATTAACAAATTTACCACGGGATTAGTATTTAAAAAAATATGTAGTACACATCAACAATGAACAAAAGCATATATTTCACAATATAACTAAATAAAAACCTTCTTTGTATCGAATACAGTAAAAAAGCTGCAAGGAAACACATAAAAAATCGAAGTATAACAATAAAAACTACAATTTCACACATTTTTAAATACTTGCTTTTTGTCAAGGAAAAATATTCTAGTGCATAAGTATATTCTAGCAAAAATCTACTATAATTATAAGTAGCTAAACTTACCAAATTTGAGTAGCGTTTTACAAACTTAAACACTGATATCACAACGGAGATTTTTCTCCTTCAAAAATACTTTTCCATACTGATATGAGTAACTACAGCTTATTGTAGGATATGATAATTTTTAATGTGGTAACTAATAAACTAGAAAATTGTACTTTGATACACTATGAGTAGAAAGACGCTAAGTCTGCACATTTGGATTGAACAATTACTGAATGTTATTCTATTATACAAAACTTTACAAGTTCATTTAAATAACTATCAGTAGACAAACTTTACGGGCGTAGAAACTGGCTTTCCATTGACCTGTATCCCTGAATAAGAAGAAAATCAATTTAATAAATTTTCAATGTATAAACTAATTCTGTAATTCTGATTTTGTATATGTGCTGTCAGAAAACTAGTCACAAATCAAACATTTAACATATATTACTGTTTGTTTACCATAACTTGGTATCTGATGGTTGGATACTTGCAACCAATCACCAACAATGCAATTTTCATTGCAGCCAAGTTTATTATTTTTGGTTGGACATTCCCTTGCTCACTTTTAATAGTACTACTAGTACTAACTTTTAGTTAACAGGCTTGTGCAAACATTTTTTGTATACCGTAGTATAGAAGGTTATATGTTATAGTACCGTATATGCTTTGCTTTTATAGATTAAAATAATCAAAGATGAGAATCGGGCCAGTGCTACACACCACACACCATAAAGCTTTCTATAGACTTTCATTAACTTAGGCCCACAAAATTCCTTCGGCTATTAAGTTAGCCCACATTGAACTTTTGAAAATATACAAAATAATAGAGAAATTAAAGTTAATGATGAATGAATGACATGTAATATTACACCAGACACCTCTTTAAATGTATGCAAAGCTGTGATGTTAATTAAACAGTTCATGTATTCATTATGATTAACACGAGGGATGGATTTGAGATGTATTGAAGTTTAACAGCCTTCTGAGTTTTTCTAAATTTGTTTAAAGCATTTAACTACCTATTAAAAGAAAGATCACTCAATATAATGTTTAGTGCTTGGCTGTTTTTTTTTTTGTACAACACTCTTCAGGAGAGTGGGTGATAAAGATAGTGAAGGACGGAGAGGAAAGTTTGCTTCTCGTCTCTTATGGTACAGTAGAGTCTCGATTATCTGACCAAAACTGGTCACATAAAGGTTGAATTTGCAAAAATATTGGATACTAGCTGTTGTACCCGTGCTTTGCAACGGGAAGAGGACACAAAATAGAAACCTTTTAATCTTTACATCTGTTGCATATAATAGTTACACATCAGCCAATGCTTTTAGAAACAAAATTCAACTTTTATGGCCATAATAGAAACGTTTAAATTATGACTTTTAAATCTGGTAAGTAGTGGATACCACCATTTTGGTTTTGTTTAATTTTAAATCTTGTGTAGGCTGATATGAGTAAAACTGACCAAATCTTCGAATAAAACTTTCACATACGATTTACCTTCATCTCCCTTAATAACATTTCTATTTATTTATAATTGACATTTCAAATTTCAATTTTTAAGTTGCAAAAATACTACATAATTATTAAATTTAAATGGACATTTTTTTAAAAATTTCACTCTTCTTCATATTAAATCACAAATCCTTCCATCTTCTGTTTCTTCACTCACAATAAATCATTAACAAAAACTAAGTCAGCTGTTATAAACTTTAGAAATATTGTTGTGCCTTATCAATACAGTCTTTTTAAATATTAAAGAAACTATATCCATACTATAAAAAAATGTTAAACAGATAATTTAGCATTAAAGACAACAGACCAAACTAATATGATTGTCAAAGCATCGAGGACTAACAAATGTAATAGCAAATTCAGTATATGTTTCATTGCGTCTCTGATTCTACTCTACAAAAATATCAACAAACAACTTAATATACAAACCAGTTCTTTTAATTAGTTCCATCGTCCATTGCCTTTAAATTTTCACACCATTAAGTAAACATAGTTACAGATATTTCATTGATTTTAGAAACAAAAGAACGCTGTGTACTGCTTAGTTTTATGACATTTTCCTTGGTTTAATTTAATCAGTGGCGTGGCAAAACACAAATAATAAATTTATCAAATAAAGTAAATGTGAACTGAAAGCTAGGTATGTTAAATGGAAATATATTAAAAAACAATTGTGATTACGAAAAACTATCATTACTATGTAAGGCTATCATCAGTAAAGCCTTTGATGCAAAACCTTTTCAAGGCTTTAAAGGTTGTTTATTATTAAATTTTTGCTCTTTTGGCACCATCATCACAAATTAGATTAAATGTATCCGACAAAGACAAACCATTACTGGGCCATTCCAAGGTTACGGGTGTTACATTCACACATTATAAATTACTTTAAAATTGTAATAGATAAAATGAAAGTATATATTTTAAATCACATTCAAAACTGTTAGGTCTTGCACCTTTTATACTACGGTGTACAAAAATTTTTTGCACAGGCCTATTTACTATTAAAAGTTAAAACAATTAGCTTAACCAACCTTTGTGTTGTTATAATCTCGGTTGTCCTCAAGTAGTTCAGCCTCCCAATCTTCTTCTTCTCCTGGGTCAAAATTGTAAAAAGGCATCAGACGATGTCGCAAGCGATCCAATCGCTTCTTTCGCAGGAAGAGTAAAACCTAACGGGGAAAGTAAAACACTGTTGTATTAGAAAGTCGATTGAGCTAATGTTAAGGAATCACTAAAAGAAACATACTCACTTGACCCATTGACCTCGGAGAATAATTTGTCGATTTACTGTTTTTATGGGTTATCAGGTTATTTACTCATAAAATGTAGCCTACACTAAACGAGAATCAAAACTATTGTTAAATGAGAAACTAATAAAGCTCTGCTATATACAGGTAAATTCCTCCCGAGTTACACATCAGACGTTCTTCTCATAGATAAAATTGTTAAGGGAATTTATTTACTCTTGTATCCGAATATATTGGCCATTGGAGATCAAAGAGTTATTGAGATAAAAGACTAATGGCAGAGAGTCCACTTTTTAAAGCATTTAACTTGTAATCATATTTCATACTAATATTATAAACTAGCAGTTGTACCCATGTTTAGCAACGGTAAGAGGACACAAAATAGAAACATTTTGATCTTTATATCTGTTGCATAAAATACTTACAAATCCGCCAATTCTTTTAGAAACAAAATTCAACCTTGATGGTCTTAGAAACATTTAAGTTATGACTTTTAAATCTGGTAAGTAGTGGAAACCGCCATTTTGGATTAGATTATTTTTAAATCTTGTGTAGGCTGATATAAGAAAACTGACCAAATCTTCGAATAACATTTTCACATACATGATTAATCATCTTCCTTAATTACATATCTTTTTAGCGAATTTCCCATTTAGTGAATTTAGCTATTACTACTCATGGTAAGACCTGGACCCGGGACGGATTTACTTTTTCATTTTGAGGTCCTTAAAGGCCAAAAACACCATCCGTTCAGAGGCTGACTGGTCACCTGTCCATTCTAAGGGACTTCCCGAGTATGGACATGGAACTAAACATATGCCATACCTCGTGACAAAGGAATATGACTTTGAGATTCCTTACCAGGCTGCGATAGGAGAAAGAGATAACTGGCAACAGTGCAACCTTAAGAGGGACAGAGCATGCTTGGTATCCTACACGGATGGAAGCCGAAAGGATGAGAGATCGGGGTTGCGGGTGTATGGCAGCAAAACCAACATTTCCTTAGCCCTGGGAAGTACAGCAACAGTAATTCAATCAGAGGTCCTAGCGATTGAGTGCTGTGCAAATGCCATCCTAGGCAAGAACCTGAGGAGGGGAAAAATAGTGATCCTTTCAGATAGCTGAGCTGCATTAAAGGCGCTGGGGTCATGTGTGACAGAGTCACAAACAGTAAAGGGGTGAAAAAATAACCTCAAAAAGCTAGCTAAGCGGAACCAAGTCAAACTAGCTTGGGTCCCGGGACACTCGGGGCATGAGAAAGCTGATGCTTTGGCCAGGAAGGGTGCGGAAGAACAACTGACAGGACCAGAACCCTACTGTGGCACCCCAATAAGCTCAGGAGTAGCCAAAGTCCGTAGCTGGGTCAAGGCTCAAAAGGCGACAACAATTTCGCTCAAAATCCTGGAGGAACAACCCAGGACTGAGGACGTCTAAAACATTAATTACCCCACAATGAAAGACTGAAAAGGCGTACTGAGCCTAAGGAAGGGGGACATTAGGTTACTAATAGGGCTGCTAAAAATGTTTTGAACGACAAGCTCTCTTTCGCATCTAACATTATATTCGACACAGCAATAAAAATAGTTGAAAATGGATACAAACAAAAGCGTGCACCTGATAAGAAAGATTAGGGGAGGGGACAAGTAAACAATGACACCGGTTTGCAGTGGTCAGTCTAGACTCAACTTCCGTGTCGCCCGCCGCTCCACCGATCGGTACCATAATAGTTATTGGCAATTTTTCGTGTTTTGTGTTTTAAATGTTAAAAACTGTCAACTCAATGTTTTTTAAAAAACGACGTGTTCGCAAGAACGAAAAGACGATGACGACGTCCGCCTGAAGATGATCCCGTGAGGATCGAAACCGGTCGCCTTTCAAGGTCAAAAGGATCACTTGACAGCAGGTAATTTCACCAGTACACGTATTGATCAGTGATTCGGAGGCTTAACTCAAAAAAAAAAAAAAAAAAAAAAAATAGCCCTCCAAGTGTCTGTAGTAATGGTCTTAATGTTGGCCTATTTAATAGGCAATCGCAGGAGTTTATTAAAATGTATCTGAGAAAATTCTTAATTCTTAACTATAAACACTCTAAAACTAACTTATAATGTTTTCCTAATTTTGTTTGGAAAATCATGGGCTTCAATATAAAACATTACAAAAAAAAAAAATTGTCAACAACTGCTTGTTATTCTGGTTTGAGGAAGTTACCCCCATGACATGTTTAGGTCAAAACGTGTTTTGGTCCTTTTAGCGAATTTCCCATATAGGGAATAAGCTATTACCGTAGGTCTCATGGTAAGACCTAGACCCGGGACCGATTTACTTTTTCGTTTTGAGGTCCCCAGAGGCCAAAAACACCATCCGTTCAAATTCATATATATATATATATATATATATATATATATATATATATATATTTATATATGTGTCCGTTAGCGCGATAACTCGAGCAAAATTGATCCAATATTGATGAAATTTGGTACAAACGTGTAAACCTACATTTATTCGAACGAGTTCGCGAACCAGCATAATCGGACCATGGGATCAGGGGTTTATGGGGGGTTTTATGGGGTAAAAATGGGTTTTTCTCATTTTTGACCCTAAAAACTTTAAATTTCTAAATTTCTCTCTAGACCATTTTGAAGAGCTTAAAAAAACAAATAATTTAGTATATTGAAGTGTTTTTGAATGTTCATTGACTACGGAGAAAATTAAAAAAATTGTAAGTTTAAAATTCCCATGTTATTCTTATGGAGAATAAATAAACTGTTTTAGTTTGCTTGTTTATGGATATATTTTATATTTTAATCAAATTTGGCAATTTGGTTTATTTCATACTAAGCTATCAATATTTCAATTAAAAAAACACACTTCAACATCTTCCCCATAGCAGCAAACCTAACTACTCGCTAAAATTAATGTTATTTAAATAAATAAATCTGAAAATTTATAGGGAATATTTTAGAAGAAATCAAGCCGGGTAAATGGAAATTCGCTTAGTATGCAGGTTTGCTGCGACGGGGGTATTTCAGGTTTATAGTCGTTTATTGTGAAAAAAGAATATCATTTTCGGAATCAGCGTTGAATTTCGAGTCGAATGAAAAATAATTCAAAAATCGGGCGCAAACCCTAAAATGCATATTTACCGATGACAGTTGTTTCAGTTTTATTACTACCCACAGAGAAGTAAGATACAGATGAAACATGCTTATGGAACAGCTGTGCGCTTTTAGCTCTGGAATGGTGGGGAGAAATACTAGTATCAAGCAAGGGAGAGCCCGAACAGCTATTGTTTTAACAGAAGTTGTAGCCTACAGGCTCTCACTACAGCATGAGCACTGTAGTACGTGATGGTGAGGGGGGAAAGGAGAGAGGAAGGGAACGACCAATAGAATTTGAACTAGACACCAGCGACTAATGCTAGACATGACTGACTTAAGTGTACCATTGAATATTTCCTCTGTATCTCACTTCTCTGACTTACTACCACAATATGAAATCCGTCGTCTGCTTTGTTATATTCTGTTGGGCAAGCTGGACCATCTAAACTTGCCACCGCAACCTTTGTCTGGACAACTTCCCAATCAATTGGTTTATATTTTATATTTTTGAAAATAGGTAGGCCTATTTACCTTCGTCTAAAGCTCAAACTGTTGTAACTTGAGTTACGGCCGTTTCCTGAGTCCATTCCATCCAGTTCAGATCGCGGCAATGTCAACCAGTACCATGTGCAACAGGCCTGTTATTCGTTATATTTTCGTTAATTGTAAAATGTTGTTCGTGTTAAATGTGTTTTGACTATGACGACGCTACTTCAGCTGAATGGTCCATGTCTGATGATGGCATTATAATGCCGAAACGGCCGTAACTCAAGTTACAACAGTTTGAGCTGTAAACAAAGGTAAATACCTATTTTCAATTACTATCACAGATCAGGGGCTAAAAATAGATTTTAATTTTATATTTTAATGTAGTTTCATTAAACCTGGGGCGCATGGAAAATTGGTTAACAGGGGTTTTACTGTATACACACCACTGACATTTTGTTGGAAGGAATAATCAACTTACCACAACAGTTAAAATTACCACCAGCCCGAGAGCGCATATAGGTACTATGATAAACCTAAGAGATTGATTGTCTTTGTCTATTTCCGTATGGTCAGTAGGCATTGTTGAGGTGCTAGAAATATTCAAGCTACTAGTTGAACTTGAGAATGTTGAGATTATTTCTGTAGTTTTTGAGCCATCAGTTGACATTTTATCATCATCTGAAAAAATAACACATTCACACTCAATGTTTTAACTTAACAGTCTGTAGGCCTACTGTTTATGCACTTCACAGAAAATTATGGTAACTAAATATAGGAATAGCACAATAGCAACTATAGAAAAGTTGTTTCTTTTTATCATGTCTACAATTTTAGAGAGTAAGGCCTATGCGGCCTCACCTCATAGGATAGACCTAACTTAAATAGAACAGCAGCTAGGTATAGTGAGCATCCTAATTTTCCAAAAGTAGGTCTATATACTTCCACCATGGGTCTATATGCAGTCTGATTTTAGACTACTGTGGGAAACATGTATACTGACAACGGAGAGCAGTGGCTAGGAGTACAATTAATTAATATTGTTGAAAGATAAGGAAACATCAATAAATCACTTCTCATAAATATCTATGATGTGAACTTAACTTACTTGATTCAATTAGCAATATTTTCTTATGTTATTATTAAGGAAGAAGAGTGTATATAAGAAAAATTCTTCTGGAAGCTACTTTCAAAACAGTGAGATTAGTGCATTTAATATTGTTAATTTATCCTAGGTAGGTGGTAGGTAAGGTTATACCTGAAGTGAAAAATGTCAACAGCAGACAACCACAGTGGACCAGACCCATTCAGTGGACCACGGAATGGGCAATTGGGCATACGCACCAACACAGACAGCGAGACAGATCAGATCAGATCGACTAACGACAGATGGCAGATCAACTGCAGACGATACGGTAGCGATTTCAAACAAAAAAACCTCCAGAGAGTAGTATTTTGAATCATTTATTATTTTACGCGATAACGGCAGCATTGATTTTTCTATCTTCAATGTTTGACACTCATCCGAGTGGGTACCATACACTGCGAAATTCTACAGCACGAGGTTAATCCTGATAATAAGACCAATTCGTAATTACCAAGGCAAAAATGTGGTTCAGATTCCACTATAAACTGTAGGTCCCTTAGTTGTCATTTATTTATTTATTTTATTTATTTACAGACGGAAAACTCCATTTTCATAAACATACAATGATGGCAAGACGTTTCATTCTGACTTACATAGAACATTTCATACATAACATGAAGATGACCTGACTAAAAAACCCTAATAAATAAGAATGTATCAAAAATATATCAATATATATAACAATAAATATCAATAAATAACAAAAAATAACAATAAATACAATAAATAACAACAATAATTAACAATCAACATGGGGAACAACAAATTTTGTAATTAGCTAACAAAGATAAAGAATAAAAAAACAAGTAACAGTAAATAAATCACTTAAACAACAACTACAATGATAAAGAAACAAAAAAGCAAGTAACAGTATAATGATCTCAACAGCGTAGAAACTCTTCAGCCCATTTCTAAAGACTTCATCGGACATGGAGAAGAAGGTGTTCTGGAAGACAGTTTCCAAGGCGATGGAGACGTGGCATAGTGCTGTGGTAAGCATATATCTCCTCTCAAACAGTTGTTTAGCTACCAAGCTACCAGTACACTATCTGTGCTGAACCCAATGTTGCGTATCGCGACATTCGCACCAAACTTTGTGCAACATGGACGCTAACGTCGAAGAATATTCTAGATAGTTATAGATGAAATTCTATAATTTACGTTTGGTGTTAGACACCATTTCAATGTATCCTAAGATTCTTACTTCTCTGTTTAAAATTAATGCTTACTTTTTTTATTAAAATGTTTGTTTTATTAAGCGATACTTTATTTATGTATATATTCAATTAAATTATCCCACGGCCACAGAACAGGCTCACTATGGTACAGTACCAAAAATAACAGCGATTCCTCATTAGAACGCTCCGTACTTTGTACAATTAATTTACGAGTATCTATATAAGATCTAGTAGAAAATAATTAAATATCAAAAACTAAAAAGTAACTCTACGGTTACACCAGAGCGAACAGGAGCGAACCGAACGTTCACTGGTGTTCGCTGTGGTTCGCTAGCATTCGCGAACACCTGAGAATGGGAGTAGTCACACCAGAGTGAACACACACGAATCGTCTTGATTGAAACGTCATTCGCTTGTGCTCCACCACCACAAGAACTGCACGGTGACGATAATCCCTGTTATCGTCACTGTTCAGTTCTTAAACAGACTGACTGTTTAATAAAAAAATAATAAAAACTGTTAATTTTTTATTTAACAGTTTATAATCAGCAATACTAGGATCCCATGACACTGGCCTTGCTTGCTTTGTATTCTCCAATCAGCTCCAACACTTTGTCATCAGTCCACTCCATAGTTAAACAAAATATGAATAATTAATTGTAGTACAACAAAAAAAAAACCACCAGACCCAAACAACTTGTTGATAGCAGTAATGTAGATACCGGCAAGGACCAGACTGGAGTCACTCTGATGTGGTCACACTGAAGCGAGTACCGAACTTGAGTAAACGCGAATTTCCTTTGATCATTCGCGCTGAAACCGACAATGGATGGAGCAGGTGCGAACGCGAATATGCGACTACAGAGCCCTGTCGAACACGGCCGATTGGTGTTCGCTGTCGCTCGAGGCGCCGGTCACACCGAAGTGAATTTCGCATTCGTTACTGCTCGTTCGCTCCTGTTCGCTCTGGTGTAACCGTACCACACCTACACAACCGCTGCAGTAAATAGGCTACTGTATAAAGAGAGCGTCCGTGACTACGAATGACAGCGAGTGTGTACTGGCTATGTTCGTGCCCGTCTGCGCTCGGCATTCGTCCTAGTTCGTCTCCTTTGATTCGCGACGGGAGACCGCCAAAAAATCGAACGCACCCGAGCACGAAAGGTACGGTTACACCAGAGTGAACAGGAGCGAACCGAACGTTCACTGGTGTTCGCTGTAGTTCGCTAGCATTCGCGAACACCTGAGAATGGGAGTAGTCACACCAGAGTGAACACACACGAAGTGTCTTGATTGAAACGTCATTCGTTTGTGCTCCGCCACCACAAGAACTGCATGGCAACGATAATCCCTGAATCGTCACCGTGCATTGTCTCACCTAGCAGTTTTTAAATAGACTAACTGTTTAATAAAAATAATTTTAAAACGGTTAATTTTTTATTTAACAGTTTATAATTAGCACTACTTGGATCCCTTAACACTGGCCTTGCTTTGTATTCTTCAATCATCATCAGTCCACTCATTATTTAAACAAAATAGGAATAATTAATTGTAGTACAACTAAAAAATCCACCCTTGACTTAAACAACTTGTTGATAGCAGTAATCCAGACACCGGCAAGGACCAGACTCACTCCGATGTGGTCACACTGAAGCGAGCACCGAACTCAAGTGAACGCGAATTTCCTTTGATCGTTCGCGCTGAAACCGACAATGGATGGAGCAGGTGCGAACGCGAATATGCGACTACCGAGCACTGCCAAACACGGCCGATTGGTGTTCGCTGAACCGGTCACACCGAAGTGAATTTCGCATTCGTTACTGCTCGTTCGCTCCTGTTCGCTCTGGTGTAACCGTACCTGAATGTTGGCGATGCGAACTACCCCAAATGTACACGAGCACACCGAGTACACTATCGCGTTCGTCTTAGTTCGCCTACATTCGGCGATAGTGTACTGCAGGCATATCTTGTCGATTTCAACGCTCGAAGGTCGATTCTCCCCAACAATTCAGGTGAGTCCACTGAAGCTGAGATTATCTTCCTCAGAAACATTAAATCGGAGACTCTACGCCTGACTGACAAGGGTTGAAGACGAAGGAGGTGGCTTAGCTCGTCCAAGGGTATACATCTTCATAACGAAAGCCCAGCTGCAGTCCAACAATTCGAATGAATCGTCTTTGAATTCCTTCAAGAAGTTCTATGTGGCCCAGCTGATACGGTGACCACACTGGAGATCAGTACTCAAGGATAGGGCGGATAAGTTGAACGTAAAGAGTCCTTAGTGCTTCTGGCGAAAAACCGTCCTTAGACACTCTAATAATAAAACCAAGAACAGAGTTTGCTCTTCTACTATTGGCATCAAGGTGAGCATCGGGACTTAGTGACGATGTTAAAGTCACACCAAGGCCTTTGACAACAGATGATCTGGAAAGTGATTTTCCTCCAATGCATCATGGTATTTGCTCGTCGTGAGAAGGAGAGCACTGTGCATTTGGAGATGTTAAGCTCCATTTCATTCTTGAGGCACCACAGTAATACTTGGTCAAGGTCGGCTTGAAGCATATCACAATCATACTCCGACGAAATTTCCTTGTATATTTTAGCATCATCTGCGAAGAGTAATATTTTACAATTTGTGACTATACTGAGACCAGGTCATTCACAATATGGAAAACAGCACAGGACCCAATAACGAGCCCTGGGGGACTCCAGAAAGAACAGGAAACGCGGTGGATGTACATCCATTGTATCTGACAACCTGGTGACGATTACTGACATAGCTTCTGAACCAAAGCATGGCACCAGTAACACCCAAAACGCTGAGCTTAGCCAGTAGATGTTCATGACTCAATCCGTCAAAAGCCTTCGACATGTCCAGGTCAATGCTGTCTACTTGATGACCTCTGTTGAAGGCTGATATTATATCATCTTGATAGATAACCAGGTTGGATGCAGCTGATCTACCGCTATAGAAGCCATGCTGGGCTGTTGATAAGTGGTTCTTAACAAAAAAAATGTAATCTAGTGAGGACCAGGGATTCAAAAACTTTGGTGAGCGATGATTGTATGGAGATGGTCATTAGCTGTATGGGCTATTAATTAACAGCTGTGTCTAAGGAATGTCGGCCTTAGTCACTAACAAGACTACAAGATCGCGCCACTCATCCTACACTCATCTCCATTCATAATTGGCTTAAAATACCTACTTTGTATGGTCGCCATTTCATAGAACAGTTTAAAACCATGGTGGAAGGAAAAAACATGGTGGTTTTTCCTTCCACCATGGTTTAAAACAGTATAATCCCCTTTCAACTTTGGTTGATGAGTCTTGTAGCACAGATGGTTGGGCCAACGTTGGCCAACTGTGGGACAGTTGGTCGATGGTTGGTTGGAGCTTCCACAACCAACCAACCGTTGTCCAACTGTATATCTCGTAGTTGGGCCAACCAATATTTACAACTGTGGACCAACATTGGTTCATTGTTAATGAAATACATTAATATGCATTGCTGGGTATCATACATCAAGCCAACCGTTGTCCAACCGTTTTTCACTCCGTTGGACCAACAAAAGATACTTTTGTTGGTCCAACGATGGTCCATAGTTGAGTTTACACGACTTTCATTCTCTGGGTCTAGCTTTAACAACATAATTATAATAAAATATCTGGTTTTACAATACCTTTATCAGTTCCAAAAGTTTCCAAAAGTTTTTGGAACTGATAAAGGTATTGTAAAACCAGATATTTTATATATTACAGTTCCGGGGCTACAACAATGAATTTTAATAATCATAAAATAATGCAAATATTTTTTAAATTAATATTCTTTAACTTATTTGCAACAATTTAAGGGGAAAGATTAATTAATCATATAACAGTCAATTATAATAGCATTAATAATCTAACGGTAATTAATTAATCTCTATATTCAAATACCAGTATCCTCTCTAACTCCAAAAAAAAAAAAATAACTACTTATGATGCCTTAGC